TGGTTTGTGAGAAAGAAATTTCCTATCTCTCTTCTTTTTTCAATCTAGCCTTTCAGTGCTTATTTTTATATTTCCCCACACATTTCTACTCAAATGGGACCATGTTTTTAAAGCTTATGAATGAAGTTTTTTTGATACTTGATCTTCGGGAACAGAAACCGAATCTATTACTAGTGTCTGAATATAATAAGAATTGAGTGTAACCTATCGGTAAGCTTAATAGTAAACTGATCTCCTTAATACCTAATAGGAATTTGAGCTCTGTGATACTATTCGATCTTATCCCAAATCAAGAACACCAACTATCTCATTTCCTAACACTACTGTCTTCTACAGTTCGATGGATTTTATTAATTGATTCTACAGGGTGCACCATAATTGTCATAACAAGATAAAGTTCTGATTTTAAGGCAGATAAGAGCACAAAAAAACAAATTCTTAACTCAATAACACTTATTGTAGATTAACAATTAGAAATGAACTATAAAATTCGAATCGGCCATCATTAGCATTTGAGCAGAAGATGTCAACGGTGGAAATGCCTATTTTTATATTTCCCCACACATTCCTACTCAAATGGGATCATGTTTTTAAATGGGATCATGTTTTTACCGTAACAAAACTTTATGCTAGCGACCAATTTGTTTATTTCCTCTTCTTTTCATTAACTTCTTCTAATCGTATTTCATTACAACGCTTTCTTGCACACGGGACGGGCCATTTCTGTGTCGGTAAACACCAACGAATACCACGACGGGTCGAAGCTTATAAATGAAATTTTTTTGATACTTGATCTTTCGGTACTTTCGGGAACAGAAACCGAATCTATTACTAGTGTCTGAATAAAATAAGAATTGAGTGTAACCTATCGGTAAGCTTAATAGTAAACTGATCTCCTCAATATCAATTTTACGCAATTTTACGCCTAATCCGCAATTTTTCTTGTTTTTTGTTCTATTAGGATGGTTGGAATTGAGTGTAACCTATCGGTAAGCTTAATAGTAAATTGATCTCCTTAAAGGCGAATTTTCAATAAAACCTATTTTTCCCCATTACTGATGATGTTTTTATTTAGTATATTGGTGTTCAAAAAGCATAAAAATGATTTGACAAAAAGCACTTACGCAATTTTACGCCTAATCCGCAATTTTTCTTGTTTCCTTTTCTATTAGGATGGTAGGAATTGAGTGTAACCTATCGGTAAGCTTAATAGTAAACTGATCTCCTCAATACCAATTTTACGCAATTTTACGCCTTTGGTATCAAAAAATAGCTGAAATTCAGGACTATTTTTTGACACCTAAGCGCACATTGTAGCATAAACCAGTGTCGAGTAAAACTCGTTCAAAGCTAGACTTCGCAACACTCCGCACCGTCATTATCGGGGTGGGGTACTATTACAGCATTTACGGTAAGCAAATAACAGTGATGGCCATTTTTTGCTTATGATTCATACATGAAATAGTCGCTTGAAAGTTGTAACCATTTTTTTTTTTGCTTATTTTTATTGCTCATTTGTTCAAGTTGACATCATTTTCTGGTTTTAAACTTTATTAGCAAAATCTTTGATAACATTTCGATTATTCACTGAATATTTATATGATTAAGGTGATTTTTTTAGCCTCTTTGAACAGTTTTTGATAAGATTTTGGTTATTAACTGAATATTTATATTGAGCTGATTTATTTAGCCTCTTTGAGCAGGCTTGGGGTAGGCTACTTTGTGCCAAACTTTTTGCGCAACTGGGTCATTTGCGCAACTCGCCATAACTTTCTTCTTAGTCGACCAATCTTTATGATTTTAGTATTATTTTGTTGCACTTATTGAGATCTACAAAATGAAATCAAAATCATAAAGATTGGCCCACTTAGAAGAAAGTTATGGCGAGTTGCGCAAAAGACCCTGTTGCGAAAAAAGAAATTGTGGAAATTAGCCTACCCCCGCAGTCTTTGATAACATTTCGGTTATTAACTGAATATTTATATTAAGTTGATTCATTTACTCACATTGCTCTAAATCTATTTCAATCATTTTCAGCTGTTTTCTGAAATCATTCTTATTTTGAGAAGAAATGGGGGTTTTGCAAAAGTTGATCAAGAAACACCTTTTCTATCTAGGCTAGCCAAAAAGTCTTGTACGATTTTTCTAGCAATTTCAATTTTAAATAATTTCATTTCATTTTCAGACTCCTCATTTTCCCCTACCAGTTGCCTCTAAATGTTTTGACTGGTCCTCAATTAATAATAATAATAATAATAATACTTTATTCAAACGATAAAGTGAAAGAAATCATAGAGAAATGCACAGTGATACTTAATCATACAATACATACTGAAATCAATAAGCCAATTACTTACGGCAAAGAGCCACTAGATCTAAAGCATCGATACGTTTCTTGAATATGAAAAGCGACTGAATTTCTCAACTTCTCAATTTTAAATAATTTCATTTCATTTTCAGACTCCTCCTTTTCCCCTACCAGTTGCCTCTAAATGTTTTGACTGGTCCTCAATTGATAGACCTTTATCAAAAAGCGAATCTCTTATTTTTCCCTATCATTTTCTGAGGAATGATAAACAGGGAGAAATTCACAAGTTTTGAAAAGTCTAGCTAAACTTGTCTAATTGTTTTTTTGTGCCAAAATAGAAACGCATCCTTTTCCTCGCATCCTGATTCTCCTTTTCAAGGGAATATCAGTTAATTCTTTCAATTCTTCAGCACAAAGTACGAGCGGAGCCTCGATTCTTAAATTCAAGAAGATTTTTGATTTCAAAAAACTTACAAGGCATTAGAATCTTTCCAGAAAAATATAAAGATGACTAACCAAGAGGCTTATCAAAATTGACGTGTCTGTGAAAGAAACAGTGTAACCATGCCCATTTAACTATGCCATCCCATTTCTTATCACAAAAATTTTTATTTAAACAATCAAACAAAGAAATCTTTTTTTTCCTTTTGATTTGGAGATTGTTTGAATTTCTCGTTAAATTTCCTTTTTTATTCTTTTGGCTTCCTAATCCCGATTTATGACTCTTTTGGACAAGCTAGTCAACTAAAAATTGGTTTTATAATAAATAATCTCTTTTTTTTTAAATTATTGGATTGGTTTAACTTCTTTAACACATTCAATTTTTATACTCAGCTAACAACTCATCCGTCAGGTATAAACATAGATTGAAACTTTTCTCACTTGAAACCTTAGAACAACGCCGTCTTATCATAGATTTGGTTGAGTGCTTTAAAATTGTAAAAGGAAAACATCAAAACCCTCTTTTTAAAAATCTTTTTCGACTAAACTCGAGGCTTTTGGCGATTAGGATTGGCGATTGGCTCTTTTTTTCTTGCATCCCGAATCTGCTTTCTCTAAATCCTCTAGAGCTTTTTTCGTAAATCGTGTGACTAAAGTTTGGAATGCCCTTCCTGACAAGTTGCGTTTGATCTCCACTGTGTCTGATTTTAAAAGGGCTATTTCGTTGCATTTTAAGTGACTTTGTGATCTTTTATCTTTTATCTAGTACATTTTTCATGTCCTTTTCGCACTTTATTTCTTTCTGAATAAAGTATTTATATATACTAAATCCTATTATTTTACCATTTTATCGCTTTAGTTTTTGAAAATCGAATGTTATTTGTTCTTTGTGCTTTTAAAAATAGAAACCCACCATTTCTGGCGTACTCCTTTCTTGTATTTTCTCCCAGAAACCTATCTGATCACTGGGAAAAAAAGAGAAACTGTTTGCGGTAGGATTGAGTATGCTAAAAGGGATGTGTTTCCTTTTTTTAGCACTCAAAGTACATTCAAATATTTCTTTTCTTTTCAACTAACAACTAGTTTAAAAAAAACTTGGCTAAATTAACGATGACTCTCGATTTTTATTCTTTTACCTTGATAATCCCAGTTTATAACTCAAAAACTTTTTTTTGTTGTTTTCTTGTTGTTTTCTTGTTGTTTTCTTGTTGTTTCAATGTTTGTATAGGTCAAAATAAGCAAAAAAATTAGGCCCCAGTCAACACTTTTTTAAATTTTTAACTTTTTGCTTTGGTCCTCAAAGGCATGCTTTTTTGAAAAAAAAAAAAAAAGAAAACTTGAATCGAGCTCAAAACTTCATAAAAAAAAAAAAAAAAAGATTTGATCTGTCTTCGCACTTAGCGCAGATCACAACCCGCTTCCACATTTACTGAGGCAGAAGTGTAGTTGTCGTAGCCGATGATACTCCGATGGCCGGGCTGGGGCGCTCGGAGGGGAGCCCATGGGAGTCGAACCCACGACTAACCCGCGCCGACGCTGCTCAACTTGGCAGATCGGACGGGGTCGACCACAGACCCTTCCCTTTCTGGGCCCCCAACTTCATAAAAATAAACAAGTTTCGGGGTAGGCTAATTTCCGCAAATTTTTTTTTTTGCACAACAGGGTCAACAGGGTAGATCTCAATAAGTGAAACAAAATGAAATCAAAATCATAAAGATTGACCCACTTAGAAGAAAGTTATGGAGAGTTGCGCAAATGACCCTGTTGCGAAAAAAAAAATTGCGGAAATTAGCCTACTCTCAATTTTCGGCAATTTTTTTGAGCGTTTATAACCAGAATTTGGTAACGAAATGTCGAAATTCGAAATCTACGCAGTGAATTACCCAAGAGAAAGTGCTTTTGATGATCATTGACTGAGGGTAAACTATAGTCTTACAAAACATTCTTAAAAGCTAACCGCTAGCTAAGCCTACTAAGGCCGGCTAGATGATCAATAGTTACAATGATGCTAAGTGTTGTTGCTTAAAGTTTAGGACTGTTTCACAAGGCTTTGAAAAAATTTTTGCCTTGGTGGACTAAGGTAAAAAATTCGAAATTTCGAAAAATTTGTTGAGAAAAGCGTTGACTGGCGACTAATTTTTGTTTACTTTACCTCTGTAGACACTGGAAAACCGAGAAAACAACAAAAAATGGGTTTTGATTCTGTTTTTATCATTAATTTAACCCAAAACTTTTTTCAGCAATGCGTTAAATGGGGAAAACTCGGCGGATATTGTTCATTGTACAATGGCCTATCGTACTCTATCTAACAACTATATTTTCATGTAAGTTTTATGCATTAAGCATAAATCTCTCTTTTTAGTTATCATCCGGGTGAGCGGGAATTGTGTGCTGACGGACACGTGTCACACGGTGAGACATGGCACAGAATGGTTAGCGATCCCTTGCTTTCATCGAACACCAATTACACCGACGCAAATCGATGAGAAAAGTCAACGGAAACTCGCGAATTTATGCCCCCATCTGTTCTCAGGTCAGCTCATAAATAATTTTACAAGGATAGACTTGCTTACAAGGATAGACTTGCTTACAAGGATAGACTTGCTTACAAGGATAGACTTGCTTACAAGGATAGACTTGCTTACAAAGATAGACTTTTGCCTTTTATAAAGTGTTCAAAGCAATTAAGATGTCAAGAGTTGTTCCCGCTTGGTGACTTGACTTTACAGCAAATCTAGCTGACTATCAAACTTCTCACTATTCCTTGAAGATTCTCAACCCTTTCCTTCAGCTAATCACTCAACCAATGTCTGCTGTTCACCCACTCAAATCGATGTCCTCATCTCTCAAATGTCGATGGCCACCCAAATCTTGAAACGATGTGACTCATGTGTTGACAATTTTCTCAAGCTCTGGTGTGATTTTACATGTCATCCCGATCAACACAACTTTATGCAGGTAAGGAGAAAATCTCAAGGAGATTTCGAAGCCCCCATGACTGACTGGCTAAGAGCCCTTTAGCCTAGTCAGGAGGTCAAGGGCTCAATCCTGCTGGCTGGATTATAAGTTTTTTAGGTGACCAAAGCAAATACATCGGCTGAGACGAAGAAAGAATATGTTGATACAGTCACCTACAATTTGTCGACCACTTTTGGGAATGGGCTTTTTGATTCTTGCAAAAATGTGAGTTTACAATACTAGGTTACGGTAAATAGTAAGTACTATTAGTAGCTAGATTTTCATTTAAATGCTATGAGAACTGTAAAGTCGACTTTTTAAGGTGACTACTGTCTAGTACTGAAAAGTAGCCTAGTAATAGACGACCTACAGTAGTTGTCGTAAAAAGTAGACTTCTACTCTCAGTACGACTCTCATAGCGTTTACATCAAGATTTCGCTACTAACAAGGGAAAGCCAACTGGATAGGCTGGCCAAATGACATGAGCCAGAGACCTATCGACGCAGAACTTCACGCTGAATCCGAATCTGTTTTCCATTTTTGCTAAACGGCACTGTCACTCTGTCAAAAGTTATAAGCGTGTAAAGTTTTGTATGGGATTTTTAAAACCATCCCTCGAGTTTATCAGCAGATTTCCCAGAGACATTAAAGAGCAGTGGTGGCCGAGTGGTAGCCGGCTAGAATACGAGGCAAACCCTCTCGGGTTCAAGTCTCGCAATTTAACTTTTTTTGTTTTTTTAGAGGTAATTGTTCTCCATTTCAAATACAAGTCTTTTTCAAACTACTTCTCATAAAAATCTTTACTTTTAACTATTAATATTGGTACTACGCCAGTTGGGGGGCACTTTTTTCTCCGAAATGAGCCCCGAAACTCGGCTTAAAAGGCCTTTTCCCAAGCTCTCGTTGTGTTTTTCGGAATCTACGCATAAAGTGGTTTTGAAGAAAAAAAAGTGGCCCCAACCAGTGTAGTCATAGTTGTTGTTAATGTTAATGGTTAAAAGTAGAGTTCGGTAAACAAAACCAAAACACCAAAACAAACCAAAACTCAATAAATTAACATGTAAATTTAAAATTGTAAAATGCAAATTTGCCTTTCACTTTTTCTCACTCTCCAAAATCTCGCGGCCGAAAAAAGGACCAAAACACGACCTCGAAATTTCGAAACAAAAAATAGCCTATGGGATAGATTTTTGGACGCTGATTTCAAATCTGCAAATAGATTTTCGCTAGCTCCTCCCAATCGCGAGATATTGGCGAGTTTTGGTTTTGGTTTTGGTTTTGGTCTGTTTTGGTTTTGGTGGTTTTGGTTAAGTTTTGTTTTCCGAAGTCTAGTTAAAAGTAAACATTTTATGAGAAGTATTTTGAAAAAGATTTGTATTTGAAACGGAGATCAATTACCTCTAAAAAAGCAAAAGAAAATTAAAGTGCGAGACTCGAACTTGAGAGGGTTTGCCTCGTATTCGAGCCGGCTACCACTCGGCCACCCCTGCTCGTTAACGTCTCTGGGAAATCTGCTGATATACACGAGGGATGATTTTTAAAGTTCCATACAAGACTTTACATGCTTATAACTTTTGACAGAGTGCCGTTTAGCCTTAAGGCGCAATCGTGATGGTCCCTGAAATTCCGCATCGATAGGTCTATGGCTTATGTGATTTGGCCAGCCTATCCAGTTGACCTTCCCTTGTAAATATCGAATTTATGTTTACCAAGATCAAATTCAAAGACCTAAATCCATTTTTAGGTTCAATTCATGCAAAGTCGAGCCCTCGATTTGATGTGTGGTGGTGGTGGAGGAGAGTGTACACTGAAGAAATGGCTTGGCTTTATGGGAACACAAGATCACTCGAATCGAATCCCCTTCAATATCAATTTCAATGTGATAGAGGTAGAATTTTGCATAGATAAGTAAGTACTTTAGAGATTTAACTTTATTTGAAAAGTTATCTTGATTGAGTCAATAAACCAAAGTCCAATATACAAACAATGTACTGCTTGATTGAGTCTACTGCTTTAACTTCTAGAATAGTACAAATCTGCCGACAACACGCACAACTCCGTGCAATAAAAGAGTGAGAGCTGGGAAAACGAGCTGCTCTTGCTCAGACTGTGAGCTATCTTGTCCAACTCAACCAATCGCATTTGACTGGATGACGTCAAAACCGATACAAGTTAGTTAAAGAACAGCTCAAAAGCTGTTCTTTTAACAGCTTTTGAGCTGTTCTTTAACTAACTTGTAATTCTTAGAAATGCTTCGAGCGTCTACCACTCGAATGCTATCCATTGGGTGTGGCGATGTTGGGTGCAGCGATGCTCATTCTACTCATCGCTTTCGTTTCGTGCAAATCCTGGATTTTTACTGATGGGAATTGCGAGGATTGCAAGGTGAATCTTTCTTATTATATAAATATTTCATTGAATTTCAGGCTGATGCTGCACAATGTTTCATCTTTGATCTCGGTGAGATGTTCGAGGATTTTCTCCAACGATACGCGATGAGCTATGGAAGTGTGAGTTGACTTATATAATAGATGACCCGTCTATGTACTCTGTGCTCTCAAAAATCAAAACACACCCCTTCTGGCACAATCAATGATATCAGTAGTTTCCTTGAAGCTAACCGTGACAAGCTAATCTTGCCTATCTCGGAAATTTTCGGGCTTGAGATCTACTTACGATAATATCAATTTTAGTATGCTGTTCGAAAACCCTGGCGAATTCTTACCTACGGCTTTGTGGTGGCTCTACTTTTGACTGTACCTGTTTACAAGTTGTCTTTCTCGGAAGAACTTGTTGATATGTGGTCAGCTCCACATAGTCGAGCTCGAATCGAGAAGGAATTCTTTGATAAACATTTCAGGTATTGAAATCTAGTTTCTCTTAAATGACTATGTGATTTTATTTTAGTCCATTCATGAGAACCGAGCAAGTCACAATCTATCCACAGAAATTCCCGCATGATGTCAAAGCCGGTGACTCGTTCAACTCGGCAAATGGCGAGACTTTTGGACCAGTTTTTCGAAGACCTTTTCTTGACTATGTAAGTTTTTTAGAATCAAATTGAGTAGAATTTGGTACACGAATCTATCTATAAGATCTATAAAGTTCGTTTAGGCCTTCAAACTTATCAAGGGGATCTACGAGATTCAAGTAGAAACTTGTCTGGATGATCGAAAGCTCAACCTTGAGGATCTCTCTGATTGCAAGAAGAAACACAATGTAACACTTGATGAGATTTGTCTGAAACCAATGGGAGCTCAATCACCTTGCTTGGTCATCAGTCCAACATCGTACTTTCAGGTAACGATTTTCTTGATACTTGCCTTCGAATAAGTTAGTTGCAAAACATTACTGAATAAGTTACTTGTCCATTTCTAACAATCAATCTTACAACTTATTAATCAATTTAGAACGATCCAACAAAGCTGAATCTTGAGAAGAAAGTTGAAGCACCAACGGAGGCATCAAAAGTCGATGATTGGGATTATTATGTGGATGAGAGTGAGAAAAAAGCAACTCCAACAATTTACACATATCTTGATCATCTACAGGATTGTATTCGGTAAGTGATATGACATTACGCATCATTATAAGCTCTAACTAGACAAATTTATTCTCTCTTTTTGAGTTAAATCTCTAGAAAACTATCAAAATTGACTATTCAACTAGTCTTTTATGTAAATTTGAAGAGTAGCTTAAAAACATTTTTCCAGAAATCCGATGAACCTCCGCACTCGTCTTGGTCTTTCTTGTCTTGGTGACTACGGTGGCACAATTCAACCACAATTCGTCTTCGGAAATGATGATGTAAATACAAAATTAGCTATTGATTTTAACGCTAACTTTAGAAATCTTTGAATAGCAGCTTTGCCGTTGGAATCATGATGACATTTCCGATTTCTAATGCTCCCGGAGTGCAACGAAAGGCGATGGCCTGGGAAAAGGCTTTTATCGCTTTCATGAAGAACAGTCATCATCATTCGTACACGATTTCTTTTATGAGCGAAAGATCGATTCAAGTGAGTAGATAAATTATGCAGCTTAAGATAATTCAATTTTTAGGATGAAATCGAAGCGGAGACAAAATCGGATGCGATTCTGATTCTTATCGCTTATGTGTTGATGATCGCGTACGCATCGTTTTCTTTGGGACAGGTGGGTTTTTTGTTCTGATAAAGGTTTTGATTACTGAATTACTGAATTATTGACTTCATTTTACATATTAAAACTTTAGTATCATGTCACTGACAACAATCTCCGATCGATCATGATTCAATCTCGTGTCCTTGTTTCATTACTTGGTGTGCTCATCGCGGCGCTTTCCGTTTGCAGGTAAAATATTAAATAACTTGAATATAGTATCTAACATTATCATTATTTCAGCTCAATGGGAATGTTTGGAATGCTCGGAATCAAGCCAACCCTTCTCCTGCTCTTAATTGTCCCATTTGTCGTGCTTGTCATCGCTTTTAATAACATTTTCTTAATCATTCGAGCTTATCAGGTAATAATCGATTTTTATTCTTCAATATTGAATCTTTAGAGATCCCGGTTGTTACAAGAAACATTGGAGGATCGAGTGAGCGCTTTTTGTGGACAATTGATCCCATCAATTCTATCAAGTACTGCATCAACTGTCGCCTGTTTTGCATTAGGTAAATATTCAAGTTTACTGTAAATATAAGGATTCAATCATTTACTAAACTAAAAATTCTAGGTTCAATGTCCGATGTTCCAACAGTTTCCATCTTCTCGATGTGTTGTGCTCTGGCTTTAGTCTTCAACTTCTATTTCCAAATGACTTTCTTCTTAGTGCTATTCATTTGGGATATCAAGAGATCTGAGGTTTGATTTTAAAAAGAATAGAGCTAAATCGAAATTTAGCAAGGAAGACCCGAATTCTCGTATTGGGAAAGATTGCATCCAGATCGAATGGCGGCAAAAGGGTACATGTTTCTTCTCTTCCGGAAAGCCTACGCCAGAACGCTTCTTTCAGCCTATGTTCGGCCAGTTGTGGTACGTTTGAAATGTTTATATAATACGGTTACATATTTGAAGTGTAACATCTACAAATTAACCTATAATACCTATTGGGTTTTCTCTAAAAGTATCAGATTATCAGGCATAGTTTGTACAGCTGCAAATCTCTATTCTATGCAAAATATTGTGCCAAAATATTATTCTTTAGCTGATCGTCTTCACTTTCTGGATCATCACCTCAGTCTATTTAACTCAATTCCTCGACGTTGGAATGGATCAGCGAATCCCTTTACCCGAGGGATCCTATGTGATTCGACAATTCAACTCAATGGATCGCTTTCACACCGTCGGCCCACCTGTTTATTTTGTTGTTAAAGGAGAGGTAGTTTTAGAGAAATTATTGTTTCTATGGAATTTCTAGATCGATTACACGAATCCAAAAATTCAACAAGCCTTTTGCACAACGGGCGGCTGTGACGAGAACTCGATTGGGAACATTTTGAGAGCGGCGAGCAACTATCCGCAAAGGTGAGGGGATAGAACTGCCCAGAAAGTCTTTTCGTTTCTTTTCGTATCCTTGTATATCTAAACTAATTCTATTTTAGCACAATGATCGCCAAGACCGGCATGTTAAACTGGATGGATGATTTTCTTGATTGGCAAGATCCTGTTGGAGAACCACCATGTTGCAGAAGAAAACCAGGTAAAGAGATTAAACTAAAAACGTTCAAACAAATTTAGAAACCGGACGTTTTTGCTCAGCTGCATCTACCAATTCGTCAGACTGTGTCGCTTGTGAAACGACTCCATTTGGATTCTATGAGCGACTCGGATACTTCACCAAAGACATCCCCGGAGACAAGTGTCCGAAAGGGTTTGTTATTTACGAGTTTACTAAAACTATTGTCAAGTATTAGACTTAAAGCTGATCTTTTTTAGTGGAGCTGCCGCACATGGAGGCTCGATTTTTCTATCAGGGAAACGAGTGGACGCTTCACATTTCATGGCTTTCCACACTCGTCTTGCGAATAGCTCCGATTTTGTCAAGGTAAAAATCAAAATCAAAAGATCAATAACATTTCTTTTAATTCAAAGAGTTAGGAAATCTGAAAGCTAAACTATATTTGGTTAGCTTATAGCATGTGAAAGCCAATAATACATCAATTCTTCAATCAGCTTCCATCCAAACTCTTTAGGCAGTAGCAGCAGCTCGGAAAATGGCAGGAATTCTTGAGGAGAAGCTCCGAGAAGTAACAAGGAATTCACAAGTCGAGATCTTCCCCTACAGTGTTTTCTATGTTTTCTACGATGTCTACCCGAATATCGTCTCTGATGCAGCAACGAGGATTTGCACATCAATTGCTGCTATCATGCTTGTCTCATACATCACTTTGGGTAAGTCAAAAATGTTCGAATTCTTTAGAAACAAAAGAAATTCAGGCTTTGACTTCATCACGGCAATTTCAGTACTGCTGGCGATTGTGGCGAGCACGGTGAGTTCTTTAAAAGCAAAAGAAATTGTTTGAATGCTTTAAAATCAAAAGAAATTCAGGTAAACATGCTTGGAGCAATGTCACTTTTCGAGATCGAGTTCAACCCATTGTCTTTGGCCAACATCTTTATGGTAAAGCTTTTTTGAAGAGTTGAAGAACTGAACTAAAACATAAATGACAACTTGTGCTCTGTTCTTTTGCATAGTATTTGTGCAAAAGCTTTCAAACTGTCACACTAGCTTTGTAAAACTTCAAAGCTATGATTTGGCATTAGTTTATAAAACAGAATCTATTATAAGATTTTTAGTCGCTTGCAATCTCCGTTGAATTCTGTGCCCACATTGCCCGTGCCTACAAGCAAAGTCAGCAAGAAAGTCGACATGATCGAATCTCGGACGCGCTCGTCTACACTGGAAGCTCGGTAAATCAAAAATTAAAATTTTAAAAAAACTACACAGCATTAATTTTAAATGCAAAACTTCGAATTATAAAAGAAATTTCAGATTGTTTCGGGTCTCTTCTTGTGCATGTTCGGCGGCACAATTGTCCTTGCTTTCGCACACGCTCAAATCTTCAAAGTAATTCTTTAGATGTATCAAAAGAAAACCTATAAATACCTCAAAAATTTTAGATCTATTTCTTCCGAATGTTTTCGACAATGATGGTGCTAGGATTCTTGCATGGACTTGTTCTTTTGCCTGTCATTCTCTCATACATCGGCCCAATTCGAGTTCAAAAGCCTCAACAAGAGACATCAGAGAAGAAAATCCGATGGTCACTGCCGATTCTGAATCGAGTTTCAGAGCCATTCTTGGATTCATCTTTGAAAGAAGAGGCACGAGTAAAAACACCGACAAAACTCAGGTAAATGAGAAGAGGCTTGTAGTAGATGATTGAGTTCAGTTCATACAGTAATGCCTAGTGTTAGACCTAGAGTTATTCTTAATCCAAAGATTCAATCTAATTACACTAACACAAAACAAAACCAGTGTAACTTTTAGTAAAAAAGAACAAGAGCAACTTCTGTCGTTGACTAAACCCATCGTCGACGACTCAAATTTGCACATTGAAAACTCGGTCAGAAATCAAACGGTTTAACCAATTCATTCAGCCATTTCCTACTCGTTTACACGGTCGCTATTCATTTGTTTTCTCTTTTATTGTTAAGTTTTTTTTACTCACTTCTAGTCAAATACGTGTTTTTTTTTCTAGTGCAGATATAAATAGCGAGTGTGTCTCTTTCATTTCCCCTTTTATCCATATCCAATACGAGTAATTGTCTCAAATTTATTTTACAGATCAGAGCTTAGTAAAGTTTTTAAAACTGAATATCTTTGATGGACTGTTTTTCTCTTGATAAAACGTTTTCTAAAAGGCGCTCCAGGGAAACTATCGTACCCAGCAGCTGGGTTACCGTAGGTTTGCCTTCACGCTTTTTGGGAGTCGGACAAATGCGACCTTTTTTTCCGCACCTTGCCCATTAGCGCACCTTTTTTCGCGTTTTAAAAAAGCTCTAAAAAGCTAATATTAACCAATTTCTATTCCAAAAGTTGTTTTTCTAGGTAATTTTAGGGCGTAGAATGGAAATTTTGACATATCAGAGCTTGTGGAAACAAACGGACGGAGTTATACAAAGAGAAAAATCGACAATTTTCTGTAATTTGATCTAGCCGTTTTGTCTTTCAAATTGGTTCCACAAGCTCTGATATGTCAAAATTTGAATTCGACACCCTCAAATTACCTAGAAAAACAACATTTGGAATAGAAATTGGTTAATATTAGCTTTTTTAAAACGCGAAAAAAGGTGTGCTAATGGGCAAGGTGCGCAAATGTCCGGGTGCGCAAAAAAAAGGTCGAATTTGTCCCACTCCCCGTTTTTTAAAAAAAAAAAGCTAACCAAAAGAAATGCAAGTAATCTTCACCTTCCTTTTTTTGAGTTCCTATGCACAAATCTCATTCCTTGAGCTCACATATTTCTTCCTATATTCGTGCAATTGTGATATCAGTCAAATACGTGTTCAGTATTATCTAATTTCAAAAGTTTTTCTTGTATTTTGACAAAATATGGCATCTCCACCATGAATGTGCTTTAAAAATTTAATAAATCTTCATTTAGATCTAGAAAAAAAACAAAGAACGAGAATAACTTAGAAAAACTATTTATGCAATCGCAAAAAGAAGAAAAAGGTGTAACGGTAACGAGTTTTTGTATCACAACAATGGCGAAAAACATTCAAAGCTATCGGATTTTGACTAAAACACAAAAATCAGAGGCAAGAGAATCAAAATAAAAATGGAGGTATCAAGGAAGAGAAGAGGGGATAACTGTACTTGTGAATATTTTGACGATTTGTTGAATTCTAACTTCTAACTCACTAAATTCAGGAGAAATTTGCTTTATAAAGCGCAAAGCTTTGTGTATGCTACTGATGGCTATTTACACTTAAATTGTGTCAAAATAATCACAAGTATCAGGATAACAAATCTTTAGGAAAAACGAGAGACCAAAAGAATACAAACCTATAAAAATTTGTGATTCCCGCTGTGTCCGAATCGTGTATTCAACGCCCCACATTTCGCCTTGATTTCCTCGGAGCTGAGATTTTGAAGACCTTGTACCTAAAAGAAATGTTTTATAAAGTTATGACTTCGATCGTTTTACCTATTCAATGCTCTTTTAAAGCTTTCTTAAATAGGTAGTCGGATAACGATAAAAGCTGACTTTCAGTTGGTTATATGCAAGTTTATGTTAATGTATTTGTAACGCTGTTTCACCAGGACAAGGCCAAATAATTCCTCAAAGTCTATAGACGAACTTGCATATCCCGTTCTCGATCAAATGCCCGTCTACCACCCTGACTCGTTTCGCCGTTTTCTCCATTTTGTTGAGCGGCACGATTCCGCGTCTGATCCAACAAGCTGTCACCACGATGTGCCTAAAGTCTTTCCTTATTCAGAAAATTCTCATTACGATCGAACTAACAAAGATAGCGTTAATGGACTATTAACTTTTATAAAGTTTTACGCAAAATTCGCAAAGAACTTACATTCAAACTCGCTGAGATTGCTGCTTGTTCTGTGTCTCGTACTTGCGCAGCGCGTCGTTCCACCGTTTCTGCTGAACTGGTTGAAGGGCCATCACCATTTTCCTATAAAAACTCATGAATTATCTAGAACTAATAGACTTACAAGTCGTTTCCGCTTTTGAGCCGGTGTTTCCATCCATTCATTCGATACCTCAGCGACACCTCGCTTCGAAAACTAAAAACACTTATCATGATTTCAAATAAATTGGTTTATACTCAAGTCATTTGATGCAACTCTGATACTTTTAAAACTTACCGTTCGAGCACCCAACACATTGGCAACATTCCCTTTTTTCGGCAATGAAACCATCCATTCTTCACGTTTCATAGCGTTTTTCTCCTAAAAATGAAAATTTACTTAAAGCTTTTTAACTAAAACAAACCTTATCTTTATCCTCTTCCAACTTAGCAAGCCGTTGCAAATATCGTAGCTCCTCTGTTTCTTGGCTTGATGAGGGCAGCGAAGGGCCAATCACCTCATCATCGTCTGATGGTAGCTAAAATTTTAAATGTTGTACAGTAACTTAAACTTATAGCTTTTAAAAACGTACCTCCATGTAATGTTCCTGTCCGCCTTGATCGTCGTCGTCGCTCAATGGCATCACAAGGCCGGGTGGTAAGCTCGGACCAATCGCAGCTAAATTTAAACGATTAAGTAGCGAATGAAACTGTTTTCTAATTCATCACCAATTTAATATTTTATTTTATATGAGTCTAGTTACAAACCTGATTCATTTTGTAGTCGTGGTACTTCAATTTCGACGTCACCCCCATTCGTATTTTGAAAATCAGTAGGCAGAGAGGGGCCGATGTGACGAGCAGTTGGCTCCGGTGGCGGGATGTGATTGGTGACTAAAATAAAAGACTATAAAATACGGCAAGATTAAATTCCCTTCAAAATGAGTCAAACTAATTCAAAGTAACTCAAGATAGTTTTTAAAAATTGACCTCCAAAGTCAACAGGCGATCTAGCTCGCAATTCTGCGTCGGGAAGTGATGGCGCATCGTCTCGTGGAGCGAGCGCTGCAGGAAGAGCGGGTCCGATTTGTCGTGAAGGGAGCTCTGGCCCGATCACCGGCAATGATGGAAGTGAATCTAAAAAATAGGTAAAACAACCAATCCCGTAATCTATAAATGAAAATAGAAAGCTTAAATTGTTCTAAGAACTGATAGATGCAAAAAAAAAGTCTTTGCAAACACATGGAACTTGTCTCAATACTTCCTCTAGTTTTTTTTGTTCATACTTGTTAAAATAGATTAGATAACTAGAGAACTAGATTTTAAAATATTCAAATGAAGATCATTTCTTATTTACAAAACTTAAAAAATTCTATAAACAAAAAACTGACCATTATCAGATCCAGGCATTCGTCTCGATTGTGAGCCTGGGTCTTCTGGATCGTCTGGATGTATGCGATTATCCAGTACAAATCCGGCGGGGAGGCTTGGGCCTAAACTTTAAAATTAAAGTAAATCATAGAAGTCAAAAAAAAGAGTAAAGAACTCAAATTGACAACAAGTTTTTCTGAGCTAGCAGAAAAATTGATTAGATTTTCATGCCAATAAAGATATTCAGCTATTGCATTGAATAGCTGATTCGGATCTTAATTTGTACTGAAATCAAAGCTGTAAACACAGTTAGCAATTTGCTAAACTCGGGGGTGGAACAAATGCGACCTTTTTTTTGCGCACCTGGACATTTGCGCACCTTTTTTTTGCTGGAAAAGGCCTTAGGCAAGGCCCTAGAGCTTCGAAAATATTTCGAAAATTTTTCCATGTAAGGGAATCGTATGCGTAGATTCCGAATTTCGACAAATCAGACCTCGCTGACACGTCAAATTTGAGCTAAAAGGCAAAAACCGCGGAAAAGCGTTAAGTTGCGTAGTTTTTGCCTTTTAGCCCAAATTTGACGTGTCAGCGAGGTCTGATTTGTCAAAATTCTGAATCTACGCATACGATTCCCTTCTATGAAAACATTTTTGAAGCTCTACGACCGTTCCTAAGGCCTTTTCCAGCAAAAAAAAGGTGCGCAAATGTCCAGGTGCGCAAAAAAAGGTCGCATTTGTCCCACCCCCCTAAACTCACCAATATTTCTGCTACCCTCTGGCTCTAATTCCTCCATTCGTGGGAGACTCGGCGAAGTGACGTTGTTGCTTGAGCACGGTTCTTCGACGAAATCGTCTAAAACTGTTTTAAAACCAATTCTAGGATTATTTCTTGTACTAGTAAGCTTTAGAGCTTCGAAAAAATTTCAAAATCTGACTATTCTATGCAAAGCTAAAAGATTGGTGACATAAAAACCTATCATTTTTGGCTCTTTGACTCTTAGCAAAGTCTTTTAGACAAATATTTCAACCTTCTATGACTAAAATAGATACCTAATTCGTTTATATCATATTCAATTACCATTTTGCACGGGATCCGTGAAATCCTCGCTATAATCTAGTTCCTCTCCATCGTCCCAATTCGGCAACGGGAGCACATCATGCGCGCCTTCTCTCGACATTCACCTACAATTTTTTAAGATTAATCTAAGCTTGAAAAATTAAATATTCCAGTGAATAACAAAATTTCGTAAAAAAAAGTTGAATCGCTGAATCGGAAATGCCAAAAGGGAGGGCTTTTATCGGATTACTTCTTTTTAAAAGATCAGGGAAAAGATTGGCAAAGGATTGGCAAAAGAGAATCATCATATTGATGAGTGGGGGAGAGTTTAGATGACATTCTGTAAGATGTATTCGGATACGTCAATCTAATTGGAGGAGGTGATCCCTGGGGGTTCTAGACGCCCTTCCGAAATCGTTAGGCTCAATTAGTCGCCCCGGAATTGATGGAAATTTCCCTTTTCTCTTACAAAGTCATATACAGAAGTCGTACTTGTTGAAAGTGATCGTTTGACAAATACCTGGTGACGTACAAAAGTTAAAAGTTCTTACTGAAGCTGTTCAAAGTTAGAAAGCTTGACTCTAGCTCTGGATTCAGCTCTGGTAAAAAGCTATACCTTATAGCTAAAAAGCTATAAGGGAAGTGGTACACCATGTTGAGCCATTTCCATCTTGTTTAACAGACTTATGCGCTCAATATTGATCTTATTATGTCTGAATTGTTAAAAGTTTGGTATAGCTAAAATATTGGGAATCTAATTCTTGTTCTATTTAGTTCAAAATAGTGTTTTGTATTCCACAAAGAATCTTTGGATCTATCGTAATGTTTGCTAAATGCTTGGCATCGAATAGCATTGTACTAAAAGTTGTGCTTTCAAGTGAACAATTTCGATTCGTATCTAGATAACAATATAAATAATAGAATTATCAAAAAGATATTAGCCAACAAGTTTAAAAAGTTTAAGTCTAACTATAAGCTTAAATCTAAATAGACTTAGCGCTAGCTGCTATCCTTTGCACTAAGTTCAAGCTTGAAAGCCTTGTAAATCAACAACTTTAAGAACTAAGAAAGTTGAAAGCCTTGTAAGTCATCAACTTTAAGAACTAAGAAAATCTAAACTTTTAGTTTTGACTTTAGATTGAACAAAGAAACAACAGTTAGATGCTAATTTTGGTTTTAGAAATTAGTTCTAACAAATAAGTACTCAAAGATTTCTCAAAGAAAAGATAAAAAGTAGTATAACACTGACATCAGACAAACGCGAGAAAGAGCAAAACCGTTTACAGGGCAACGGAAGAGGAAGTTCAAAGAAGAAATATGAAAAGAATGGTGGAGGGCATGAGCACCGATTACCTCAGTCGCTTTTGTTAGTTACATAGAGCAGCTGAGCGTACAGGCACGTAGGGCCCAAGAAAAGACAGCCAGTATTCAAGCAGATGTACGCGACGCGACACTCACCGCTTTCAATTCTTTTCACTCCTTGTCAACGGCTATGTTGTGAGAAATGAGAGAACATCGAGAAACGAGAGTCTCTCCGAATTGGGGTGAGTCTAGAGAGACTAAACGATCGACCCGGTGATTCCTTGCCGATTTCTTTCACTGTCTCCGCTCTCCTAATCAATCACTGCAGCGGCATTTCGAATGAACACTTCTTTCCCTCCACTATTATTGGTGGACATTATTCGTTCAGCTTTCTCTAATTTAATTAACAATTATTCAAACGGTGGAGAGACGGCGAGTCCACGAAGTCCACAAAGAAATATGGCACCGGCGACTGATCATTTAAGAGAAGGATCTGAACCATCCACGTCAGTTACTATTAATTAATATATTAATATCAAAATTCTAAACGACATTTACTAATTATATTAGTTTTTAAGATAATTAGTTTAACAGTATTAGAATTTTAAATTTTTACAATAATCAGCTGCAATCTGCAATCTTTTCCAATCGCTTACAATAATCAGATAATTAAAATAAAGTACTATTTTTAATGTACTTTACGACTTTAGTGACACATTTCAATTGGAGACTCCAGAACTGAACAAACAACCGGAAGAAGTTTTTGATATTGTGTGCAAGCTGGGAGAAGGGTATGTTAGACTAATGATTGAGGATAGAACAAGAACTAGATTAATAATAGAAATATTTCACTCTAGATAAATCTTAATAACTGCTTGGAAAGTGCTAATAGATGAAAATGTTAAAAGCCTTGCATTAGTAAAGTAACGTAATAGTTTAAACACTGGCTCATAAAGCTACTCCAAATTTAGGTCATATGGCGCTGTACACATGGCGATTCACAAATCCTCCGGTCACACTCTCGCCATAAAGAAAGTTCCAGTTGACACCGATTTACAGGTCGGAAGAGATCACTCGAAAGAGTGAAAAATATTCATATAATGTCATACAAACAATTCAAAAGCAGCCCTAAAAGTAGGAAAGAAAAATAGCGAGGAAAAAGAACCAATAATCTAGTGGCGGGATTGATCTCTTGAGCTCCTGACTAAGATATAGGAGTCTTAGCCAGTTAGCTATGACGTCATTGAGGCGGGAAACGAAAACTTAGTAGACAGTAGTTAGTGTTCGATTTATCTACCGTAAATACTGTAATAGTACCCCACCGCCCTTGTACAGTCGCGTAGTCGCAAAAGTTTTTTAGTATTTTATTTTTTTCAAAGCGCCTGTACTTTCAAAAAATGCGTCTTTGGTATCAAAAAATAGCTGAAATTCAGGGCTATTTTTTGATACCTAAACGCGCATTGTAGCTTAAACCAGTGTCGAGAAGCACTCGTTCAAAGCTAGACTACGCAACACTCCGCACCGTCATTATGGGCGGTGGGGTACTATTACAGCATTTACGGTAGCTTAATTCCGAACAACAAGCACAATACATAGCAGTGATTTAAGTGATTTTTTAGATATAAACGCTCGCATTTGAAATATTTCCAATATTTGTATAGAATTTTTATTTTATTTTTTTGATTTCAAAGACTCTCAATTTCTATTCATTTCTATTCATTTCTATTCATTTTTATTCTATTCAAGTTCTACCCCATTCCCACGCATTTCACGAGATCGTTGCATTCTCTCGTGTCAAGGTCGAATATTTAAAGAGAAAACAGGGAATTCTCTCCATATATGCAAAGTGGTAATCATTAATGAAAGTTGAAAATAGCTAATCGGAAGGTCGAGGGTTCGAACCCCCACATGCGACATGGTCACCCCCTTCGGATTTCCTTTCCCTTCGGGTTGAGAGGTTTTCTGGAGGGCAGTCTGGTGGTTGTGGCCCCAGTTCTTTAAAGTGACAAGCCACTCCTTCATCGTCATCTTCCCTTCACCACCAAAAAAGCTATTTAGTTCCCCATTGAGCTTAGGGTTAGGGAGCCGTCTGTCATGACGTGGGTTAAGTTAAGATATAGCCTAGTATTGTGTGTGTCGTTGTATTGTGATTGATATATTTCGTGTATGCGATAAATTCACCACTGGTAGCCCCAGTCGGTATTTTTTTTTATTCAAGTTCTACCCCATTCCCACGCATTTCACGAGATCGTTGCATTCTCTCGTGTCAAGGTCGAATATTTTAAGAGAAAACAGGGAATTCTCTCCATATATGCAAAGTGGTAATCATTAATGAAAGTTGAAAATAGCTATTTTGAATTTCATTAACCTCTTTCCCATTTTAGGAAATCATTAAAGAGATCAGCATCATGCAGCAATGTGATAGTAAATACGTTGTCAAGTACTACGGGTCATACTTCAAGAATTCGGATCTCTGGGTGAGTTGTTGAGAGAAAATTTTCTTTATTTTACATTTAGTAGACAAATTTACAGAGATATAGAATATAAAATTAGAAAATTTACAGCTTTATGAAGATTTTAACCGCTATAGGAGCTCTATGAACTTTCAACAGTCTCTTTTAACTTTCTCTTAACTTTTAACAGTCTCTTTTTAAATTGAAAGTATAAAATTAGCCATAAAAATACTCAGGTTTTAGAAAACTAAACCATTCTACAGTACTCAGAATCTATTCTTCAGATAGTTATGGAATATTGTGGCGCGGGCTCAGTCTCCGACATCATGCGACTTCGCCGAAAAACCCTCAATGAATTGGAAATTTCCTCCGTACTCAGGGATACGCTAAAAGGTTTGTTAGAGAAAAAATAGTTTTGAAAGTTCAAAAAAATATTTAGGACTTCGATATCTACACGGACTAAAGAAAATTCATCGAGATATCAAAGCCGGGAATATTCTGTTGACTCTAGAGGGACATGCGAAATTGGCTGACTTCGGAGTGGCTGGACAGTTGACGGTAAGTTAAGGAATTCTTAAAGTATTACAATTCTATATTAGCTTAATAATATAGAAGCTTAATATATTATTAAAACTTGTTATCAGTCCAGAATTCTAGGACACGATGGCCAAACGGAATACCGTGATTGGAACCCCATTCTGGATGGTTCGTTTTTCTAATAATATCTAAGAACTTATGATAATAGGTTAATAAGTGTTTAATTTTAGGCTCCAGAAGTGATAGAGGAGATTGGCTATGATACAAAAGCTGATATGTGGTCATTGGGAATTACATCGATTGAGGCGGCTGAAGGACGACCACCATATGCAGAGATTCATCCAATGAGGGTTTGTAGAGAAGGAAATGTTAGATATTTAGCGATTTAGATTAGTAAATAAGAAATTAGATGCTTTCTGAATAATCACGACTTTAATTGCTTTGAAACTTCCGACACTAACCTTAAAATGTTTTGCATTAACTTACAAATGCACTGCATCAGTTCTTTGTCCTTTTGATAAAGTTCTTTTGATAAAGCTCTTTTAATAAAGCTCTTTTAATAAAATTCTTTTGCTAAAAGTTCTCTTAACAAAACAAACAAGACAACTTTTGTTCTAAATTTGTCCAAAGCAAAACCCACAACCTTTTAGGCAATCTTCATGATCCCAACAAAACCCCCACCAACGCTAAAAAACCCTGAAGACTGGTCTCATGAATTCAACGATTTTGTCCTTCGATGTCTCGTAAAGAAACCCGAAGATCGAGCAACTGCAGCCGAGCTCTTAGAGCATCCGTTTATCGGTTAGTTAACACTTAGCATTACTTGACTTAGAGCCGAGCAGCCGAGCTCTTTGAGCATCCGTTTATCGGTTAGTTAACACTTAGCATTACTTGACTTAGGATAAATTTCCTCAATAACACGGTATTTTTTTACATAAAATTGTCAAGCTAAGTAAAAAAATGTTCTAAACTGAAACTATTCAGAAAAGTTTCTATTTCTATTTCTATTCGTTTTCTCTTTAAAAAGTAGAATTTGAAAGAGGCTCATCAACTGAGGAAAAGCAGTTGTCAGTTGGGGAAAAGAACGAGAATTTATTGCTTGAAACTTGAACTTGAACTTGAATCTTGAAACATCTGGTTTTAACTGAAAAAAGCACTAAGATTATAAGAAAAGTGATTGTTGTGAAATGAGAAATCAAAATAATGAATAAGCTTTTTAATTTGATTCTATCAATCATGAATCTAGCATCGTTGATTTGCCATAATCTTTTAACAGATTAAACTTCTCTATTAACTTTGTTGAATGGTTAGAATGATTTTATTTATTTATTTTTATAGCTGCACATAAAATTAGATTGAATGTTTTTATTCACTTTTATTAGTACTGGTCTGGTGATAAGATTGGTTGGATCATTGTGTTCTGAGTCTTGAAATAGGAATCAAATCAGATCCAACAATCATCAACTACTTGAAAGGCGTTTGGTAAAGAGTTGAATTTTTGTTCAATTCATATTGCAAGCCAAATTGAATTGAAGATTGAATTGGATTGAGTTGAAGATTGAATTGGATTGAATTGAAGATTGAACTAAAGATTGAATTGGATTGAATTGGAATGAATTAAAGATTGAATTAAGGATTGAATTGGAATGAATTAAAGATTGAATTAAAGATTGAATTGGATTGAATTGAAGATTGAATTGGATTGAATTGGAATGAATTAAAGATTGAATTAAAGATTGAATTGAATTAAAGTAATTGAAGATTGCTATCGTATTGACTAAAAAGAGTAAAGTATAAAAGAAATTTAATCAAATATTAAAGATCTAATAAGTAAAAAGACTCAGATAAGATTTACACAGATACTTTTAGTGTTAGTTAATTTCAGTTAATGCTCAAGGACCACACATTCTGGAAGAGATGATTCGAGATGCAAAAGAGATTGCTGAAGCTAACAATATGGCTGCTGCACAAATGGGATTGGTAAGGCTAAAGAAAGATTTTACATCTACCAATCTTTTATTTTGCATAAGAGCTACAGAAAAGCTCATTTTAGGAAGAGGTGGACTCAGGCACGATGCTTCGAAACGATGATGGTACAATGATGTCATGGTCGGCTGGTGAAGAGGGAACACTCATCCAACATCCCACTTACAATTGTTAACTTTAAAAAACTTTCAAAGACTACTTTCAAATTCAGATTATCAAACCGCACAGTCACTGAGAAATCAAATGCAACAATTGATGATTGGTGGGAAAATCCCAGCTGTGGCTAGGGGTTAGTGAATGAAGTTAGATTTAATTTAAAGATTTTCAGGCGGTCCATCAAATAATGGAAACGCAAACTCACCAATGTCTCATTTGCCACCGGAGCATGCTCAAGCTTTGGGCGCTCTTCACCAGAATTCAGAACAATTTGCTAATATGGCCGATCGATCACTGTCAGCTATCGGAGCGCCAAATGATACATTCCCATCAACGTTATCATCACAGACAGGTTTAGAAAAGCTTTATCTAAAGAAAACTGATAACCAGTACAAGCCAATACAAGTCTTACAAGTCTTAAAGCCTTTTTTTTAAATAGTTCCCCAAGTTTTGTACATTTTACAACGGTTTATCGTTATATTTGTCTGATTTAAATCAGTTTTTTTTGTCAATATTTGTCTGATTTAAGTCAATTTTAGTTTATAAAAAAGACATTTTAAAGTTATTTCAATCATCTAACTAAAAGATACAATGTAAAAGTAAAAACAAAAAGTAAAAACAACATTTCAGTTGGCTCAGCAGATTTTCAACATGCTCTCACCAGTGAAAACTTTGAATTTGTAAGTTACAATTCGATAAAACTGTAAATACTTTAATAGAATCCCCGTAAGACGAGCGTACAGTCGTGTAGCTTTACTTTTAACGTTTCATTCTTTACTTTGCTTTAAGCTACAGTGTGCGCTTGGGTCTCAAATGATAGAAACTCTGTCAGCTAATGAAATCTAATATTATTTCGTATCAAAAGTATAGTTGGGAAATAACTAGAAGCTTAGAAAAAAATGATTTCTTAAAAAGTTAGATTACGCAATTGTATGATGGCGTTCTATTAGAGTATTTATGAGTTTAAAGTAAACTTTCAGTTTAACTTTCAGTTACGTGGTCTTACCATGGAGGAATTGATTCGAAGAAAGAACACATTAGAGGACGAAATGGATAACGAATTGAAAGAATTGCAACGCCGATATCAGAACAAACGACAGCCGATACTCGATGCGATCAACGACAAGAAAAATCAAATGACTTTGTAGTTAAGAGATTTGTAGAACATGGAGACTGTAACTTTTCAGTGATTGCAGATAGCTTTGAAAGCTTTGAAAGATTTGAAGCTTTGAAAGCTTTGAAAGATTTGAAGCTTTGAACTTGCTTTGAAAGCTTTGAAAGTCAACAAACTTTGAAAGCCAACAAACTTTGAAAGATTCCTTGTACTTTATATTTATTGCTTACTGTAGCTTATGCTTACTGTAGCTGTAGGTATTCTTTTTTTCTATCCAAACATTCACCTCACTTTATTTCATTTTTAAGTTAGACTAGTGACTACGGGATCTTCCTTTTCCAATCTTTGCTCACAATAGACAACTTTGAAGACTTGTTTATAGAAATTTACTCGATGTTTTTGGAAAGATTGATTCTGAAAACAGTATTAGAATGGTTTTGTTTCGAAAATAAAAATCGATCTTTTCCAAAAGATTTTGCATTTTCCTTTTGCCTTCATCCCCCTTTTTTTACTTGCCGATTCAAGTCACAGTTTCGAATTCAATTCATTGAATTTCCATTTGCACACAAAATCTGTTAAAAGTAGTATTCGGGAAATGAAATAATGAAATACTATGGTGCTATGATATATCTAGCTATATTTAAGTATGAGTTCAAGTTAGAGAACATGAACAAGCAGAGAATAAAGCGGTGTTCGTAAACGATTTGACGCACTACAGTCCTTTGCTGGTTAGCGCTCTAGGTCCCTAGTGTTTACATAAAACTACAGTAATCTTGGATAAACTCTGCAGATGGATCTGCAGATCAATTGTTGAAGCAGATCAATCTATAATAGAAAATTTCAATCGAAAAATCGAATTTCAACAAAGCAGACCTCGCTGACACGTCAAATTTAGGCTAAAAGGCAAAAACTACGCAACTTGACGCTTTTCCGCAACAATAGATCGACTAACTTACTGTAGCAATCCTATTACATATTGACTACTTCATGCGCTTGTTCTCTAGCTTCACTCTCAAATCTTTGTCCATAAGTTAGTCCAAATTCACTCTTCTTGTCCCCAATCTGTCTCTATTTTCACATTTTCTTGACTTTTTTTTTTTTTTGGGAATCAAATGCCCATCTGATTGTGATAATTCTTTTTTTTTGTTTTCTGATTTGTGCTTTCTTGGCAATAAAACATTTTCGCTCGTTCATTTAGGGTCAAATTTTTGAAAGAAAGCCAAATGATAACTGAGAATTTTCAAAAACATTATAAAGCTTATTAGTTTCAAAAAAAAACTACAAATCTAGTATAGATTGATCTACATCTACATCTACAAATCTAATCTATAAATCTACAACTTTTCTAGTATAAATTGATCTGCTTCTTCTGCTGACATTATAAAAATCGTTGCCAAAAAGTTTTGATTGAATGAAAGAGCAAAAAGAGTAAGTCGATATTGGGGGAAAAAGGGGAGAGTCGGAAAATAAACAGTTCGTTTCACTTTGCACACACAGCACACACGTGTAAGAAGAAAAAAAAGAAAGGCACAAAATGATCAGTGAAGGGGCAAGGTGAGAAGGCGCGAATTCGGCATCACGACAAGCTATTCTCTGAAATTGCAAAGCCAGCTGGATTATCGATTTCCTCTAGTCATTGTTATATCTCTATTCAATCAGCTATTTACTCATCTATAAACTTTCCATTTTTTTCCCATTCACTGAATCCAATACTCTGTCACTTGGGGGAACAATGGGTGAAAGTCCTATCGAATTCACAGCCCCCGTTAGAACCCCTCGTTGAAAGGGGAGCCTCAGAAAAAAATGGGCCCTCCTTTTAGCGTATGGCTATGTGGTTGTGGGGTGAAAGGAGGAGAAAGGGCGGCGGAGGTGCGTGGGACTCCGGCCCTAGTGGGCATTGATTCTCAATAGAGCTCCTTTTTTCCCCTCGGCTCGGGTTTTTTGGCCTCTCTTTTTACCCTCTCCTTTCTTTTGCTTCAGCCCGCGCATACGGGCACAACTTCTCCCCTTCCAAGCTGCCCCCCTTCTACCCCTAAAACCACCCAGACCCATCCAAACGAGCTCCCCTTTTTTTGGCGACAACGAAAAGTTTCTCAGCTCAACTCCTTTTTTTCTCTTTTCTAGGTCCCATATAATTGGCATCGATTATAGGAAATGTTTTGGCAAGCGGTAGCTTTTCCTTTGTGGATTTAATGGACAAGAAGTAAAGAACTTTTTGTGCATTGATATTGGAAAAGTCATGCTTATGAACTCTCTGTGGGTTCTCAAGGCAGGTCCCAGATACCGTAAATGCTGTATTAGAATGACATTTCATTCTACTTTTCAACCCCTCAAAATCGACTGATCCAAAAAAATAGGTAACGAGGGATCACATGAATCAAAAATTTAGAATTCGTTAACAACTATTTTAAACAATGGCCTTTTGTCCAAAGCGTACAGAAAACGCGTTTAAAAATGACATTTTTTTCTTATCCGCGATCCCCTTTGAATCTCCAAAAAAATCCATGTTGAGGACCCTGATTTTTTCAAAGATAGCTTTTTAAATTTTATTGCCGATAAAATTTTAGTAGGTTTTAGGTCTAGATCTATCCATAGAACTCCCAAAAGGGGGTCTAAAGACAAGATTTCGAGTGGTCATGAGGGTGTCATTCTAATACAGCATTTACGGTAATTGGCATCGATTATAGAAAATGTTTTTTTTTGCTAGAAATAGAAATAAAAAAAAACAGAAAAGTCAAAGGTAATTGGTGATTTTGTGTGCAAAAAGGCTACAGAACCCGAATAGAAAAACTTTGGTTTAATTTTGATCAAGTATCTTTTATTTTTGGTGTGGATAATTTGAAGTTCAGTATCAAATTACAGTATCTACCTAACGTTAAGTAGTTGGGCCAATGTTACTGTACTAGTTTTAGTTGAGAAAAACTAAAGTAAGTCAAACGCCTCCGAAAGGCAGATTTCGGTCAAGTCAGTGTTTTCTATAAATTTTTATTGTAATATAAGTAAATATTTAACCAACCAACTTCATAGTTTAAGTTCTGGGGTAATAATATTTGGGCAGTTACAAGCTTGTAAATTGAATTTACTTGTAACTATTTGAGGGTGGGACAAATGCGACCTTTTTTTCCTCTGGAAAAGGCCGTCGAGTTTCAAAAATGTTTTTATGTAAGGGAATCGTATGCGTAGATTCCGAATTTCGATAAATCAGACCTCGCTGACACGTCAAACTTGAGCTAAAAGGCAAAAACTACGCAACTTAACGCTTTTCCGCCGTTTTTGCCTTTTAGCTCAAGTTTGACGTGTCAGCGAGGTCTGATTTATCGAAATTCGGATTCTACGCATACGATTCCCCTACATAAAAACATTTTTGAAGCTCTACGGCCTCTCCTAAAACCTTTTCCAGCGGAAAAAAAGGTGCGCATTTTGCCGGGTGCGCAAAAAAGGTAGCATTTGTCCCACCCGCCTATTTTGCACGATTTGGACAGTTGCAAGCTTGTAAAAAACTGCCTTGTAAAAGTCAAATGGTACCATCACAGTCGTTGATTTTCTAGCAGCTTTCATTTCGATTCAATTTCTCATTTTCACTTCTCCAAACAGCGCTTTATGATTGTTCAAAAATCCTTGCGTAATTAAAACCGAATTGCCACTTTTTTTTGCACAAAGCCTCCCACTCGTCCTCAATCCAATTACCGGAATTGACCCTCTGTTGATGAGAGAAGAATGTGTGTATGCAATGTGACAGCGCTCTTCTCCCTTCGCGATGGGCGAGAGGTGTGGATGGTACTGTTGTGTACCCCTAATGGAGCTGCTGACTCACTCAACTGTCTCCCGCATCTCTCTGGGATTTCTCTGATTCACGCTCGTCACTTTTCTCGTTTCTGATTTCACAATTTGCAAGATTAGAAGTGTTATGATCTCAAAATATTAAAATGTCCATTAACTTAGATTCTTTGCTAATTTAGTATTCGCTTAAGTTAAGTTGAAGTCCTGCTTGATCTGTACATTAAGATTTTCATGTTTAGCCATTAAGTGTCATGAAATTTAGCTCCTTGTGCTATCATAATAAAGTCTCTTGTTTTAATATCAATTACGTTTTCATCATTTCTTTTCCGATTCTACCATTTTGTAGACTGTTTTACTAATTCTATGATTTAGGCGACGAGCTGAATTGTGACAAGAACATCGCCGTCGACAGAAAATCTTCAAAATGGCGTGGGCCAATACTGGAATGCAAGCGCTTATCCCGGTGATCAATCGAGTTCAGGTGAATATTTTATTTCAATTTGGTCTTTGTAAAACTTTTTTTCTAACGCTAAGCTACCTAAATTATGTGTTTTATCAAGCAAATTCTGGAACGTTACGAAGCGCATAATAGTACAGATAATATTTTTGATTTTAGGATGCTGTTACGCAACTCGGGACCCCTGTTAACTTCGAGCTTCCACAAATCGCCGTCGTTGGTGGGCAAAGTGCGGGAAAATCATCAGTACTCGAGAACTTCGTTGGAAAGTACGTTTGCTTCCTAGTAGATCGATTTATTGCAACGTTTAGGGACTTCTTGCCTCGTGGCGCAGGAATTGTAACACGACGACCGCTAATTCTACAACTGATGCAAGATCGAAATGGTAGGCTTTAGTTCAATCTTCTAGCAAATTTATTTTGTTTAGAATACGCTGAATTCTTGCACAAGAAAGGACAACAATTCCTCGACTTTGAAGCAGTACGCCAAGAAATTGAAGATGAGACGGATCGAGTAACTGGACAGAACAAGGGAATTTCTCCTCATCCAATCAATCTTCGTGTTCACTCTCCGAATGTCCTCAATTTGACGCTCATCGATTTGCCAGGATTAACAAAGGTTTGTTAATCCTGGCTGAGCTTTACACAATAATAGTACATGCGTCTTTGAACAATAATGATGGATATTATGATTAATGATAATTATTTAGGTTCCCGTTGGAGACCAGCCAGCCGACATTGAACAGCAAATAAGGGACATGATCTTGACGTACATTGCTCGAGAGTCCTGCTTGATCTTGGCCGTCACTCCAGCAAACAGCGATCTCGCAACGTCGGATGCCTTGAAACTTGCAAAAGAAGTCGATCCACAAGGACTTCGAACAATTGGAGTGTTGACAAAGCTGGACTTGATGGACGAGGGAACAGACGCTCGCGAGATTTTGGAAAATCGCCTGTTCCCCCTTCGAAGAGGTTTTTGTTGTAAAAGTTTCTATCTATTTTCATTTTTAGGGTATGTTGGCGTGGTGAATCGAGGTCAGAAAGATATCACTGGCAAGAAGGATATTCGTTCTGCTTTGGAAGCCGAGCGGAAGTTCTTCATTTCTCATCCATCTTACAGGTTTAAATTGTTCTTGGTGCTTTCAATAATTTAATTTAGGCACATGTCGGATCGATTGGGCACGAGCTACTTGCAATTCACTCTCAATCAACAGTTGACCAATCACATTCGGTAATAAAAACTGTTCTTTTAAACATTGTAATAAAATTTTAGGGATACGCTGCCTTCACTACGGGACTCATTGCAGAAGAATCTCTTTGCAATGGAGAAGGATGTCGCCGAGTACAAGAACTTCCAACCGAACGATCCATCCCGAAAGACGAAAGCCCTGATGCAGTAAGTTTTTGGCACATCATTTCTGTAATAGTCGGCTTTCAACTAGGATGTTTCTTTTTAGAATGGTTCAACAGTTCACTCGCGACATTGAGCGCTCAATTGATGGGTCTTCGGCCAACATGGTGTCGACAAACGAGCTAAGTGGTGGTGCCCGCATCAACCGGATCTTCCACGAGCGCTTCCCATTCGAGATTGTCAAGATGGAGATCGATGAAAAGGAGATGCGTCGAGAGATACAATTTGCCATCCGAAATATTCATGGTGTCCAGTAGGTTTTACTTTTTTTATTTTTATGATAGATTTTTAGGGTTGGACTCTTCACTCCAGACAAGGCCTTCAAGTTCATCGCAAAGAAGCAAATCGGACGACTTCGGTAATTTGAGGAGAAGGTTACTAAACAACAAATTCAGGGAGCCAGCACAGAAATGCGTGGATCTGGTGGTTAATGAGCTAGCGAATGTTGTTCGTCAAACTGCCGAAGCGGTTCGTTAAACGTTTGCTGTTGATTTCATTAAAACTTTTAGTTGTCTCGTTATCCCCGGCTTCGTGATGAGATTGAGCGAATTGTCGTCACACACATGCGCGAGAATGAGCAATACGCCAAGCAACAAATTGGCTTCATGGTCGAGTGCGTTATTTTAATTTTAATTGTAATTGCTATGTCATTATTTAATCGGAATTAAAGTATCTATTAAATTTTAGCTGCGAGCTCGCCTACATGAATACGAATCACGAGGATTTTGTTGGTTTCAGCAAGTATGCTTACATTCACCTGCTTACATTTAGTGTCTTTTAGTGCCGAAGCAAAAGCGTCTTCATCAGTGGCCAAGAAGAATCTGGGAAATCAAGTGATTCGCAAAGGATGGCTCTCCGTACACAACATTTCATTTGTGCGCGGCTCAAAGGACTGTTGGTTTGTGCTCACATCGGAAAGCCTCTCCTGGTTTAAGGTATGTTCTTCAGCTTTATCTTGAAAACTTATTTATTATAGGACGACGAAGAAAAGGAAAAGAAGTACATGATGCCTTTGGATGGAATCAGGTTGCGCGACCTCGAGAGCGGTTTTATGTCTCGACAGCACAAATTCGCCCTCTTCTATCCGGACGGAAAGTAAGGCCTCTATTAATTGACCATTTAAAATTAACTCGCAAATTCTCCTTCTAAAATCTGTATTCGAAAGATTTTCAGAGCGTAAGTGTTGTTTTGCAAAGATTAACGCGGTACACCCGGTGGTATTTTTATCCTTTGTCAAAGCTACTCTCCCCTTTCGCTTTCGATTTTTTAGATTACTGCATCAAAACTTTCTAACAACCTTTCTAACAAGTGATGCCGGTTTAAACTTTTAGTTTTAAAAAGACATCATTTGCTGTTTATTCTGCAACGACTTAAAAATCACGAATTGATTTGATTGAACACACATCATTAACCATTACATTACTAGGCGATCAAAGACTAAATTTTCAGGAAGTAGGTTGCATTGATCGAATTGGTCGTAAGTGTACTAGCGCAATTAATGTCGTTATTGCTGTGTACATTTTTGATTGAATTCCTCCAAATTTTTGTCGTAAAATCGTGAATCCCCTGCGCTCTAGTTATTTTGTAAAACTCGATATCAGTTGCATGTTTTACCTCTCATTGGGAATAGGAGATTGGTAACTGAATGATCACTTGCACTTGAATTTTTAGTGCATGCGACTACTTCTGTACTTAATTTGTCTTTTAGGAACATCTACAAGGACTACAAGCAACTTGAGCTCGGGTGTGCCAACCTTGATGAGGTTGACGCGTGGAAAGCCTCGTTTCTTCGAGCGGGAGTGTATCCAGAAAAGCAAAAGGCACCTGAAGAGGTATTGTACTTGTTAATGATCAATTAAAGTCAGTATTATAGGAGGTAATTTTTTGAAGTTCAAAGGTTTGAAAAGCATGAACATTGTTGTGTTACTTCCTTAGTTAGCTTTAATAGAATTTATTTAAACTACACAACTACACTTCTTTTTTTAGGCTGACCAACAAGATGAGGTTTCCTCTATGGATCCTCAAGTGGAAAGACAGGTTGGAGGAATTCGATTTTTATTAATAATGATTTTCTTTTTAGGTTGAAACAATTCGCAATTTGGTTGATTCGTACATGCTGATTGTGACGAAAACAATTCGAGATCTTGTGCCCAAATGTATCATGCTGCTTATAGTCAATCAAGTTAGTAAATTTTGTATAAATCAACGTTATTTTGGTTTAGGTTGGAGAATTCTTGGAAAAAGAGTTGCTGGCGCATCTCTACCAATGCGGCGACAACGACGCGTTGATGGAAGAGTCGCAGGCGGAAGCGCAGAAACGCGATGAGATGCTACGGATGTACCATGCCATCAAGGAAGCTCTACGAATCATCAATGAGGTATTTCGTCTTCTGTTTAACCGCCAACTAAACTTTATCCTAGGTAAACATGAGCAACCTGGACGTCTCTTCAATGGCAAACGCTCTTCCTACTCCACCGAACGACTATCGAAACGGACCAAGCCCACCATTTGGAAGGCCTGGCGGACCGCCAGGTTTAAATCTAATAATTACATTACTTATTTATACTTAGCCCCCGGAGGTCAGGGCGGAAGACAAGCACCAATGCCACCACGACCAGGAAGCGGCCCCGGCGGTCCACCACCAGTAATGAGAGGACCACCAATGCCCGGAGCACCAGCAGTCCCACAGTAAGCTTTTATAATTTTTATTTTTGTTTATCGGTGCGTGTGTTAGGCGGCGACCTGGCGCACCTGGTGGTCCTCCACCACCTGGCGCACCCGGTGGTCCTCCACCACCTGGTGGCCTAGGTGGCGTTCCTCCTCCACTAAGGCCACAGAAGTAGACAGATGAATAGCGACGGTAATTAGTAGAACGTGTTGTACGAGTGTTTTGTGGCTTGTTATATATTGGGCTTTTGTTGTAACCCTTGGAATTTGAGCCCTGGCCAAAAAATTTTGTTTGCTAAGTTTTACTTGAATGGTTAGTGTCGGGTCATCACACCTACCAAGCATGAGTTTCAAGATCGACCCAACTGTGCAAAGAAGCTGAAGATTTATGTTTTTGCTGCTAAAGCACTGAATCTCCGGTTTCAACATTGAAGTACCCAGAAAATTTTTATTTTTAGGCGTGGACCGACGCCGACAAATGGCGTGCCTCTAATTCCAAAGCGCCCAACCATTCCACCACGTCCTGCTTAACCGTACAAAGTATTCAGATACCTTTATGTTCTATGCTATTTGTGAGTTTCCCCCCTCAGCTATGGTTTATTCCATTTTGTAGGGGTTTTTGCTTTGTAGATTTTAGAGAATGTCTGTGTTGTGTTGTGACATTAATTTATTTGTATGCGTTTAAATGTTTGATAGTGATAGCTATGTCAATACTAAAACTCTGTGAATTGTCTCCTCTCTGTTTGTGTTTTTTCTCCACGTGACTTTGCATCATCCCATTTCCTAGCTGCATGTTTCGATCTTACATGTAGCATTGATAGGCTTTACGAAATTATTGCTTCTGTGCCCACACAAAAATTACCTGAACTTTTGATAAGACTTTGTATCGTTTAATGGTTTCAATTTGTAAGTGCCCCCATTTACAGTTAGCAATATAAGGTTCAGCCCACTTTTTTTAATGTTCATTCTCATGTTGTAGCATTTTTATGTACCCTTGTCAAAATTGCTGTTTATTTGTGTAGATAATAAATTATTTATTCACTTACACAAGTAAAAGAGTAAGCGCTTGAGGTTTGACAATTGCACTTGATATATGAAACGGGTCGTGAAGAAGTTTGCAGATATGGGAAAAGCTATGGTTGCCGTACAAAAATTGTTGTTCAAAACCTTGTGTGCATTGTTTAAGCAAGAAATTTGTGAAGAGTTTATTTCCCATAAATCGTGATTCAAATTTTAAAATACATCACACAGATATGCAAGAAATGGCGAAAGACGGCGGGATAAAAGAGAAATGATCCAACAAAGGTTTACAGTACTTTTTCAAAACCTCTTGGATTCACATTAAATAACACCGTAGTTTTTCCGTATTCCGAATACAGTTTTACGATAGAAATGATATTATAGCTTAAAAAATTATATATCGGCTTGAAGAAAAAAAAACCCTAATCAGATATCGTGACTAATTTTTTTTGGACGAAGAATAAATGCTAACCGATTTGTACAAAAAAAATACCGCATTCTTTTGTTGATAAAAAATTTTAAGCTTGGGTTCTGGTGGCTCGTTCTTTGTAGTGTTGCTTCACGTAGTATTGAATCGTTTCCATGAGACCCTCGTCGAATGGAGTTGTACACTCCCAACCAAATGCCTCAAATCATTTGTTTTATGGAAACGATTGGTTCTAGACTTGTTTAACGGTACTTTCTACTGGATAGACTTTAGAGAAAAGGCTCTAATGATAAGTAACGAAATTGGGAAAAGGATAAGAGAACTTTTAACACTGAAAATTAATGTTGACTTAATTATCTTAAAATTAGAAAATGAAATACGATAAAAGATAACTAGTGCTAATAAAACAATCAGTTTTTCTGTATTTTCTATTTGACTATTTTCTTTAATCGACAATCACTTCTAATACTATTTAGGAATTTAAAAGTAGACATTTATCGTTTATTTATTGTTAAAGTAGACATTTATGATATTGTTAACTAAAATATCCGAACATTCGCATCGATTTGTGGAATTGCGGACTTAGATGTTTTAGATTTATTGTAAATCCCTAGATATACTCTTTTTTTTCAACAATCAAAAAACGGCGATCACTTTTGAGAATGATCATCTAATTTGAAAAGAGTTCAGTTTTTGTATCGCCATTTCTTTCAATTCCTTTTCGCGTTCTTTGCCTTTGCTAAATGCCAGAACTTAAAACCGGATCTATCCGCGATTTTTGCTATTCATTTTGGCACTCACCCGCTTGATTTTACCAAAATCGATGAAATATCGCCGATCGTGATAGGGTCGATCCGGGATTGGCGTGAATTTTGGATCGTTTTGATCGCTGAAAAATCTCTTGCTAAAAAGTGAATGAGAAACTGCTTTAAACCCATTATAAAAGCTGCTGTAAACCAATTTTTTTCGCCTTTTTACACCTTTTAGAAAAGCTAATCAAAAACCCAATCAAAAGCAATTCAATCATCAGAAAAGTCAATCAAAAATTCAATCATCAGCCAAGCAAAAAAGCCATACCGCTCTTGTAACTTGTTGACGATAGCGTGGATTTTTCTTGTCAAATCGATATTCGTCATCTCGAATTCGGTGCCAATGTTGTAAACCTAAAAGTTTGAAATTGATAAACTTTCTCAATAGATAACACCTCTCCAACTGTTCCCTGTTGAGTGACTCGTCTAATTGCTTCCGAACAATCACTCACATACATCCAAGACCCGAAAAAGTAAAAGTTTTCAAGAAAAGTCGAAACAATTCAACCTGCAATGTTTCCCATCACCCATCAATGGATATGGCTTCTCTTCGAGAGCTAGCTTTGTGAATTTGGGTATCAATTTGCTGTATGCTTGACGAGGTCCGTAAACGTTGTTCATACGAACCATCACGTAAGGGAGCTTGTAGGAACGCTGAAAGTCGACTTTAAAAGCTACGCCTCCTTTGACCGACAATTTTACTATCTTTTGTCCATCTCCTTTGAACTAATCATATTGATAGAAATCTCCCCTTGAAGTTACATTTTAGGAACGATCTGATTTCGAGCTGCAAACACCCTTTTGACCAAGCCAATCACGAAACTGCTTTCAAATCCTACTTATCATAAGCCACTTTCGAGATATAAACCTTCAAAGTTTTGACCAAAAGCAAGCTAGCTTACTTAAGGCGTTACTGCGAGCCGAGCGATGTGACTCGGTTAGTCTAGTGGATGGTTTGTTAACGCCTGGTTCTGCTTGTCCCTGGTTCGGATCCACGGCCGATCAGACCAGGCTATTTTTAGAAAATTACTTTTTTGATCAGTAATTCGTTTACTGTTTGTTAGAAAATACTGTTTGGCGAGGCTTTGAAGGCTTATATCTCGAAAATGGTAGTAAGTAGGATTTGAAAACAGTTTCGGGATGTTTTGGGAATCAGATCGCTCCTAAAATATAACTTTAAGGAGTTGCCTGGTCTTAAAAAATGATCTTAAACTAAAATCTTTTAAATAAATCGAATTTCCTTACATAATATGCCCCAATGATGAGCTCACAAGCGGCTTTACTGGCTGCATACGGATTGGTGGGATTTGGAAGAGTAGTCTCTGATTTTGGAGTCGTGTCTGATTCTTGTGAATCACCGTAGATCTCATCTAAAAATTTGAGACTTTTAAAAGTTTAAAAGAATCTATTAAAGAATATTTCTAGGTTAAAGTCCTTTATTTTAAGAGTTTAAGATAAAGGCTTTATTTATTATTTTCAGAAATACAGTCTGAATCTAGAAAACTCTTGAAAGAAAGATTTGGGGAAGAAGCATTGGGGGAAGAAGCATTTGGAGAAGAAGCATTTAGGGAAGAAGAATTTAGGGAAGAAGCATTTGGGGAAGAAGCATTTAGGGAAGAAGAATTTAGGGAAGAAGCATTTGGGGAAGAAGCATTTGGGGAAGAAGCATTTGGGGAAGTGTTGTATTTTGAGTTTAATCTAATACTAGATTATAATGTAAAGCTTAGATGCTCAAATGGGATGCTAAAATTCCTCTTATCTTTATCAAAATCGTTTTGCCAACCTGTTGAAATGTGCACAAGTCTTTTCACTCCTTTATAGCTGCTGTTGACGATTGATTCCAAAAGAGTCGTTGTTGAAATGATGTTTTCCTAAAAAGCGAGTAAATATAAGAAATTCAGCTCTTTAAATTCATTTTCCAACCTGAATTGTCCCTATTCTGTCTGCATAGGAGTCATCAACGTGTGTGATTGCAGCAAAATGAATAACGGTATCAATCTGAAAGCTTTGGTAAAAAAAGAATCATTTCCATTTCTAATAATAAAGTAACAAACATGATTTTCTTCAAGAGCTTTGTTGAGAGTTGTTTGATCGAGAAGATCTGCGTGAATGAAAGTGTAGCGTCCTCCATCGATGACTCGAGGCTCAATATGTTCTGTGGAAGCTCCAAACGTCAATTTATCATAGTTCACGAATCTAAGAGGAAAATATTAAAATAAATATTTCAATCAATCAATCAATCAAAGCTTAAAGCTTATTTTTAAAAGAAATTAGCAATCTACAGTGGTTTTTTGACAAATTGAGATGAAAGAAATTCAAAGTTTTACACTTTAAATGAATACTTAAATACTGAAAACGAATACTGAAATCTTTTCTTAATTTAAGGTTATTTTAAAATAAATGTAGGTATTTTATTAGATAATTAACTTATTTATAGAAATTTTTAAAACAAAAAGGGTTGGGGCTTAGATTGCGTAATGGTGACTGGTAACTAGAGTGTGTTCTGGTAACTTCCTGGTAACTAGAGTGTGTTCTGGTAACTTCCTGGTAACTAGAGTCTGTTCTGGTAACTCCCTGGTAACTTCCTGGTAACTAGAGTCTGTTCTGGTAACTTCCTGGTAACTTCCTGGTAACTAGAGTGTGTTCTGGTAACTCCCTGGTAACTTCCTGGTAACTAGAGTGTGTTCTGGTAACTTCCTGGTAACTCCCTGGTAACTAGAGTGTGTTCTGGTAACTTCCTGGTAACTAGAGTGTGTTCCTCTCAAGTAATAGTGCAAAATAAGAAACGACTCCGTTTTCGGGGTTACCAGGGTTGGGGGTTGGGTTGAGGCTTAGATGGACTTAATGGTGGACCTTTATTTAGCTAAATGCTTAAGTAGGCGGTGGGTATCTACTATATCTAAAGCAGAAGAGACGTCTGCCCGTCTCAGCCACTGGCAAAAAGGTTTGGACTCCGTTTTCGATTTCATGGATAATGAGCAAGAATGCTTCTGATTCACGTTTTAGAAAACGTTTTTCGTTTCCTATTTTGCGCTATTACTTGAGAGGGACACACTCTAGTTACCAGGCAGGTCCACCATTACGCAATCTAAGCCCCAACCCTTTTTGCCAATGGCTGAGACGGACAGACGTCCCTTCTGCTTTAGATATAGTAGATACCCACCGCCTACTTAAGCATTTAGCTAAATAAAGGTTATAACTATCGTAATTCCTCTAATAGTAGCCCCTCCCGCCGTAAAGTCGCGTAGTCACAAAAATTTTTTACTAAATCATTTTTTCCTAAGCGCTCATAATTATTAAAAATAAATGTTTGATATCAAAAAATAGCCCCGAATTTCAGCTTTCATTTAATACTTAAACGAACACTGTAGCATAAATGGGTGGCGAGAAAAATGCGTTTAAAGTTAGACTACGCGATGCTCCGACCGTCATTTTAGGGAGGCGCTACTATTAAAGGTATTACGATATGCTTTTCTTAGTTTAGCTTTAGCTTAGTTTAGTTTAGCTTTAGCTTAGTTTAGTTTAGCTTTAGCTTAATCTTTATCTACTATAATTCAATTTAGAACTATAATTTAAACATGGTTTAAATAAATAAATAAATCGACTAAACTTGATATTTTTATAATGTAAAAAAAGTGCGGTGTCTATCCTATCAGTCTTGAAATTTCAAGCGCCTATAACTTCTTTTTTTTTTCCACGATTTCCCCTTTCCAATTCGCAAACTCACTTTGTTTTACTCCATTTCTCGTGAATAAAATTGATGAAATTTGATCCGATAAACCCGCAACCACCAGTGATTAGACAATTCGTCGGCTCGCCATAATCATCGGCCATCACTTCAAAGAGCTTTCAATATTCAATATTTAATATTCAATAAGCTTTTTTTGCGTGGATTCAATCGAAAAGCAAAAATCCATTTGGGAGAATTGGAAAAGACAAAAAGGATTCAATGAAGGGGAAAAAGGGAATGAAAGCTGAGGTCTGATCGAGAATGAGATAATCGAGGTGAGGAAGAGGCTGACTCCAAGAATTCGAGGCATTTTTCGAAAGAGCTGTCTGATATCTTAAGATCAAGCTCATTTACAATTGTAAAATTGTTACTTAACTTATAACAATGACTATTACATTCTAGTTTTTGAGCTTTAAGTTTACCGATCTCCCGGCTATGCTTTCTGTAATACCTTTAATAGTAGTGCCTCCCTAAAATGACGGTCGGAGCATTGCGTAGTCTAACTTTAAACGCATTTTTCTCGCCACCCGTTTATGCTACAGTGTTCGTTTAAGCATTAAATGAAAGCTGAAATTCAGGCCTATTTTTTTGATATCAAACATTTATTTTTAACAATTATGAACGTTTAGAAAAGAATGATTTAGTAAAAACTATGATTGCGAATTTTGCGACTACACGACTATACGGGGGGAGGAGGCTACTATTAGAGGTATTACGATAATCTAAACTTAGACTAAACTTACAGCTAAAAAACTATAGAATATGATATTCTTAATAATGGAGATTTTAAAGATTATACGTAAAAGTGGAGATTTTTAAATTCAAAAAGACTGATTGTGAGGTTAAAAGATAAAAAAATCTATTTACGATTTAAAAAAGGTATAATGATAAGGGATCGATAACGATCAAAAAGAGATTTTCATCTTTAAAGAGGCTAATCATTTCTCTCAATCCTTTTCTCTGAGCAAATCTTGGATCAAGTTCTTATCCAGTTCAAATCAAAACTGATTCCGCAAGAGGGTTTCAAAGAGATTCAAAGAGATCCCATCAAAGAGATTGAAAAAACCCCACAAACTAGCTAGACACTTTTTATTGTTTTCTTTGAAATTTAAACAAGATTTATAGCTTTTCTTAATTTGCTTTTTATTTTTATAATTAAACAAAATCTAGACTTTAATTAAGAAAATAAAGTAAAAAGTAAAATAACTGAAAGTAAAAACTAAGTAAGTAATAAGGGAGTGGGACAAATGCGACCTTTTTTTTGCGCACCCGGACATTTGCGCACCTTGCCCATTAGCACACCTTTTTTTCGCGTTTTAAAAAAGCTAATATTAACCAATTTCTATTCCAAATGTTGTTTTTCTAGGTAATTTGAGGGTGTCGAATTCAAATTTTGACATATCAGAGCTTGTGGAACCAATTTGAAAGACAAAACGGCTAGATCAAATTACAGAAAATTGTCGATTTTTCTCTTTGTATAACTCCGTCCGTTTGTTTCCACAAGCTCTGATATGTCAAAATTTCGATTCTACACCCTAAAATTACCTAGAAAAACAACTTTTGGAATAGAAATTGGTTAATATTAGCTTTTTAGAGCTTTTTTAAAACGCGAAAAAAGGTGCGCTAATGGGCAAGGTGCGGAAAAAAAGGTCGCATTTGTCCGACTCCCAAAAAGCGTGAAGGCAAACCTACGGTAACCCAGCTGCTGGGTACGACAGTTTCCCAGTAATTACTCGAGTAAAATTTGCACGAGTAGATTTTTACTCGATTAATCGGGAGTGGGACAAATGCGACCTTTTTTTTGCGCACCCGGACATTTGCGCACCTTTTTTTCCGCATTTAGCCCATTAGCGCACCTTTTTTTCGCGTTTTAAAAAAGCTCTAAAAGCTAATATTAACCAATTTCTATTCCAAAAGTTGTTTTTTCTAGGTAATTTTAGGGTGTAGAAACGAAATTTTGGCATATCAGAGCTTGTGGAAGCGAACGGACGGAGTTATACAAAGAGAAAAATCAAAAAAGTGCGCAAATGTCTGGGTGCGCAAAAAAAAAGGTCGCATTTGTCCCACTCCCAGTAATAAAGTAAAATAACTGAAAAAGATTTTGAAAATTCTTTTTAATTAGAAATTAATTCGATTATCATTGCCAAAATCGACAAATGACAAATTTTGTGTGAAATTTTTTTTAGACAAAAAGCCGGTTTAGCAGCACATTTGGCAACTTTCACTTATCAAAAGACAGATCAAAAAATAAAGCTTTTGTTTTTTTGTCGCAAAAATTCAAATTATACATTTTTGGGAATAGTTTTTATTCGTTTTAAACTTTAAAATTGGAATAGATTCTAAAGCTTTATTTCTAAAGGATTAAATGAAAGAAAAGAAAGATTTGTTTCGATTTTCGACGACAATTGTAAGAAAAAAATGATTGAAATCGGGTCTTTAATCTTTAAAAGTGTCTTTATTGAGAAAGAAAAAAAGCAGCTCCGAATTTTGAAGCGTCTATATATAGAGAACGGAGAGTGGGTGGATGAGATGGGATTGAGAGTGGGAGAACGGGACGGGAAGGGGGAGGACTGCCATCCCCTTCTCATCACTGCCACTTGTACTGCCACTTGTACCGAAAAATCGCCAAAAACGTGTGTGATTTTCTCAAATCAACAAACCAGATGTAGAACGAGAAAGCCAAATCTTTGAAGTAGCCAAATCTTTGAACTAGCTTCGTACTTCTGTAAGGGACAGGATTCCAGAGACGATCACCGTAGCCTCTTGGAGGGACGCTCCAAGAGGACGCTGTTATGAGCCTCTTGGAGGGACGCCTCCCTATCCACCCATGGCTCAGTGGTAGAGCTCTTGACCGGAAAGCAAACGGTCGCCACTTCACGAGGTTCGATCCCCTGTGGGCATAGAGAATGCGCTCATTTTGAGAGATCATAGCTCTTTTGAGACCTTTGAGTGGACCGATTTTTGTCCGCTCATAGTTCAGCGGTAGAGCTCTTGACTGAAAAGCGAACGGTTCTGGGGTCCCAGGTTCGATCCCCGGTGAATCCTTTTGAGACCTCGTTTGAGAGACTTTTTGAGAACTTTATTCTGCACTACGCACTCTACTCTTCGCCACTTGGCATCAGGCTTAGTATCAATTCAGTACGTTGAGCTATAGTTTAGAATTAGATTTCTTTTAGAGTTAGATTATCTCTATTTTACACTAGATTAGTAATGCTTAATGGATTGTAAGCTGTAATTGTAATTGTAAGCAATTGTTAGCAACCGATACCGGCACTTGTCAAGACTTTAGATCTTAAGCTAGCACAATTCCAGTTGTTTACTTTCTTTTATTTTCTATAAATCTTGATTGTATCATTGAGCTTGAAAGAATGAACTCTTCAAACAATTCCTTTATTCAATCAAAACTATTCCTTTTCACTCTATCAAAATACATATACAATCACATTAAAATCCATTTAATTACATCCGAATTTGGCTCTCATTTGTCGAGTGACAAAGAACCCAGGTCCATGGCCAGGAATCAAATAATTTGAGGTACACAAAAGGTAACTAAATTTTAAATTGATTAACATTAAAAATTTAGAAATCAAATTTTACCGTCTCGAGATATTTTGTTGAGTTTCATTGAAAGAAAGCGGTCGCCACATGATTGGATGATCTGTGTCTTCGCTTCGAATGAAAACATCGCCTAGATTTTAAAGTTGAAGCTTGATGCTGACGCCTTGATGTTGACGCTTGATGTGTTGACGCTTGACGCTCTATTTTACGCTAGGTTAGTAATGCTTAATGGATTGTAAGCTGTAATTGTAAGCAATTGTTAGCAAGCGATACCGGCACTTGTCTCAAGACTTTAGTTCTTAAGCTAGCACAAGTCCAGTTGTTTAATTGATTTTTATTTTCTAGAAATCTTGATTGAAGTTGAAGCTTTAAACTTAAAAAGCTAAAAGACATAAAACCTACCGTAAATACTGTAATAGTACCCCACCGCCCATAATGACGGTGCGGAGTGTTTCGTAGTCTAGCTTTGAACGAGTTTTTCTCGACACTGGTTTATGCTACAATGCGCGCTTAGGTATCAAAAAATAGCCCTGAATTTCAGCTATTTTTTGATACCAAAGACGCATTTTTTGAAAGTACGGGTGCTTTGAAAAAAATGAAATACTAAAAACGCGACTGTGACTACGCATGGGGTGGGGTACTATTACAGTATTTACGGTAGGTTGTTAAAAAAGTTCGCGGTCACTTCAAAGTGCAAATTATCTAATCATAATACTGTAATAGTACCCCACCCCCTCGTACAGTCGCGTAATCGCAAAAGTTTTTTAGTATTTCATTTTTTCAAAGCACCCGTGCTTTCAAAAAATGCGTCTTTGGTATCAAAAAATAGCTGAAATTCAGGGCTATTTTTTGATACCTAAGCGTCCATTGTAGCTTAAACCAGTGTCGAGAAAAACTCGTTCAAAGCTAGACTACGCAACACTCCGCACCGTCATCATGGGGGTACTATTACAGTATTTACGGTAGCTAACGATTGGCTGATTTAAAAATTAGTATATAGAAAGAATAGTTATGAAAAAAGTTAAGGACAATCACCGTAACCTTTTGAATTGAAAATATCAAATAACAAGTGAAAATGAAAGACCAAAGAACACAATAAAACACTTTTCTTTGATCAAAAGCTTTCCCCGATCAATCCAATCGTTTTCCCAGTGTTTACCATCACTTTACCAGTCACAGTAACATTCCCAAATCGTTCCACGTTTTTCACCACCACTGAAATGTCATCCGAGGTGTGACCGGGTGTTTTGATTAGGTGAACATTCTCAGTCAATTGTTGACGATCACCCTGTAGTTGAAATTTGAATTTAAAAAGAAACTAGAAAAGAAATTAGAAAAGAAATGAATCACTTCATCTCAAACAAACCTCAAATAAATGACTCAAATTAAAGATATTGTGCTGATGAATGAACCATCCCTGAATGAGGATTGAGAGGTTAAAATTTAGGATTTAGAAAACATGATAGTGAATGGCATCAGGGAAATTCCCGATTCCTCCATTGTGATCTGGATGACCGTGCGTTGAGATGACGATTTGGATTTGTGAAGGTGAAAGGCCGAGTTCACCGAGTTCTGCAAGAGTTTTGAAGAGTTTGGCTCTAGATATTTTTATAAATCAAACTCTAGCTTTAAAGAGTTCTATAGATCAATTTGGATATTCTAAATCCCAGATAATATCTAGTGAGTTTCCAAAAGTGAGTATCTAGTGAGTTCTAAAAGTTTCCAACAGTGAGTTGAAAACTTTTAGAATTTCAGTGCTTTTCTTTTCGCCAACTTTCTCGACCACCGTAACCTTGCTCAAGCCAATTTCTCTAGAAGTTTGCCTCGATTTGGTGAGGATTACTTGAGATTTGAAAAACAGTTAAAAAGAAGATAGGTAACACCAGGTCATCAGATGAACAGTTCCCTTCAAAACTCACTGCCCAACAGCTCCGCTCTTCCCCTCACATCAGTGCCCAACCCAGTGTCCACTAGAATATTCCGCCCTTCATCTTGAATCAAAGTGATCGACGCGACAAACAAGTACTCGTTATCACTCGTTTGTTCAGCTGATCCCTAAAATATTTTCCCTAATCAAATCCTTTTCCTCCTCACATTTCTCAGCACTGTCACTCGTGGTCGAATCTTTTTCACATCAATCTTCTTTGATTTCTTTTTCGTTTCCTTGATTTGCGCTAACAGGGTATGGAGTTGTTCAGACAATTCGTGCATTTTCGTTTCCCAATCTTCACCATCTTCTGAAAAGCGGTAAGATGAAGATAATAAAGTGAAAAAAGAATTTGAGGCCGAAAAGGGGATTTGAACCCTCGACCACCTGCTTACCCTCTGTTAGAGACTCTACCAATGAGCTACCGGCGCCTTGACCTTGGGAGAGAAAATAGGATACACAAGGAAGAGAAAGCCAGGAAAAAAGAGTATTTCAACTTGTAACAAGCTTGTAACAAATATTTCAACTTTTAATCAAGCTCATCTATGTGTAACTCAATTTCATTGCTTCAAAAAGTGCTGATAGTTCAGTGGTAGAATCTCTGGCAAGCATAAACAGAAGGTCGAGGGTTCAATTCAAATGGTCGCTTCCGAATTCTTTACCATTCACTTTTTACTTTATTTTCTTTATAAAACATCTTTTCAACTATATACTCAAAAGTAAAAGGCGAATTTTTTATCTCACTCAAAAATTTCTTTCTTTAAATGAAATTTCATGGTTTTCGGCTCTAGTTGTATCATTTTAAAAAAGAAATTTGACTTGCAATACCTCCTGTAGAACTGTAGGATAAAAATTTGAAACTATCTTTCCATTGTATACAGAATTTCAGTTCTTATTAAGTCAATGAACACTAAATAAAGAGATTTAGTCAAAAAACAAAAAGCTCAGCTCACATATCACTTTTAAGCGTATTGAGCGTTTTTGCAACGAGGAAATCGCTTGCCTTTTCTTTGATAAAATCGGAGTTTTTCCAATTTCCAATTTTTGGTTTTCCTAGGGTTGATCGGGCTAGATTGGGCTAGATTGATGGAAAAAAGAAAAAAAAAGAATCGGCTGCCCTTGTTCTGATCAGTTTTCCAGTTGTCTTAAAGCTCCATAACAGAAAAAGAGTGGATCTTTTTAAGAAAAGCCATGGCAGACCGTTCTTTTTTTTTTCTTTTATCATTTACTCTTCTCCATCTCTTTCAAATTCTAGACAGGCAGGCTGCCCAGAAAGATTGGCATTCATGGATTCATGGATTTTTTTAAGATCTCCCGGTTTTTCTTTTCAGGGAATTGCAATTTTGATGAGTGATTGAGTTCTTTTCAGCGCTGACACCCTTGGATCACATTTCAGGCGTTTTTGCTATGCTTTAGCCAAACGAATAGATGAATGAGGGATGAAATAGATAAAGTTATCAATTGAAAGAATGAGTTTCTTTTCTCTTTCACCATTTTTAAGAAATCTCTTTTCTAGCAGCAAGCTAGCAAGGTATTTTTATGTAAAACAAGTAAGATTTAAAGTCAGGGATTGATTCAAATTAGGGATTGATTCAAGATCTAAAGTCAGGGATTGATTTAAAATCTCTCTTATTTAAAACCTCAGGCCTCAGGCCATCAAGCTAGCAAGGTATTGTTGTAAAAAACAAGTAAAGTCGGTGATTGATTTATTTGAAACCTCAGGCCTGCAGATTTCTTGGTTTTCCTCACTCACCCAAATTTGTCGATCCGTCCACTGGTTGCCATGTGTTCGCGGGACGATTCGGAGCTGCCAAAATAGCATTGTGCTAAAGTTCGAAACATATTCTACTTGTTAAAACTCATTCACTTGATTTCTTTGATCAGTTCGAATTGGATGAATTGGTTGAATATTTGCTGGATAGAGCTAAAAAAAGAAAATACTTTAAACAAAAAAAAACAACGAACTCTTTGCTTTCTCACTTTCGTGAGTTGTTGCGAGGCGGTGAGTGGAATGAGCGGCTCTTCAGTGCTAGTTGAATCAAATTTTGAGGCTTTTTTGAGATTAATCAATTGCTGAAGGTTTCAGTTTCAAATGAAAAGTTTTTTCAATTCAAATACTTGTATAATTGTTGCATATTCTTTGAAAGTCTCTCGATCGGGCTCTCTTATTTGCTCTTTCAACAAATTTGAATGTTTTTCGATTGATTTCGGTCGAATGCGGACTCCATCGGGTGGCAACAATTCGGGAACACTTAAAGAATTCTTTTATTCTAGTTTAGTTTAGTTTAAAAACTTCAACTCTGTACTTTGTGCTGAAAAAAACGATAACGCATCCTTTCTGGTAAACGTTTGTGGCAAAACTGACACCAGAAGGCTTGTGTTTACATTTTTTTAAAAGCAAAGTACAGCAACATACGGTTTTAACGATTGATGCGTGAACTCTCGTCTCTGTGGCTCGCTTAACGTCAAAAAATTGTTTGCTTTATCCGTTGGTGAAATGAATTCACTCGTTCCCTGGAAATCTATCGATTTTCAACTGGTTATATAATAATAAAGATCTACTATATATAAAAGAAAAGTGTCCATATGTCCGTCCGTCACATTATCGAGCAATCTCTTCTCGCCAGTCTCTACAGTATTTATATACCGGCTGGTTTCGGTCCAAGCTTAGCTCTAGCGGTTAAAAAGGGTTAAGGATATTCAATGATTTAAGTAGAACGGCTGTAAAAGTTATAGAGTCCGAAGTGACTCTTCCCTTGACCCAGAAGATCTGTCAAGGCAACACGTTTCTGACGTCACGAGGAGATGGAGATTCCCATCTGGATCTCGACTTCACATGAACCCATTTCGACAAACTTTTTTTGATTGATAGGGAATTAAAAAAGAATAAGTACATACTTTTTGGTCAGAAAAACCACTTAACCATGTCGCTTTTTGCCTTCGGCAGCGCTTGGGAAGGGGTGTGGTCGAGGTGGTTAGCGTCCCATCTACAAAACGACTGCCCTAAGGGCGGTGTCGGGTTCGATTCCCGTCCGTTCCAAACTTTTTTCCCTTAAATCTTTTCAAATAGAATAGGTACATAGATTTTGGTCAGAAAAACCACTTAACCATGTTGAAAAACCACTCAACCCTTCGGCGGCGCTTGGGAGGGGACGTGGTCGAGGTGGTTAGCTTCCCATCTACAAAAATGCCCTAAGGGAGGTGTCGGGTTCGATTCTCGTCCGTTCCAAACTTTTTTGCCTTAAATCTTTTCAAATATAGAGTTAAAGTATGCAAATTAGAGTTGCCTTGCAGCGAAGGTGTTGTTACAGGCTGCAGCCTGTAACAGACAGCCGACAAGACAGCCGGCTGTCTTGTCGGCTGTCTTGTCGGCTGTCTTATCGGCTGTCTTGTCGGCTGTCTTGTCGGCTGTCTTTTCGGCTGTCTTGTCGGCTGTCTTGTCGGCTGTCTTGTCGGCTGTCTTTTCGGCTGTCTTATCGGCTGTCTTGTCGGCTGTCTTATCGGCTGTCTTGTCGGCTGTCTTGTCGGCTGTCTGTCGGCTGTCTTATCGGCTGTCTTGTCGGCTGTCTTGTCGGCTGTCTGTCGGCTGCCTGTTACAGGAGGTCTCGACGTTAGTCGCGCCAAACCTTGCATATTGCATACCGTCTTTATTCTAATAGAAGCAAATGTGCTTCAATTTTTCAATCTCCCAAAAATCAGCCGACCAAAAAAGTAGGTAAGGGGACCACATGAATCAAAAATTAAGAATTTCTTTAAAACTATGTTAATTGATAGAGATGGCCCAAAACGTAAAAAAAACGTTTTCAGATCAAAATTCCATTGATGATTCTTCAAAAAAATTATTTTTGAATTTTTTTGAAAACCATTTTTTAAATTTTACTGTCGATGATATATTGGGAAGTTTTAGGTCTAGATCTCTCCATAGAGGGGTCACAATGGGAGTCTAAAGTCAAGATTTCGAAAGATTTTGAGGGATCTGGATTGTTGCTTCTATTGGAGGTTGTGCTTCTAGTAAAGGCTGTGCTTCTATTAAAACGAATACAGTGCTTTGCATACTTCAACTCCATGCTTGAAGACAAAAGCAAAAAAGTTTGGAAAGACGGGAATCGAACCGTCACCCCCGTAGGGCAGTCATTTTGTAGACGGGACGCGAATCACCTCGGCCACGCTCTCCCAGTGTAGGTGCTTCGGAGGGTATCAGGGTTGGTCCCGATATTGCTTTGAAGGATTAAGAGATAGATTTCAGTAATGTTACAGGGAGGGGGGGCAGAAGAGGAGGGGAGGGCGTTATCTAACTCAAGAGATCAAATTATACGTTAGCTCCAAAATACCCAGCCAGAAAAAAAGGTAAAGCTAATAAAATGGATAATAAAGAAGTGAAGGAGTTGGCAAGAAAAAGTCGATTTCTGGAGAGGGGATTGAACCCTCGACCTGCTTTCCTTTTTGCTCTCCGGGCCGATGCTCTAATCACTGAGCTATTCGGTATCTGTTTGCTAGAGAAGAGGAAATACAAGGAGACGAGAAAGGAAAGGCTCAAATAAAGCACAGTTCCAAGACCAGGAAAAGTCAGATCAGGTAAAATATAAGCTGATTCCAGTATTCCAAAGCCAAAAACGGTAGCTGCTTTAAGATCAAAAATCAAAGCTGGGTTTAAATTTTTCCATTATAATTCTTGAATGAGCTCACAATTCTCGGGGTCAACGCCTCAAAAGCGATTACTCCATCGTCGGGCGATCGATCGGTGCTGAACATGGATCGAGCGAGCTCTCGTGGCAAAAATCTCTCCTCATTCGAGGCTTTCTTTTCTTCTACTTCTTTTGGAAAAAGAAAATCGTCTACGGAATCTGATTCGACTCGAAGTGCTAAAAATTTTATAGAAATTGTTCTAAAGATTTGACAAATCAAAGCTTTCTTCCTTTAGCTTCCAGAGCTTTCAAAAGCTTCCAGAGCTTTCAAAAGCTTCCAGAGCTCAAAGCTTCCAGAGCTTTCAAAAGCCCAGAGCTTCAAAAGCTCCAGAGCTTCAAAAGCTCCAGAGCTTCAAAGCCCAGAGCTTTCAAAAGCTTCCAGAGCTTCAAAAGCTTCCAGAGCTTCAAAAGCTTCCAGAGCCAAGCCCAGAGCTTTCAAAAGCTTCCAGGGCTTTCAAAAGCTCCAGAGCTTCAAAAGCTTCCAGAGCTTTCAAAGCTCCAGAGCTTCAAAAGCTTCCAGAGCTTTCAAAGCCCAGAGCTTTCAAAAGCTTCCAGAGCTTCAAAAGCCCAGAGCTTCAAAAGCTCCAGAGCTTTCAAAAGCTCCAGAGCTTTCAAAAGCTTCCAGAGCTTTCAAAAGCTTCCAGAGCTTTCAAAAGCTTCCAGAGCTTTCCAAAGCTTCCAGAGCTTTCAAAAGCTTCCAGAGCTTTCAAAAGCTTCCAGAGCTTTCAAAAGCTTCCAGAGCTTTCAAAAGCTTCCAGAACTCACGTCGTCCCCGTCCTCTCGAAAAATCTCGCAATAATCTCAGCTCAAAGTCATTTAATTCGGCGAGAAGTTTGGGATCTTCTAAACTTTTAAAAAGACTTTTTTTAAATAAATTTAGTTTACTTGGAAATCGTGGATATAGTTGACAATCGATTGAAAGAACCATGAAAAGAAGCAAAAAGATTGGCATTACATTGGAGTGAAACGTTTTGATCTATAAATATTAGAAAATCTAAAAAAAAAATCATTGAAACATAATTTCTAGAAAAGTCGATTGAATGAAAAAGAAATGTGAAATGAAATCCTTGACCCAAATTGAGTAAGAATGGAGTAGAAAGGAGTAAAAATCGAGTGAAAGTAGGTTCCAAGCGGCAACTTTCTCCTTCTTCAGAAATGGAAAAATTCACTAAAGCAATTATAAAAGAAAGTTTTAAGAGAATTCTGAAGATGGCTGACTTTTTGAATCATTTTCTGTAATTGATTTAAGGAATTGTTGCGGTGGATGTAAACAAAAAAGTGCTCAAGAGTTATAATACTCTTGAGCACCTTTGTTTACATACAACAATTCCTTAAATCAATGCTTGCAGTATTATTTATAGTTCGACCAAGCCTAGCGGACTAAGCTCAAAAGAAATCTCCAGTTTTACCTCCAGACTAATATGACCGGGCTTTAGCCAAACCTCGCCAGGCCCTAGAGGCCTCTTTTCCAGTTCTCAGGTTAGATGATTTTAAGCCTACTATAAGGATCTACTATATAAAAGAGCCTTGTCTCTCCGTCTGTTTGTACTCAGTACTCAACCGTCTTTTGCCTTGAATTAAATATAAAGCTTATACAGTCATGGACAAAAGTCTTTTAACGTTGGTTTCCGAAGTTTGTTTGTCGTAGATCTTGGTCCAAATTCGACCAATTTGCAAACCAATTTTGAAAGCTTTAAAGAGCTTATTATCACTAGTTTTAGCATTAGCAAAACGATGGATTCAATGATTTATAATGTCATGGGCTTTTTAAAAAACAAAAAATTTAGCTAATCGATGAACAAAAGTCTTTTAGCATGTGAGAAAAACATTATGAAAATCAATACTTAGTAGGTCCTCCACGAGCCACAATTACTGCATGAATTCTCCTTGGCATGCTGTTATCCTTGGCATGCTGTTATCCTTGACATGCTGTTATCCTTGGCATGCTGTTATCCTTGGCATGCTGTTATCCTTGACATGCTGTTATCCTTGACATGCTGTTATCCTTGGCATGCTGTCAACCAAATATGATTTTTGAAACTCAATATCAATCGATAGCCAGAAAAATGTCAAATCCAATGTAAAGAAAAACGATTGCAATTTCAATTAAAAGTTGATAGTAAGGTAAGTCTTACTGATAGTATTGGGTTGGTGAATTGAAAACTGCGGGCTATTGTCATCTATGACAGTTTGAGCACTTTCTTCAAAAGAAACCCATTTTGGTGTCAATGGAAAAGTTGTAGAGAATCAAAAATCAAGCTTATATCCAAATTTTCAGAACGATTCAAAAACTGGTTTTCAAGAAATGCCAAATTTACGAATTTTCACAAAACTTGCATTTTAAGCCAAACTACTAAGTGTATCTTTTTGGAAATTTGGCTATAAGCCTCATTTTTGATTCTCTACAACTTTCCATTGACACCAAAATGGGTTTCTTTTGAAGAAAGTACTCAAATGCTCAAACTGGGACATCTCCAGTCTTCCATTTTTGAGTCTCACACTTGTCTCACACACAAACCAAAATCCTACTACGAAAGAGGAATCCGCAAATTGTCTATAAAATGGGCAGAAGTCGTCAATAATAATGGAAATTGTTTGGAATGAATTCATAGTTTTATGTTGAATAAACAACGCGCGCCCTCATGTTGCAAAACTGACTCGCTCTAAAATGAATAGCCTTGTTTGGGAACTTTTAGCGCATTCCACATACAGTCCGGACCTCGCCCCTTTTGATTACTATTTATTCCGGATCATGAGTAATGAGCTTGCGGGAGAACACTTCGATTCGGAAGAAGCAGTCAAAAATTGGCTTTGAAAGTTTTTCGATTCAAAACCAAAATCCTACTACGAAAGAGGAATCCGCAAATTGCCTGTAAAATGGGCAGAAGTCGTCAATAATAATGGAAATTACTTGGAATGAATTCATGGTTTTATGTTGAATAAATTTTAGTTCAAAGTCCCGCAGTTTTCAATTCACCAACCCAATATGATAAGACGGCGCTGTTCTAAGGTTTCAAGTGAGAAAAGTTTCAATTTATGTTTATACCTGACGAATGAGTAGTTAGCAAAATCAACTTTGAATAGTTTTCGAGTAAAGTTTTTCTGGACCTTTTCAATAGGAATTTAGAAAACGGTGACCAAATTAAAGAAGTATACTCGAGGATCGGGCGAACGTAGATAATAAAATAAGAAAATATAGCCTGTAAAATGGGCAGAAGTCGTCAATAATAATAGAAATTATTTTGAATGAATTTATGGTTTTATGTTTGAATAAATTTTAGTTCAAAGTCCGGCAGTTTTCCTAAAAAAAAACGTTTGAACAAAACATTCAAAAGACTTCTGCATTAACTTTCTTTCCAACCTAATACTTAAAGTTAACTTTAAATTCTTAGCTTCTTAGCTCATTAAATTCTTAGCTTAATTCTTTATTGAAAGAAAGATTACGATAGTTTTTCGCATTCATTTGTAAACTAATCTATTGGATTGATGAATTGAAAGGATGGATTAGTGATTTTTGATGTATTTTTGATGTATTAGAGCCAACCCAATACATCAAAAATACGACGAATCTGTCTAAAGTTTTCTAGTAGATTTGAAGCGGCAACTTTCCCTTTGCAAAGAAAGGAATGAACGCCTTTCACTAGAGCAATTAAATATTAGAAGAAAAAGGCTGATGATGGCACGAATTTTTTGGGATATTCTAAAGACTGTATATGGAATTGCTTGAGGGATATAGCGAAGTAGAAGTACAGCCTCCACTTCCACAAAAACCCTTCGGTAATTATGGGGAGAGCAAAATGGTTTTCGCTAAGAAATGACTAGAGACTAGATCCAAAGAAAGCCTTTTCAAGGAGGAGAGCTCTCGCTAACTTTCCCCCTTCTAGTTGCACTCCTTCCTTACAATTCCCCAAGGCCGGTTTCAATTCACCTCAAGCCATGAATCCAAACATAGCTCTCAGATATTTCATAGCAATCGGATGACTTTTAAAATTGAGATTTGTGAATTGATTGAATCCCGTGCGTTTCTTTCTTTTCTAAAACGCGTAACCTTTCAAAAATCACCGTAACCCTCCATGTTTCTGTGAAAATTCAGAAACGACAAAAAAAGATTAAATTCAGACTAGTATAGGTTTCTGAAAGCTTCTGAATGACAGGAGGTGAGTTAAATTAAGCTAAGCAGTTAAGCCGAGATTTATCCCGATCAACGAAGCCCAAATGACAGATCGGACACTGAACTGATTGGAGTTGAGATTTAGATATATCTAACACTAATAATCTGTTGAAGAAAGAGTAATAATAGAAACCATGAACTTGAACCAATGATCATCGAGTAGAACTTGTCGATGTCGATAGATGAAACATACACTCACTCATCATCATCAATGAGAAGATAAGCACCAAGAAAAGTGACTTAATACATATTAGGCACTAAATAATAATTTGATCCAATAAAACCGACGATACGATGTGGATGGGATAGCCAGAAACTCGTCAATAGACCATAGAAACGAATGGCGAGTATCGGAGTGTAGATCTCCGCATTGCACACCTTGATGAGGAGAGCGGTGGCGTGGAAGTGATCTAAGATGGGGCATGATGAGGTGTGACTACAGTACAATGACTGCTATAGTATGTAAAATCCTCTTTCCTTAGAGGTGGGACAAATGCGACCTTTTTTTTGCGCACCTGGACATTTGTGTATCTTTTTTCGCTCGAAAAGGCCTTAGGAAAAGCCGTAGAGCTGCTGTTGTTGTTGCAGTTGTTGCAAATCGATCGAATAGCTTATCATCATCGGAAAGCGAAGACGGAGAAGTAGCCGACATTGTCAATTTTGCTCTTGACTTAAAACTAACTTCAAACTATAACCCGTAGAAAAAATAAACATTCAAACTATTGTTAGTTCCTAGCTCACTTTTCCGCTGGGGAGGCAGAACGATTTCTGATATAAAAGTTCACGGAAAGTAGAAACAGAATGAAATTAAATATGTAAATGTAAATCGATTAGAGACTTTTCATTCCATAAATTACCGTCTACCCGGTTAAGCCACGCCCCTTTTTGAAAATGAACATCAAAATCGGATTCCCCATAGGCAAAAACCCCCGAGGGCTAAGCTCCACCCCTTGTTTGCTGATGACACCGCTAAATCGCGCCCCCGGAATTTGGAGCGTCGCGTTTGCGTACAGACAGACAGACAGACGGACGGACGGACGTCTCTTCTGCTTTATATTTGGTAAATACATCTGAAAGCCCAGATCAAGATCTATCATTGAGCTTTATATTACGGGAAATTGTATCCAATTGCACGTGATTGGACTTGGACTCATCCAACATCCAACTCTCTTCGAACATCTAAATTAGGGATGTTCGAAGATTAATATTAAACAAAGATGTACCCGGATTTATATTGTCCATTTCATGCGGCAAATCTACTTCAGTATTTCAATTTGGTATAACATATTGTGAGAATTGTTTGAAAAGTTTCCAACTGCTGCTCCAGTTAAAAAAGCCAACTCCTACCCCAAAATGAGACCGTTTGAAAAGGTCAAATGAATTCCTCTTCAAATTCAACCAGTTTCTTGCTCTTTTTCCGTATAATTTCTGCTCGAAATTGACTTTTCTTCTGTAAAACTACTAGTTATATTCCAGCAGATCTAAACTATAAGAAGTTGTATTTGAATTTGAATAGAATACCTATAAGGGAAAAGGGGAGTTTTTTGATGCACCGGCTGGTCTCATTGTGATATTTGAGTGCAACAACCAAATGAAACAATGCAAATTGTTTCATTTGGTTGTTTCGTTATTGTTGAGCCGTTAATCAAAGAAGCCAGACTGTTATCGATTATGCCTGTGGCCGGTGTTTGACTTTTAAATTTAAAAAGATCATGTGTTAAAAGGTTAATGAAATTTAGAAAAAAAATAAAGTATGAAAGATGAAAACATAAAAAATAAAAAATTTAAAGGATATTCGTTTTTCCGAATTTGCGACCCAAATTATTTGTTTATCCCGTTCGAATTCGTTGTTGCAATTTCGGAGTGGCCAAGATCGTCGACGGCATCTGACTCATCTACTTCGGGCATAGAAACATGCAAAAATGCATCCGAAGATGTAGATTCGTTCAGCTAAATTGGGGATGTTCGAAGATACTTGTGTAAATCTAACTCGTGAAGTGAGCTATTATTTAACCCATTCGAAACCGCAGCGTTTTTTCTTTTTTTTCGTCTGCGGACCAAGCCCTTTTTTCGCTGCAGCGGTCCGTTCCCGCGGTTTTTTTTTTGCTGACGTTTTATTTTATATTATTTCTGATAATTTATCTTTAATGAAGAACGATTTAGATTTGACTTCAGTACTTTTCAAAGATCCTATCGATTACTATTCTTATTTTATCGACGACAATATGTTAGTAGGCGAATCTAATAAACATGAAAAAAGGAAGAAAAACTGGCAGGATTTCGATGCAAAATCTTTCAAGCTCTTCTTGGCTCTGTATCTTCAAATGGGAATCGTCAAATTACCGAGGATTCGTGACTACTGGAGTAGCAGGCCTGGATTGGGAGGATTTTCCCACATGTCCCACATTATGTTAAGAGCAAAATTTGAATCTATTCTTCGAAACCTGCATTTTTGTGATAATGAACTGGACCCTGCAGGAGATCGGTTTTATAAGATTAGAGCTGTTATGCCTAAATTGCAATGCAAAATCAGAGGCTACATTGATTCCGGGTAAATATGACACGTCTTTTTTGCTCACGTAATTTGTAGATCTGTTACAATTGGAATATACATGTAATGCTGAAAAACAGCAAAAAAAACCAGTTAATTGAATGAAAATAGCTCAATTATTGCGCTGCAGCGGTCCGTTCCTGAGTTTTTGCTGCAGCGATTATTCGCTGCAGAAGTTTCGAATGGGTTAATGAACTTTTCTGCTCATAAGTAAAATGCTCCGATCAACAAAGAGCTTTCACTTATTACTGAAACGTACCTGTGGAGAGGATGTCGCCCTTCCCAAGCAAGGGAAAACTTGATCTCTTTCATCATCAGCTTGGTTCGTGAACATCAACGCTTCGTCTTCGTCAACATCAAAATCCCGCGAGATCACTTTCGGTGTTTTATCGTCTAATGGGGGCGATGCTTCATTCTCCGCATTTGTCGTGTTTTCTAAATTTTTTCAGGTTTTCAAAGGCAAGCGCTGAATTTTTCGAACAGCGTGTTTTAGGCAACGAGTATCTTTACACTGACCTGCTGTACCGATACCGCTGTCATCTCTCTGGGCGATTGAAGCAATCGATTTCCATTTTTGGAGTTCGTCTATCGCGTCTTTAATCTAAGAAATTTTATAATACTTATTATGAAGTTGCATGATGAAAATAACACGGAAAGAATTACTTTTTTGTTGGCATAATCGGGAGCCTTTCCTGCGAAAATTTTCTTGATCTTGATCTCTCGCTCTGGATCAGCCGTGAAGCATTTCTAAAAGAAGAATATTGCTTTTCTTTTGGCTTATCTCAAAAAGATTACCAAGTTTGAAGTGTAGAGATAGAGAACGGCAGGTGGCTCATCAGCTTGCAAGAGCGCTTTGAGTACGGCCTCTCCTTCCGACTTCTTCATACCGTCGGGCAATTTAAAGCTTTGGCAAAGCTCATCTGGTGTATGAAGTTCCTTGATGATGTCCATGATGAGGTTTTCTAATTTTTTTGGGGTATGTGGCATCCTCATTTGTTTCATTATCGAGATCGAGTTGCTTACCTAATTCCTTGTGATATTCGTTCCCTTCAAGTTGTTTGATCGAGTTGTTTCCCTCAGGCTTTTTATCGTGATCAAGAAGTTTGGCTAATTCCGTGAGAAGCTGGGCTTCGTCCCCATTCTACAATAATATATTTTTAGTTTGGAATAAAGAGAATAAGTGCCACCTTTGCCCCAAAATCGTATACATAACATTCAGCGGGCTTTCTGCTTGGATGAAGCTCCTTGAACTAAAGTGGATACTGTTGACTTCAAAGATATATATGTATGACCGTAAAGCTTCTATTAGGTTGATGCAAAAGTCTTTTTCATTTTTTTCGTACTTCCGTTAAAAAGTAACAAATGCACCAATTGAACAACGGTTTATTGCATTCGAAAGGCCAATTATTTTTCTGCAAAATGACATTAAAACGAGTTTAAAATGTCTTATGTCTAGATTTTTTTGAGAGCCTGAAGTCGGGTAGTCAAAAAAGGCGACGGCTCGATGATGCATTTTAGACGCTTTAGCTAAGGAAACCAATCTTGATGTTAATAAATAAAAGATAGAGCACAAAAAGTTAGATATTTTTTCAGATTTTCAGAGAAATTGATTCAGCCAATTTCTTTATAGAGGTTTTTATAGATTTTTGTTTGAAAAACCCGTTTTCACTCTCGAATTTGCTTGAAAGTGAACCCAAATTGACTTAAAAAAGATGGGAAATTCAACAATAAACACTTTTCATTTAGAGCAAACCATAGGTTAATTGATGACTTTGTTATTTTTCAAAAGAAGTACGAAAAAAATGAAAAAGACTTTTGCATCAACCTAATATTAGTACGCCCCATTTAAAGGATATCGAAACAAAAAATAGTACACTCATGCTTTCTAATAGAATTTGTACGTAGTAGTTATGCAAAGGTTTTATTTCTACTTTATGACTTATTATTACTCATTAAATAAAAGAGCTTATTCTTAAAACTAATATTGTACCGTCTTATTAGAATTACTAGGCACTGAATAATGGAATGATGAGCATAATAATCGTTCTGTTGCAATGAAACTTTACTGACAATTTTCATTTCTTCTGGCTCCGGATTGTAAATCCTGATGACCATCCACTCTGCTTCTGTCTCGTCGTTCAATGGCAGAGCAGGGACGAAGCGTTCTAACCGCAGAAATGATGCCGGTTGGATCGATTCGCCTTCGATTTTTGGATTGAGGCAACTTAAATGAAAAGTCTTTCCAAATACGATGTTCATCCTTACATAATTACTTTTTCGTAGACCGAATCGTGGTGCTCGGACTTCAGCTGTTGCTCAAATCTGTTAGGCGTGGCGCTTCTCTGTCCATCCACACTGTTCACCTAAAGGTTCTTTCATAAAAATACACGCTATTGGGTTGTTATTTTCGATTTAAATATTTATAATGCGTCTAATGGCAATCGAAGTGGTAAAAAATTTACAACTGCGTTTTGCACTATGAAGTTGTCGATATTCCAATTGGTTCCGCCATACTTGAAGTCCCACAAATGACCGACATTCCAGCCTTTATCTGAAACGAAAAGTATTTAGAAAGAAGGAATATGTGGCTTTTCGTGAATGACAACTTTCTTTCCAAAACTACCTATTTTATTCCTATTCCTAATCAAAACTGAGAGACAAATTTAAAAATTGTTAATTTTAAAAGAAGTTATGGTCATGGCCATGGCGCGGTTCAGTAGTTACCTAATTAGTTACCCAGAGTTCAGTAGTTACCCAGAGTTCAGTAGTTACCCAGAGTTCAGTAGTTACCCAGAGTTCAGTACCTAATTTTTTCTGTGAAATGTTTGTTAGTACCGTATTTTCTGTAATAGTAGTGCAGTCTATAATAGTAGTACAGTCTGTTAGTAGTGCAGGCAGGAGGGGGGTTGAAAAAATAGTAGTGCGCACTACTATTACAGAAAATACGGTATATCAAATGGGAATGTAAATGAATTGACGAGAAAAAAAAGACGACCTGTTGCATATTCTGTTCCTCTAACTCTCATTTTTATGTCCTTGGACAGTTTGACTCTGCCCATCTTCCGTTTTGCATACATGCGTCCGACTGGGGTATCTAAATCCAAACGAAACAAGTGCAATGATCTGCTTCGTTACAAAATTATTAAACTGACAAACTAAAAACTATTGAAAATTTACCTGTATCTTTTAAATCCTTGATCGGACAGGATCCATAATAAATACAGAATAAAGATGTAAGAAGTTTGTGCGGGTAGAACCCATTATCAATTTTATCCACATTTAGCACGGGGAGAAGCTAAAATTTTCTGTATTTTTGCAGCTTTAAGATTTCCATTTCACTATTCGAGTTCTTTCCACATATTATTGGTTGCTTCTATTGTGGACTAAACTTCAGTTTTATTCGTGATTAATTAGCGGAAACACTTTTAAATATTGATGCAATAAGATGTAATTCACTGCAATCTTGGATTACGTCTCATTGTATCACATGAGAGGACGAAAGGGACGAAGGAGGCTCCTAAAGGAAAAGGGCAAAAGATAAGGAGATGGGAGTGAACGGAACAATTCAGGATGGCTGGGAGGGAAGGAGGGAGGGCCGGAAGTGTACCGTAGGACTATTGATCAACAAGCATGACGCAACAATTAACACATATTAGTTTCTTCAATAAAAGTGTTATATAGCATAGATTTTGTTAAAAAAACACTTGAAATGGCGTTCTCAACATGGCTCAGAGTTTGCGCGGAACAAAGTAGTTTTTTAGTTTCAAAATTTCGCATGAATCAAGGTTCTTCGCATGAAACTGAGGCTTACTTATTTATTTTTGGTAATGGCGCTAAAAGATGGCATTAATTGATGTTTCATTAGACTAAGTACTTCAATGAACCATGAAAAAGTAAGTGTTTAAAAAACGTGAAACAAAACAGCTAAAGGTTTTCGAAATGTCAAATGCGATTAAATGCGTCTATGTTACTCACCGCTTCTTTCGATCTTCCATATGTTAGTGCTCCATCTCTGAAGTTTTGTTGACCTTCGTCGAGAGGCGAAGTGACCTTCATTTTACGTTCACCGGTGCTCATGGACGAATCGCTATTATATTTGTAATGTGAGAAGCGTGAGCCTACCAGAAGCAAGCAGTAATTGATTTGTTATCACCATATTCGAAACGGGGGTAGGGAGAGTCGTTTTTTGAGAGATAAGGAATTGTGAAATTTGTGTGTGCAAACACTGAAGTCGATTGATTTTCCATGAAGAAGCTTAAATGAATGTTTTCACAAGACAGGATAATGTTTCGAATAAATATTGAATAAATAATTCGAGTAAATAGTATTTTGGGTGAAAAGGGAAATCTCCGTGACATTCTTCGGAGTCTTCTTACAACTATGGATGATCTATTGGAGACAGTTTAGTTTGACATCATTTTAGTTTGGTTCTGAGCTGAAATAGCAACCCGTCTGGTGTATAGATGGTTAATTGTTGAATATGGTATCAACTTGAAGCTTGGACCCTCGGCTTTTTAATAAAAAGATTTTCAGATCATTTGGATTCGTTCTGTTGGCTTTGCGACCTTTTTCTACAAGTTACTTGATCGTTCATTCTAGTTGACATGCAAAAATCTATTTTTTTTGCCCTGTCAACTAACAATTATCTTTAGAAAGCAGGCAATGAGAAGGGGAGAAACTTTGCCTGAACAAATCAAGTGATAAGAGCTATTTCCACATAAAGCCTCCCTTCAAAAACTAAATTCTTTTGACTCTAAGCAATTCTCTTCGTCATCGTCTGCAGTATTTAATCTATTTCCCAGAAGCCGTCTAACAATTCATGCTTGACGGCGAAATAATCGGCCAAGGATCCTCCAGTCTCGTAGTCGTGCGCAACGAGTCTAGGTCCGTGCTTATCGATTTTTACTTCTATCATAATCTTCTTTAGGTCTTCAAAGAAAGTCATAACTGCTTTTAAATGCTTTTTGTGCGAAAAAGGAAACGTCCGAAAGAGAAAACTATACGAAAAGGAAGTGCAGGCATTACAGCGATTAAATCATTCGAATATTGTTACTTATTACGGATGCAATGAGAGTAATGGGCTACTTGCAATTGAAATAGAGTATTGTGAACGGGGAAACCTTCAGAAAAGTTAGTGTCTTTTCCCGAATATTCCTTTTTTTTCTAAATATTGAAACCCTTTAAATGTTAAGGACTAAAACAGTCATTTAACTTTAGTCATCTACGATCAAAAGTACGTCTATTCGATCACGACGGTTCTCACTTGGGCCAAGCAGCTATTTAGTGCTCTATCATACTTGCATCAAGAGCGTAACATTGTTCATCGAGATGTGAAACCTGCAAAGTGTGTAATGTTTGTACATACTATTTGAAGGCTTGTACATACTATTTTAACTCAAATAAATGACAAAGCTCCATTTAGCATCTTTGTGTCGAAAGATTTTCATCTGAAACTCGGGGATTTCGGTTGTGTTCGCCAATTGGAGGCCACATCAACGGGCACTCTTGTTGGAACACAACGTTATATGAGCCCCCGAATGAAGAGTAAAGAAGAGCCATATAAAGTGAGCCATAAAAAACCATATAAAGCCATATAAAGCCATATAAAGCTCTTGAAAATTTATTATGTTACAGGTCTCAAAAAGAAATGATGTGTATGGCGCTGGACTCGTATTATGGGAAATGGTTGAACGAAGGTTGGCTTTATCAGAATAACAGCTATGGTTTAAGCGAAAAAGCACTCACTATCACATGCATATTCAGGTCGGTTTTTGATGAATATACGCTTGATAGAAATTTTGATGCGAACAACTTTTACATTGATATTTTCACGAAGAAGTTGACCGCTTTGAAGCCGCCGGATTGCTTTGATGAGCTGAAGGAATTAATCGTCATGTGGGGATTTTATGCTTCTAAAAATGACAAAGTACACAATGCGATATTTGAATATTTATTCTTATCTAGCTTGTCAAAACTAACAAAAAAGATGCCTACATATTTACTAGGGAACCTTCCCAAGTTACCCGCGAGTTACAATACGAGGTAGGTACCAAAAAAGGCCTGAAGATGTACGTTCAGAAACTGTTTTCAAAAACCGCTAATCGGCAAAACGCTCAAAGTTATAGCCGTTTGAATTTCGAAAAAATGAAGGCTTTTCTCGCACACTGCTTTTTGCCGGCGACATGGCCTTTTTTACGCCATCTCAAAAGCCAGCTCGTAGCCTAGTGGCCAGTGTGCCTGCGCTCGGAACCTATTGATCTTGGTTCGGAGCACTAGCAGCCGAGCTTTTTGCTTTTTTTGAAAAATAGTTAAAAATCCTTTTTAATTGTTGGAAATTTGTATAATGTTATTTTCTAATGTTATTTAATGATTGACAATTTATTCAAAAGAAAGTAAACAAAACATTAAAAATCAAGGGTAATTAGCAATTGAACAAAAATGAACAGCCTGAAATGCACAATTAAAATAGTAACTTTTAGAGCAGTGTGCACGGCGCATGAAGCTAATATTATTGCATCCGTTTTCTTCACAATCGCACATATTTGTCCTGTTAAAGAGATACTCCGCCGGAGTCTGAAAATCTCCCTAATGTTGAGAGATGTAACCTGCTCGGAACCATGAATATTGACGAAACTTGAGAAACACTGAAGCTTTAAGCTGCTCATACACAACCGAAAGAACTTTAATGATATTGTCTCGCTTGCTGATCTTGAAATCCGGTTCGCTGGCTTGAATGTGATCGTGAATTCTTTTCATTACGCCTTTAAATTGTTGAAAGGAGTAAACGTCCAATGGTTGAACGAGTCCTGTACACCCCGCTGGTATTGTTCGGACAGTGACATTAGTACCTTGTGGAGCCAATTCTCTCACTTTATCTTCATGATTCCATTCACTCCACGAGTCTAGAAGCAACAACACCTTCTTTGGGGCATTCTCGAAAACAACCGACTTGAAGAATTCATCCATAAGGCTTTTCGTCATTATATGGCTCTGACTATACCGGACAAATAAATTCTTTGCGTCATAGGGAACAACACTTTGCGGCAAAACTCCAGACGGTTCGGCAATAACAACAAATAGTTTTCCCAAAATATCTCCGGCTTGTGAAAGAGCTGGACAAATGGTGTAAGAATGGGTAAGAGCTGATCTCGTCTGTACAAGCATCTCCACTTTTTCCGAACCTCTCCTTGCTCGGCCATACGAAGCAAAAGTACAATCTTTTTTACAACCTAAATACAAAAAATGTATTTAAAAAATGTTAATATCTGTTCACGAGAAGAAGTGGTGCCGCCAATGACCGCTTGAACTTTTGCGGCAACCAGACTTCCTTCAAAAGTGGCCATTCATGAGATGCTAAAAGCGTAATTTGAAAAAGCAGATAAAAACATGCCATGAAAATACTAGAAACTATTGTACAAAAACAAGCAACAAAAAGAAAAAAGCACCTGACTTCTAGCTTAAACTCGCCTTATCAATCATTAAATAACATTAGAAAATAACATTATACAAATTTCTAACAATTAAAAAGGATTTTTAACTATTTTTCAAAAAAAAGCAAAAAGTTTGGCTGCTAGTGGATCCAAGCCAAGATCAATAGGTTCCGAGCGCAGGCACACTGACCACTAGGCTACGAGCTGGCTTTTGAGATGGCGTAAAAAGGCCATGTCGCCGGCAAAAAGCAGTGTACTAGAAATCCGAGAAAAGCCTTCATTTTTTCGAAATTCAAACGGCTATAACTTTGAGCGTTTTGCCGATTAGCGGTTTTTGAAAACAGTCTCTGAACGTACATCTGTAGGCCTTTTTTTGGTACCTACCTCGTATTGTAACTCGCGGGTAACTTGGGAAGGTTCCCTAGTTAGCTTTTTTATTTTAGCACCACAAATTTTGATCAGAAACAACGTCCATCTGCCTCGCGTGTGCTCGCTCAACTGAAGGAGATCATTGAGGTGGGCCCGTCTTAGAAAAAGGCATTGACTTGCTTTTCTCAATCTAGGAAAACGACGACTTTCTTGAACAATACGCATTTGCGCCGGAGTTCATCGAAGGGCTAACCGAGCTGTTGAAGCCAATCTCAATTCGCGATCACGAGCTATCGAAAAAGGCGTCATTAAAAGCCTGTCGCCGCCCCTGTTTCTCGTCTTTCAGCAATCTCACACTTCCCGCGTTCTTCGATCAAGTTCTTCCAGATCAAGCAAAGATTTTCTCCCATTACTCAGTAAAACGAGATCGCATTTCTAAAGAATTGATTGCCGCCTTGACGAGTATGCCATCAATTGGGAAGTTTTATGGAAGCATCCCAAATATAGCAAATGAGCTGTTGAATGCTCGTGAATTCTTCTTCCACAAACAAAACCCATTTGCATTAGCTCAAAACAGAGGGTCGGGTGACGTGGAATCCCTTTTCCAAACTCTCTTAGCCGAGGATCTCAACAATCAGAAAAAAGCCTATCAAGAAGCATTTTCTTTGATCAAAAAGCTGAAGGGAAATAACATTTCCCCATGGATATTATATGCAGAGTTTTATGCGAATTTAAAGCTGTTGGGGGAGATCCATTCATCGTTGTACACCGTCACAATCTATTTCGAATCCTATTACTCAACGAGAACTGGGTACCAGTGGTTGTTATTGAATGAAGAGCTCGGAGAATTTGCGAGAAAAGGACTCAGTGAAGTCAAAGGTTTCCAAGGTGAATGGTTGAAATTGAAAGAGGAAATAAGAGTGTTTAAAGAAACCCCATCAACAAGCACGGGAAGCTCTCAAAGCAAGGAACTGTGCCACAACGATTTCGAGCCATTTGTTATCGAGCCACTTGATATTTTGGACTTAATCGAGATAATGAGACGACATTTAAAGAGCGTCGCCCGAATGGCTAGAGCCAAAATACAAAGTTTTATTCCAATTGAAACAGCCAATGATCTCCAATTTGACTCATACATATTCCAATTGAGAAATCCGCCACGTAAAATATGCACTTGTGAAAAAAGTTGCAAAGAACTAAGACGAATCCCTGAAGAAGTGACGATATCCGATGAAAAACGGGTGCCAATCCCAAGAGAGCTGGGCTTCAAAATCTATGAATGCTTCTCGGAAAGATACATCCAAGACTTGGAGCTTTACGTTCAATTTTGTATTCTCCTTGATAAAGTTTCTAGAGAAAATGGGCAATTCCAAGAGAACTCCAATGTTAAGAGCACCCTTCAACCGGGTCCCACTCCTCTAATGCGCGACTGTTTCCGATTTTTGACATGCTCAAGTCTACGGAGAGATTCTCCCAATGAAGCTCTTATTTTGCTTGATTTCCCTCAAAACTATCGCCTCAGTGAAGGGGTCCCGGCTTTGGACTACAAGCTGAACTTCCACAAAATTGACGCCTCAACTCTTATGAAGCATTTAGATCAAAACCCGGTCGAGAGTGTTCTTGAAATCGATCTGTCCTTGAATTATCGTTTAATCAAATTGTCTCATCAAGAAGAGAAAAAGGCAGAAACTATTGACACTGAGGAATCGGTAGAAACGCGGGAATACAAAGAAAAGCAATTGGAAGCTAGTCGTTTCAGTAGAAAGCTTTCGGAGATATTCGAGTTCATGAATGAATTTGAGATTATTCAATAATCTCAAATTTACAGATATTGACATATATATGTCGTAGCCGATGAAGGATTTCAGCTTTGAGTTTGTGGTATTGACTTGAGTCAATACATAACTCAAATTTTTTCGTAGCGAAACCTTCTGCGGCTAGCCGATTAAGTCTCAAAAATGAAATCTTGAGTTATGAACTCAAGTCAATACCACAAACTCAAGCACTCTAAAAGGCGCTTAAAAGCTAAAAACGCATTCTAAAGAGTGCGCATTTTATCATACTGTAACCAAAGGCTATAAAAGGGCCCTTTTCGTCATTTTCTATCTGATTCGTCATTTATTTGAAATAGAATTGTTTCCTTTCTTTCGTGTTCCTTTTTTGAGCTCGCATTCTGGGCACAACTTGACAAAAATTTCGATTACTTCTTTTGAGATCCCATGATAGTCTCGTAGTCCTTGCCATATTATATCTCGTCCGACGTGCTCAAGTCGTTGGTGAGTGGTCGTTAACAGGCCAAAGTGCTCCTCTTTCTTGACGACTTTCTTGGGTTTGTCCAAATCGTCTTTGATCCCATGATTGTAAAGCGCCTCTTGATTCAATTCGTATCGAAGAGAGAATCGCACTACAAGTTTTTGTGTTTTTTTCGATGGTTTGAAGTCTTCATTCCGCAATTGTTGGAGAACGGTGACGATTTCCACGTATTTCTCGCTTGAAAGAATCAAACTTCGCTTTTGATTTGATTGAAAGTGAGAAAACTGCAGGTCGAATTCTTTCTCCATTCCTAAAAAACAAAAATTGGTGTAGCTTAAACAAAAAATGCACAGTAACAAAAAGAAAACGGCCTGTTAACGACCACTCACCAACGACTTGAGCACGTCGGACGAGATATAATATGGCAAGGACTACGAGACTATCATGGGATCTCAAAAGAAGTAATCGAAATTTTTGTCAAGTTGTGCCCAGAATGCAAGCTCAAAAAGGAACACCAAAGAAAGGAAACAATTCTATTTCAAATAAATGACGAATCAGATAGAAAATGACGAAAAGGGCCCTTTTATAGCCTTTGGTTACAGTATGATAAAATGCGCACTCTTTAGAATGCGTTTTTAGCTTTTAAGCGCCTTTTAGAGTGCTTGAGTTTGTGGTATTGACTTGAGTCAATACATAACTCAAGATTTCATTTTTGAGACTTCTTCGGCTACGACAAATATATAACCGTTACTCTGCACATACACGAATGCTTTTAGGATACACAATCGGGCTAGATCTGTTTGAAGATGGCAATTTTAGTATTTCTCAGCGTTCTACTAAAGAGAACGTACCATCAATCAAAGCAATCTTTAGCATTACATTATTTAGTTATTTAGTTTCTAATTTTGAAGTGCTCTTATTAGCGAGCTTCTTTTTTGTACTCAATAAAGGTTCTTTTTTCTTGTTTAATTTTGCTCTTTTTCTCTTCCGGGTTACGGTAATTTATCTGCGTTATGCCATAACCCAGAAAGCACACTTTTATTTTCAAAAGGTTATAACATTTTATAGGGTTTATCAATTTTTATATTTTTGGTATCAAAAGATAGAGAGAAACCCGCAGAATAAAACTTGCGGTTTACATTTTTCTCTTTGGCTTTTGCTTTCAAAATTTTGCTCCGACAATAAAATATGGCTAAAATTTAACACGGTAAAATCACTAAAACTCGATTTTTACAAAAATTTGTCGAAGGGATTTCAAAAATGTTTTTATTTTCGGATTCAGCACATTTTCTGCGTCGATTGGCTATTCAAATTCAAATTCAAAAATCCTATACAAAACGATATTTTGCCTTATTTCGCGCGGATGTGGGATGGGACAAATGTGACCTTTTTTGCGCACCCGGCAAAATGCGCACCTTCTTTCGTTGTAAAAGGCCTTAGGAAAGGCCGTAGAGTTTCAAAAATGTTTTCACATAAGGGAATCGTATGCGTAGGTTCCGAATTTCGACAAATCAGACCTCGATGCCGCGTCAAATTTTGGCTAAAAGGCAAAAAGTACGCAACTGAACGCTTTTCCGCGCAGTTAAAAATCAAATAAACATTGAAAGCTTTTTGACGCAGACTTGCAAAGCTTGGAAACCAAATACAATCAGGTGCAATTGGATACAATTTCCCGTAATATAAACCTCAATTATAGAACTTGATCTGGGCTTTCAGATGTATTTACCAAATATAAAGCAGAAAAGACGTCCGTCCGTCTGTCTGGCTGTCTGTCTGTACGCAAACGCGACGCTCCAAATTTCGGGGGCGCGATTTAGCGGTGCCATCAGCAAACAAGGGGTGGAGCTTAGCCCTCGGGGGTTTTCGCTTATGGGAAATCCGATTTTGATGTTCATTTTCAAAAAGGGTCGTGGCTTAATTGGGTATACGGTAATTTATGGAATGAAAAGTCTCTAATTGATTTGCATTTACATATTTAATTTCATTCTGTTTCTACTTTTTTCCGTAAACTTTTGCATGATTTTACTTTTCTTCTGATAGTTTTACTATCGTTCTGCCTCCCCAGCGGAAAACGCGAACGAAGTGAGCTATAGTTTAGTTATAGTTTGAATGTTGATTTTTTTTCTACGAGTTATAGTTTGAAGTTAGTTTGAAGTTATACTTTGAAACATTTCCAAAGAACCCACTTCTGAAAAGCTCAACGTTTTGAGAGTTTCAGGTGCTTTTTCTTACTAGCTACGTATTTTATTGTGCAAAAAGCATTATTTTTGGATTCTTCAGTAGCAAATTAGTACAATAACAACAACTAGTTAGTAGTTTTATGGAATTTTGTTTATAAAGCGTCCCAAAAGTAATCCATATCATCAGTAATCCATATCATCAGTAATCCATATCATAAGCATCGCCACTGTCGGTTTTGGGAAAATCTTGTGTCTCTTTATTTTTATTTTCCGATCAAACAAACAAATTCATATGCAAAATTGCCCATTTTGGCATGCGGTGGGAATCGAACCCTAGGGCATTTTCCGCACTAGAGACGGACGCTCTACCAACTGCGCCATATCTGTGTATAATTTAGAGCTCCATAACTTGGCAGGAAAGAAATTTATTTGAACTATTTTTTTACGTATATTATCTACGTTCCGGTGCCCTATCTAATCCAAAAAGAATTTAAAAAATAGGTCCATTGATCGCTGAGAAAATGCTCATTGAAAAAACCTGAAATTTGAAATAAAATGTCATTTTTCTCAAAAAATTACCACTATTGGGTGTACCACTATTCAATCCTGTTGGAGAGCCGCAAAACCCAAAACAAGAAAATTTATCACAAAAGAATATTTTGCACAAGGTATGGATGATCGAGAGATCGTTTACCTTATTGCACATGAAGAGGAATGGATTGACATTGAAATTTGAAAGAAATGGGCATTACATTTACTTCTTTACAAAGTTTTTGAAAAAAAGTGATATGCAACTTTCAATGTTGCCGCTCTTTAATTAATTTTTGTTTCTTTTGTGAATATCGATCGAATACTTCTATCATCTGGAAGTTTTTATTTGTCATCGGCAATTTATCTTCATTTGTTTACGCAATGGTAATTTATTGAATTTCAAATAGAACATGCAAATACACAAAAACGGCCATGATATGCAAAATATTAAGAATCCCAAACGACAAAAGTACACCACAACCAATATACACACAAACAATTCTCCATAAAACAATAATAGTGTTGGCAAAGACTAGTAAGACACAACAAGGATAGAATGTCGTTTGATATTTAATCTAAAACACTAGCAGGTTGGCAAAATCACTGGGCATTAAAACTATATGTATGCAAGAACTTGGAAGGCTAATACTAGAAATCTAGCGAGAGTCAAAAGATAAGTCAAAAGATAAAACTATACGGCAATTATTTGAGAAGTGCTGTGACGACGGCAGCAGCGTTAAGTGTGCGAAGATCCCTGTAGGTTTGTCCACATCCAACAAAAACGATTGGTTGACCGGTGATGTAAGTCATCGAGATGGCTGCTCCAACCTAAAAAAGATTTGTTAGTCGTAAATTTTTAGTTAGTTTACTTTAGTTTGTAAACTAATATTTGATTTTTTAAACTTGCATATCAAAAGAATTCTCACCTTGTCATCGATTGTGTCGAACTTGGTGAGCACAATTCCATCAATGAGACGTGGTTCAGCTCCCGGACTAGCATGATCAGCAAGTGCCTAAAATTATTAACTAAAATTTACGTTAATATGTGAAGACTGAACGAATTCAATACTACCTGTACACAATATTTTAGTTTGATCCATAAAATTCGTACCCGATTAACATTGGCAATCAAGCAGACTAACCTGATTAAATTTGACGAGTTGATCGACGGCTTCATTACCGACTAGAGCCTCTCCAACGAACAGGCACAAATCAGGCTCATTCACACGGATCAACTAAAGAATTGCTTGCTTAAAAGAGTTAAGATGTCAAACCTTAGCCAAAGCTCTCATCAGCGGTTCGTTATCTTGCATTCTTCCGGAGGTATCCACCAAAACGACGTCGTGTCCTCGTTCTTGAGCAATCGCAATTGCTGCGGCAGCCAATCCAGCTGGGTCCTTTCCATAGCCTTGTTCGTAGAGCTAAAATAATTTATTGTTGTGATCGCATTTCAAAAACATACCTGCACCGAATCGGGATGCAGAGCATTTAGATGTCTCGTATGTGTTCGAAGTTGTTCAACGGCTCCAGCCCTAAAAAAATAGTTTTATAGAATAACATTTTAAAGATTAAACTACCTGAATGTGTCACCGGCGGCGATTAGAACGCGATGACCATTTTCGTTAAGCCAGAAGGTGATCTTCGCCAAATTTGTACTTTTTCCAACGCCGTTTACACCTAAATAAAATCATTATGCAAACCTCAAAAGAATTTTACCGCAAAATACGACCACATACGGGCGTTTTTCCTTTTTCGCTTCAATCACATCACGGAGAATATCGACACGACGCTTGGGAGTAAGAAGCTAAATACAGAAATGTACAGCTCTGGAAAGAAAATGATACCTGAGTGAGCGATTCGCGAATGGCTTCTTTAACTTCACTGTTGATTCGAGTGAATGTACCGATCACCTAAAAGAGCTTTCGTAAGAAAGCGAGGCATTACTTACTTTTCCTTCCAATTTCTTCGCGACAGATTGACAAATTTTCTCTGCTGGCTCAGCCGCAACATTCTTTACTAAAATTTTTAATTGGTTTAATTAAAAGTTTTCAATACAACTTACGGATCAAGTTTTCTCGCATTTTCTCCATCAACGGCTCGACATCCTCGGGGGTGATCTTCTTGCTTCCGACTAGATTCTTTAGTGAGCTGAACCATCCACCGCTTGAAGCACGCTCTTCGACAACACTAAACAAAACTTAAAAACTATGCACCACATTCAATAACTCACGCATCATCTTCCTCTTCGTCGTCTGATTCTTGTAGATCTTCAAGTTTAGCTGAGCGTCCGACAAATTGACGCTAAAAATACATGAGGATTAAAATGGTTTCACTACAAACTTGTTCTTCGACAAATTTCAAATCCTCGACTCCTTCTCCATTTCCTTCTGCATCTTCAGCTTTTCCGGATGAGTAGTCGAGAACTGGCACGTCTTTTGTCTTCCCACTCAGATTCCACACTCGCGCCTCCTTCCCCTTCTTCTTTTGGGCTTCAGGTGAACTAAAATAAAAAAATGCTTAATTGGTGATAAAGCTTTAGCGTTGCCATAACATAAGTTCTTTCACCCTCGTTCAAATTGCAGCAAACCAAATAAAAAGCCTTGATTTTAAAACTCCATAAACCGAATCTTAGATCTCGAATCACTTGATGAAACAAAAACTAACGCTGGTGCTTCTTTGGCCTTTGAAGCTCCTCCTTTCATCTTTCGCATAAATTCTTCTCGTTTTCGTTTCGTATCATCCTCTTCATCCGAGCTTGCGCCGCTTCCCATAATTGGTGATGGTGGTGAGCCTTTGGGCACTTCAATCGGCTTCTCACTAAAACTTTCAAATAACAAGATATGCTAGTTTAATTCGTTACCTAGCCTTTGTTTGCTTCTTAGCTGCTTCATTTTTCTTGTTTTTGTCATCGCCTGGGCGTGAGACGATCAACGATTCGACGGTCTTCTGCGACTTATGGCTCTCCTAAACACATGATGTAAATATTTATATTTGTACTCAACCTGGAATGTCTTTGGTTTACGCACAACTTCAGCCTCGTTCAAACTCTGACGCATACATTGATTATGAATGCTAAAACAATCTTACACATTGAATAAACTATCAAGAACTTACCCTTCAAATTCTTCCGTAAAGTGCATAAACGAGTTCATTCCATGTAGATACATCATTTGCTTGTTGTCGAGCACATTCTTGTAGAGATCTCGGAAACGCTAAAATAATCATAGAACTAACACTTGGACGATGCACAAACTTTATTCACTTCCGTGAGCAATTTGTCAGCATATGATAATTGAATGATCGATTGGTAGACGACCATAAACACCAGCTCGAACTCGTTGTCCATATGGAATTTGATCGTCATGTTATTGTGCTTGAATTGATTGACGTCACCGCGTTCCTAAACAAAAATGCATTAATCTTGGTGTTAAATTAAGTAAAATACAGTGGGTTTTAAGCTACTTCCATTGCTAAACGTATAGGAATAATTATTTAAGAAAATAAACATCACAAACTTCAATCATACCTGCATAAGCACATCGCGAATCAACTTGTTGATCGATTCGGTGAAGAGTTGACCACCTTCCTAAAAGAAAACACGTAATAAAGTTTAAGTTTTCCTTTAGAATAAGCCTATATCCTAAAAACTTACTTGCAAACACCAATAGACGAGTCCTCCCTTGCCGAAAATCGTGAAAAGCTCGATCATCTCGTTGAAATTGCTCTCTAAAAGAATGAAACGTCAAAATATCAAAAGTTTTGAAAGAAAAAAGCCACAATAGAAAGACAAAGAGATCAAGCAAATAGAGGTGCCTTAACTTTTAAAAAACCACAATGTCTACACCGTCGAGATTCAAAAATTATACGCTTTAATTGAATCTAACGCCAAGATTTTAGTTGCAGAACTTATTTCTATAAATTTCTCTGCCTGCCTTTATTTTTAGACTTTTGCTTTTTCTTTCACGTGAGAGACAACAAGTAGGCCGCATATTTTCGCTCCATGTGGAGAGGAAATGTCAGAAAAACGCGCAAAGCGAGCGTCAATCTCGGTGCCACGTGTAGTGGATAACTTCAAGTTCTACCAAGACCGAGGAATTTCTAAAAATTAGGAAAACTAAAAGGAAACCAGCACATACACCGGTCCCATCTGCACAACTTGCATACCATCATAAATCACCCAAGTTGCTAAAAACTCGGCTTAAAACGGCCTTTTCTTAAGTTCTCGTGTTTTTCGGAATCTACGCATAAAGCTACCCCAGAAAAAGTGGTTTTGAAGAAAAAAAGTGCCCCTCCAAAGCCAATAGTACCAAAAGTAGTGATGCGTTACTCAACACCAACAGTCTTGTGCCAGTTTTTGCAACTGACCGAGGAAGAAATTGCAATTTTGCCACCAGGAGATTGGGAACGCGTAATCGAGCTCCGCAATCAAAATACACCGGGCCCATCTGCACAACCTCCATCTACCATGATAAATCATCCAGGTTGCCACATTTTTGAAAGGTTATAAATTAACTTTTAGTATTTATAACATGCCACCGCCGAAATTCACTGCACCCCGGCCTGGGGATTCTCGTCCTCCCCCAGCTTCCAGCTCAACAACAACGACAAATGGCTGATGAAGATAGTCAACAGGCTGCACTACTCGTACAGGTAAACGTATCAAAAAGTTTTGTTTCGACTTTTTATTGATAGGTCATCCAAATAAAAGTTTTAATAATGCGTTACTCAACACCAACAGTCTTGTTCCAGGTTTTGCAAATGACCGAGGAAGAAATTGCAATTTTGCCGCCAGGAGATCGAGAACGTGTCATCGAGCTTCCAATTAAGTCAACAACGATAAAAGGCTAATTTTATCTTATCTGCCGTACCTCTTTAAACTAATATTAGGCTTTTTTTTTATAAATTTTCTTGTTTTTTTACTTTCTCCTCATTTCGGCTTCAAGTTCTAAAGTTGTTTGCCTTGCATTTTCCAATTAAATAAATAAATTGCATTTACTATCAAGCATTATATTAAACCACCTGCGCTGGGCGTCCGCTATGCGGCTGCTTTGCTAAAATTTGCAATAAACTTCCCCTCTTAAATGCAAATTGGGCGGCCGTTTTAAATTCTAAAGGCCAATAACTCGGCGGGATATGACGTTTTTACAAACTTCAGATTCGGAATCAGCGAATTTTTTACCCTAAAATGAGAGTTTTTAGCCCCCTAGCTCATTTCCCCGAATAAAAGCCTCGGACAGACGAACGGCGTTATATATGTCGTAGCCGATTACGAATGATTTTTTTTCGCTAGCCGTTTACATATGAAATGTTTAAATGCAAATTTCATCTGTATTACAATCGATCTATGCCATGCTTCTGTACGGCCCGATTAAATTGAGTTTACCGTGTTTTTGATTTAAAACTTTAAAACTAACTTTGTGCAAAACGCAAATCAACAAACAAAAAGTGAAACAACATTTATGACATAATATTTATCACAAACAAAACAACAACTAAAATGCATAAAAAACAATCTGTTTATTTGTTCGAGCAGGAATTACCGTGATGATATCGGCTATTGCAGAGCATCTCCGCTTTGAGGCACACACATCGTCCATTCGTGCAGCCATTTGTGCAATTGCAATGCTTGCGACCTAAAACATAAAGTTACACCGGTAAATTAAATATTTAAGTTTACCCTGAGTCCCTGACAGTCCCATGATTCGGCTCCGATAGCTGAACGAAACGATGTCTTTTGAGAAGGAACGTCATCGGCGAACAGAAAATTGTGAGTTGTGAATTATGAAAATTTTGTGAGTTGACGCCAAAACATCGAAGAGTCCCTCTTTCTTGACGACTCGTTTTGGTCGTTCGTTCGCTCCTTTATCTCCATGATTGTAGAGTATCGTTGATCGCTCAATACATTGAATCGAGTAGCGTCGTGCCCGATTTGCCTCTTCTGTTGTTAGCTTCCGTTTCTCGGTTTCACTTTCACATACCATCGTTGTCAATTTGTGCACAACGTCATCATGTTTTTCCGTCTTTAGTAGATGTATTCGCTCCTTCACGACTTGCTACGCGTCAAGTTGGTTGAGAAAAGAATCCATCCTGAAAAAAACGAATGAGTATAATAAAATCATATATAATAATCTAATATAGTATATAATAAAATCAAAGAACAATCAAAAAAGCAAAAAGAAAATAAACCTGAAATCATTGATAAGAATGGGGATTACGAATGATTTCTTAAACGGCTACGACAATATTTTGGAATAGAAAAAAGTCGAAGAAGTTTGGGATGGAAGTAGGATTGGCGCGTCGAGACGCTCTTAATATACAAATTTATCGCAAAGCGACAATTAAAAGATATTCAGTTAATCGAATGGTTTGTGATTTGTTGCAAATCTGACTCTTTCAAAAATTTGTTTCACTTAGTTTTACCGACCGTAAATACTGTAATAGTACCCCACCCCCATAATGATGGTGCGCAGTGTTGTGTAGTCTAGCTTTGAACGAGTTTTTCTCGACACTGGTTTATGCTACAATCCGCGCCTAGGTATCAAAAAATAGCCCTAAATTTCAGCTATTTTTTGATACCAAAGATAGATTTTTTGAAAGTACGGGTGCTTTGCAAAAAATGAAATACTAGAAAACTTTTGCGACTACGCGACTTTACGAGGGGGGTGGGGTACTAGTACAGTATATACAGTATTTATTCCAACTTAGAGTGTCCCCAACCTTTCTAAACCATCAATATTTATTCTACGAAACACTACCGACAAAGCAAAACACAAAAAAGCACCAAGGCCACTTCTCACTGGGTGGAAATAACCCGCAAAAGAACAATCAATGAAAGAAATGAGCAAAAATGTGTAAAGTTTAGTATCCAGGAGCGGTTCTCGGCGGTGGGCAATGGTCACAACCTGAGAATGGAATTTTGCAATGGTTAATAAAATCTTCTCAACCTCCAGAGTCTCCTCTGCTTCCATCGGGTCCATTCTCTCCCTTTGCACCGGGATTTCCGTCTTTTCCTGCAGCACCAGCATCACCCGCTGGCCCAATCGGGCCCTCATCTCCCGGTTTTCCGTCATCACCTTCAAAATCCCCAAATTTCGCAGAACTTCTTAAACTAGCAAGGCATTTTTTTTACCTGGTGGTCCAGCTGCTCCCGGTTGTCCATCGGGTCCTGGAGGTCCTGCTGGCCCATCAGGTCCAGGCACTTCTTGCAGCTCTCCCTTTAATCCATCAGGTCCAGGGTTTCCAGCCTCTCCATCATCTCCTGCAGGTCCAGGAGGACCGGGTGGTCCCGGTGGTCCTTGCACTCCTCCATCCGCGTCTTTTCCAGGCTCACCAGCCAACCCAGGAGGACCTAGATTTTAACTTTAATTGTTTTTTATCTATGTTTACCTTTTGGACCAGCGTTTCCAGCTGGACCAGGCGGGCCATCAGGACAATCAAAGCACCATTCATGAGCCGGAGCAGCAGTCGCCTCTGGACCATCGGGACCATCCTTTCCGTTATCTCCCGGTTTACCTGAATAGTAGATATTATAATAGATAGTTACTATGTGCTATCAAAGACCAACCATCATCTCCATCAAGTCCATCAGTTCCGGGAGGTCCAGGAGGTCCTTGGGGTGAGGTTCCACAGCCACAGCAGCCTTGAAATTTCTATTTTATATTGCTTTTCTAAAACAAAGTTAGACTTAGGTTTTTCTTGAGCTTGGTTATTGTTTTTGAGAGATTTTCGAAAGAGCTACCTCCAGAAGGAGCCGAGTGATGAGTGGCCTCAACACCGGCAGATTCATACCCAGCTTGACGTCGCGTTCGCACCACACCGTTCACTTTAGCCAACACCTGTAATGTAAGGCTTAAGCATTGATTACTGACAGATAATCATGTATTATAGTTTGATTACTATTGCCTTCAATTGTTGTAGTACTTGGCTTTTCCGAAAGCTATCCCTAATTGCGAACATAAGTGCAAGTTTTTCTTTCCCTTTACCCCTCAACCGTGCCACTTTACCCCTTCTCGACTCTTGGGTTCAAACCTTAATAATTGCTGGGAGTGGTTGCAATTTGAAAGAAATGTATGCTATTCCAAGGTGAGACTTTTTCGAGACCAAAAACATTTACCATAAGAAATGTCATTGGAAAAGAAGCTGAGCCAAAAAAAGAGTCTCAAGCTCAAAGAGTCAAAGCTTTTTGAAGTGTTCCTATTCCCTCTCTTCACCCACTTGCAATTGACTTCTGGAGGAGATTGAGGAAAAATAAGACTCTAGTTATAAGATTATTAACCTTTTTAGCTACAAGTTCTCAAGTCTTGTTGATAAAACTTCTAAAGTCAATCCATAACTATTAGCAGACCTTTGTTCTATTAATTTCTGAATAATCATAGATCTTACCAATTAGATAAAATGGCTTTTTTAAGCTTTAGTCATATTTGGATTGTTTTCCTGTAGAGCTAGTCACAAAAACCTCACCTTTTCCAACAGGTTATGCAAATTTTTCCCCCTTTTTGCTCACCTGAGTTCGTGTGACTTCTCTCCAAATGTTTGACGATCGAAGACGACAAAAATTTACCTAAAATGATTTGTGAAAAGAACGATTATTGGATAATGATTGATTGGTTAACATATTGAATTGACTATTGAACTATTGAATAAGTAAATGAAAATCCTAATAGAATACTACGAATTCCTAAAAGAATACTACAGATTGTGATCTAAAAGTATTTCCCTTAAAAGTCTGTTAAGATTAATTGACAATTTTAAAGCCAAGATTATTATATAGCCAAGAATATTTACCTCTCCTTGCATCATCGATTGCATTTGTTGAAGATAATTGTAAAACATCGGCACTGAGACGACACATAAAAGAGTGGCAATTGTAGATATTGAGACTCCAATGAAAGCAATTCTAAAGAAATCTAATTGGTTATATGACGCTTAATCGAACTCACCTTCGGAGTTGATGCGCTTCCGAGAAAAGCCTTTTCTCGTCTGTCATCTTTAAAGCCTAATAATACCTATATAGAGATAAACACAGTATTTTAAAATAAACAAAAGTTTTTTTGTAAGAAAGATCGATTGAAAAGCTAGTTTTAATAACTCAAGTAACTCAAGACATGTGAGTAGGCTTCAAAGTAAAGTGAAAGCAACAAGAACTCCAAGAAAACATTCGAGGTACAGATTAAAAGAATGCCTTCAAATTTGTGCCTATATATGGGGGGAAAGGGAATAGGAAAGACATGAAGGAGACGAGGACAATGGCATGTCTTCTACAGTCACACGCCCTTCCCATTCCCTCTCTCCATCCACCTCCCATTCCCCTCTCCATCCACCTCCCATCCCCACCCATCCCCTCCCATTCTCTTCTCTTATCCAGAATCTTTTCCCCTTGTGCTAATCAAAATGCTTGAGCCATTCGAACACTCTCCATTTTTTGAAAACTTCAAACACCCACTTGAAGTGAAAGAGATTAGCTATAAGATTCAACACATTTTAGGCATTTTAAGCTTCAGAAATTTCTAGCAACCAGAAACGCATACTTTTTGGCACACTGATTCATTCTCGGGCTTTGAAATTAAATAGAAATTTTTTCAGCTATTCAACTATTCCATAAAAACTTGACTATAAGTCGAACTGTATTCAAGCTATTGATTTGAATCAAGTAGACAATTCCAGGCTTAAATTGTGGAAGAAAACAGTGTTATCTGTATTTAGATTTTCAAATTATGCTTTCAACCGAGTACCAGTTTTATTCTCAGAAATGCCAAATTTCACTTTAAACAAAATTAGGGGAAGTTGAAACGATTGAATGAATGAAATTGAGGAAAAATGGAGAATCTTATAGATTCCTTTTCTGTTTTTACCTTGAACAGGTCTCAAATTGGGTGATTTGCATGTCTTCAGAAAAAAAACGAGGCCTTTCACTTTTCTATTGTCACTTTGGCATTGGTGGATTTCAATTTCGTTCACGAAACGATTGGGTGAAAGCCTGGGAATTGTTTAGATTTCTCAAGGAAAATCGAACTTTTACTGAACTTTTTCTGAACTCAACTTGAAAAGAACAAACTTTACTTGTTTATTGAGTCAAATTCTATGTAGCATGGTAGAAAGAATGTGTATCATAAGAGAATTCTATACATTGCCACAGATAATAGAGACTGTAGACTGACAAAGTGTTTTCTAAAAGATGTGCATAGGAAAAAGTTTTAGACAACTGGATTACGGTGGTTTGATAAATTTTCTAAGCATAATAAGATTACGATAGCTTTTCGCTAGTCCACTTTCTAGAACGCTTCATTACAGTACCCATACAGGCTTTCAAAATTTGCATAGATTCAAAGGTCGTCCTCTTCTTCTTCTTCTTCTTCATTTTCTTCTCCTCCTTCTTCTTCTTCTTCTTCTTCTTCTTCTTCTTCTCCTTCTTCTTCTTCTCCTTCTCCTTCTTCTCCTTCTCCTTCTTCTTCTTCACTTTCACGCTCACTTGGCACCGATGGGCGATAGAAATGGCAATTCTGAAAAAAAGTGATTGTGAGTGAAACCATTGCTTCACATTGCTTCTCTTCCTCCTTTCTCATACAATTGCTTGTCCTTGACTTCTTCTATCACAGGGTATTCAATGTTTACATTCTTTTTTATCTCGGTGAACAATTGCCTTCTTTGATATCACCAACAAAGCTGAAACTACCGGAATTGTGATTGAATTCGACAAATAGATAAATAGATTAAGATGAAAGATGAAAATACATGTAAAGGTTTGGAATTTTGAATTTTGGCAATTTTTGCAAGGGATTCTTACAAAAAAATCTTACAAAATGTTGATAAACTTTGAATGCAATGGAAATAAATTATTGCCATTTTTTTGAAATGTTTGCCACTGATTAGAAAAGTTGTCTTTATTATGATAGATCTAGATCACAAAAGTGTCAAGCTAACACAAAACGAGTATCTATTTGACGATATGCTTTGGCTTTGTCAGAGATTGATAGTCTTGGTTTGTTTTGTGAAACTTCAAGGTTTAACTAAAGAAAAGCAAAGAAGTAAAGGAATTGGCAAGAAAAGTAGATTTCTGGAGAGGGGATTGAACCCTAGACTTTTTGCTTTTTGATCTTCGACCCTCGATCTTTTGCTCTAACCGCTGAGCTACTCGGTCCTTAACTTGCCAAAAGAAAGAAGAAAAGACAAGGAGGAAGAAGAAAGGAAGAAAGAGAGAAGGAAGACGCTTTCAGGATAAACCATCAGTCTTGAAAACTTGAACACTTTCTTATGATTACAATTCTTACTCTTATATGATTCTTATGATTCTTATGATTAGAGTTGGTTTAAAAAGCCAAAGCCATAGCTAATCGAACCAAATACAAGTTAAACCATAAAAGTCTAGAGATTGATAGCCCTGGATTTAGCCTAGCGCTTCTATTAGGTTGGAAAGAAAGTTCTCAAAAAAAGTTTGACAGGAATTTCTTAAAAACGAATCCACCAATTCAATAAAATTTAATTCTATTATTTACAAATAGACTCCAAGAAATTACTTGTAAAAAATGAGTGCAGTTTTCCATTAAAATTTTTGAGATTTTTGAAAAATTATTATTTTCCAGCTTTAAATTCAGCTCACTTTTTGCACGAGAAAAACGATTTCTTATGAGATAAAGCTAGTATAAATGAACAATAAGCTTTATAATCTCGTATTTCCAAAAACGTTTTACAGAGAAGCTTTCAAAAAATAATTTTTTTAGTGTCATCTTCTTTGCACTGAGTGTTTGCTAGAATAGGTGATTCTGAAAAGTCCCAAATTTTTTGGGATCAATTCTTACCTAAAATTTTGCTATATTTCTTGCAACAAATTCAACATCTTGTCAAAACATTTTGTTATTTAAACACCAACTAAATTGAGAGAACAATGCTGATCGCTAAGCTCTCGTTTACTTTGTTTGACAAAGCCTGAACCCAGAAAAAACCAATTATTTTAAACTATTAGGTTAGAAAGAAAGTTCTCGGAAAGTTTGACTAGAGATTTCTTAAAAACGAATCCACTAATTCAAGAACATTTACTATTATTTACAAATCGACTCCAACAAATTACTCGTAAAAAATGAGTGCAGCACGTTCGGCTCACTCCGAACAATGCACGTTCGCCTCACTTTTTGCACAAGAAAAACGACTTCTTATGGGCTAAACTTAACTTATCAGCAATTTTTTAGATTCAACAAAGGATAAGAGAGTAGGCAATTTGAATTTGAATTCATGCCAATTTGAAATCATTATTCTTTTGTATGAGCTTCTTCGAGAGAAAATTGACAGCTGTCAAACTGACATATTCTATTAGGTTGGAAAGAAAGTTGTTGAGAACAATGCTGATCGATATTGAGAGAAGAATGCTGATCGATATTGAGAGAACAATGCTGATCGCTAAGCTCTCGTTTACTTTGTTTGACAAAGCCTGAACCCAGAAAAAAACCAATTATTTTAAACTATTAGGTTAGAAAGAAAGTTCTCGGAAAGTTTGACTAGAGATTTCTTAAAAACGAATCCACTAATTCAAGAACATTTTCCTCTATTATTTACAAATCGACTCCAAGAAATTACTCGTAAAAAATGAGTGCAGTTTTCCTTTAAAATTTTTGAGAAAAGTATGTTTTCCAGCTTAAATTCAGCTCACTTTTTGCACGAGAAAAACGATTTCTTATGAGGTAAAGCTAGTATAAATGAACAATAAGCTTTATAATCTCTATTCTATTTCCAAAAAAATTTTACAGAGAAGCTTTCAAAAAAATAATTTTTTAGTGTCATCTTCTTTGCACTGAGTGTTTGCTAAACTAGATGATTCTGTAAAGTTAAATCATTAGATCAAATTTCCCTTTATCACTAATTTTCCCTATTTTAAGTACTTTATTTTAGGTTTTGAATGAGATCCATTGACTATTCATTAGCCCATTAAAAACTTGTCTAAAAGCTGATCACTCAAAAAGTGACCAAGTCACTTCAGCTGAAGAAATCTCTTTTTTTACTTGAAGCCTACTCTGATTTTTTTTTTGTCAAAAACTGTCAAACTTTTTGAAATATAGTTAAGTTTATCAAAAAAATCTGGGAAGAATTGATGGCTTGGTTTTTGAGAAATCACTGTGCAAACTTTTTCTACAAACTTTCTTTCCAACCTAATAGTTCTGCCTTTCACTAGCTATAAGTAGACCGAGTTATCAAAACTTTACTCAATTCCCATCTTTTACAATTCATTTACCTCAATCTCATTGACGATTTCAATTTCCCTCTTTACCGTCATCCTTTTTTTTGTCTTTTACTTGCCTGCTTTTCGTTGATAAAGGGGTGAAAATTAACACAGACGTGTATCTGGACGTTCTCACAAAAGATGTACAGCCGTGGAGTCAAGGACATTATCAAAATCAGCGCTGGACATTGATCCAAGACGGCGCTCCAGCGCACAAAGCAAAAAAGACTCAAGAGTGGTGTCGAAACAATTTGCCCTTTCACTAGCTATAAGTAGACCGAGTTATCAAAACTTTACTCAATTCCCATCTTTTACAATTCATTTACCTCAATTTCATTGTCGATTTCAATTTCCCTCTTTACCATCATCCTTTTTTGTCTTTTACTTGCCTGCTTTGCTTTAAGACAAGTCACCGACTACGGTACTCATTGTTCTATCCGCGAAATATCCTCTAACAAACTTCTAACGCTTTCCCCATTCTCGAGTATCAATAATTTAGTTCAATCGTTGATTACATAAAGTTAATAGGATAATTTTCGGGTTTTCTTACAATCTCCTTATTACTTTATAGATTTAACTCATTTTTTGCTAGAATTTACTGCTCGGTTTCTAAAAGTTCCCAAATCTAGATGGAGAAACGATTTCCCGAGATTTTCCCCCGTTTTCCATAGAAACTGATTGTTAATCCGATTCAATTGACACAATTCTTGAATATCTTTCAGAAAATGTACAAAATATTAGTTTCTTAATATCAGAATTCGAGTTTACGACGGTTTTTACATAAAAATTCGAGTTAAACAACCAGTTAAAGCTAATTTTACGCAATCTAGGTAAAATGCCGGGTTCACTTTCAATCCAGTTACACTAAATTGATTTTTCTTTGCCTTAAACTTTTAACAATCAATAGTATCATGCAAATTTTGAAATTAAATGTAAATTCCACTTATCGATCTCTTATAATTTCCTCCGATTAGCCTATTCCTCGATCCACTACACAGTGATACACGATTAGTAAAAAGGATTGAAAGATTGATATGTAAATTGTTAAAAGTTTTAAATAGAGAAATAAATAATTTATATTTGTTTAAATAAAACTTTAATATTCAAACGGTTTAAGTAATTTTTGACAAAACTGTTTCGAAAAACCGCTTATCAGAGGAATTTACTGTTTTTTTAGTCATTCCTTTTCACATTTTAAAAAAGTAGCTAACTTATTTAAAGTAAACTTGATTAATACAGATCTATCTATCTATTAATATCTAAAAATAAGTATTAAAGATTAAAATTTGGATTTTAATATAGAAAACGCTAGCTAAAGGTGGTTATTTAACATAAGCTGTGTAGCTTACTGCTTTCGAGCACAGATTAGCAAAATACTATAGCTAATTTTTAAAGGCATCTGTTTACAATTTACTTTTCTAAAGTTGTAAAGTACGATTACACCTACGAACATTTATCGGAAAGTCTATTAAATCCGTTATCGATGACGCTTCAATACTTTTGCTAACTTTCAATTTCAAATCTGCTACCTCATTTGCAAAAATTTATTTTTAATTCATGTACATTTATTATCTTATTCATGCTTATTTAATCAATATTAACTTTTAGATAAAATGGGAAAGATTCGAAAGAAATTCCAGAAGAATGAAGCGAAACTTCGACCGGTGGCCGCCTATGTGCCGCTGAAAGAAGACCAAATTGGTGAGAAAATTTTACTTTTTATATACAAATTTAGCTATAGAATTATTAAATTGATTTACTATTCAAATTTTGATATGAAAATTTGCTTTTTTAGACTTCGGACGGCTCGAGAAAGCGGCGAACACCGGCTCCTCTGAGGTGCAATACTTGTTGCGGACGCAATTCTCCTTCAAAATGGTTTGCAGGTGAGTTTTTGAATTAAAATATAATAATTCTATGGATTTACTATGGTAATTAGTATATTGTACTTTAAAATTATCCAAAAACTATTATAAAATCGATTTTAGAGTTTGTTCGACCGAGTTCACCACTCTGCCGCAAATCGTCACGCATAAACGAAAGGTAAACGAATTGTATGTAAATTTAAAGAATTAGCAACTAGATAGCTAGATATTTAATAGGTTTTAGTTAGATATTTGAAGGTTTAGATGAAATTTTTAGCCAAAATAACCCTCCTTTCTCTCTTTTTCCAGCGCTGACCTAGTCGAAAGAGCATCTAACCATTGACCCCTTTTCAGCGAAGATTTCCCTGTTTAGATTAAATTTTATACTATAAATTTCTATATTTATTATAAATCTATAAGATTTCTAAGTTTTTTAATAGTTTAACAATTGAATTTCTTTTCCAGCAATGCCGAATGAGAATGGATACAGCTGGCGAGGAGGCGATTGCTGAAGCGCTGCTTGAAATCATCGATGATCAGGAGAAAAGAGGTTATTTACTAAAATTAGCAAATAAATTAGCATAATAGGAATTGAAATCTTCTTTTCTATCGTGTTAGTAATCCGAAATTTCTAGACGAGCTTCTAACTCTGATGCAAAAACCGCCAAGATCGAAAAACACGCGCGATGTAGTGGCAGCATCGGAGAAAATCGATAAGCAAATGCTGAGGAAAATCCCTGATTCGACGAGGATTGTCAATGGAAAACAATTGGTTTGTTTTCACAAAAGATTTTATATTTTCTTAGCAAAAATTTCAATTTATTCAATTCAATTTCAGTGCCCATCTCCTCGAAAACAAGACCTCTATCGAAAGGACAAACTCGAGGCGGAAAAACGAGAGATCAGCACCGTTGTTATGCCAAAAGAACCAAAAGAGTTTGTTTTGAAATTGAAATTTTAAGGCAATTAACAAGAAAGTAAATAATTTGATTAAAATTTTCAATTTCAGAATCGAAATGGAGGACTTTAACTTGAGAGTGAAGAAGAAAGAGATTAACAGTCGGATTTTTGAGGAAGCGGAGGTGAAAATGATTCGAATATTGTATAGATAAAGTTAAAGTAATTTACAGTAAGGTTTCAAGTTTATTTTATAAAAGTTAATTTTTATTTCAGCTGCCGATCATGAACCGTCTCAGCATGCATCCGAGCGCTGTCAAGTTCGCCGATTTGGCCGCGAAGAAATGTATGGACAAGAAATGCGCAAATGAACAGGTTTGAAATATTTGTAACACATCTAGATCTTTAAAAAATTATATTTATTCAGGAATTCATCGATCTCGAATCATTGGCCTATCACATCACCGCTTGTCACTCACTTCCACACAACGTCTATCAATGTCTCGTTTGTGGAATCGTTTTCTTGGAGTGAGTTGGAGAATAGTGAAAGAATAGTGAAATAAATGGAAATTATAAAATCGGAGTGCGATTTTTGAATGCAAACAGTGGTTTAAATAAAAATTAACCAGTTTTAGAAGTTAGCTTGAAAAAGACTTGACCTATATCCTCAAGTATCTGACAAACATCAGTACTTGATCCACGGCTTATTCATTAGATAACTGTTGGCTGATATGTGACCAATGGCCCCCATGGCCGACTGGCATCGTGGTGCATAATAAATAGTTAGATAACTAGAAATTTTAATCATACACTTTATTGATCAGTGTTTCCTTGGAAAAACGAGATATTTCTTTAGAAAAAACGAGTTCTCTTATGTACGACAGATTATCATATAATGTTAATGAATAGTTTGGCTAAAAATCTTAGTTTATATATTAACTCTAATATGACACTACGGTGCCATTAGAAAGTTTTAACTTTATGGTAAAATCTCATGGTGATGGTAAAAAAATTTTGTGTATAGGGATCATGAAGAAAAATTTCAAAAAAGAACTGTCTTTTCCTTACAGAAAAAACACTTTTAGCATTAGGGTGGCCATCAAGAGCCACTACGGATTTTGAGGAAATTCGAGACAAACTTACTTTTTGTTTTCCGGACACCCTGTATATGGGTTTTTCTATATTTAGACTTAAGGGTTGTGCTTTTGTATTGTTTATACCACATTCGTGTGAATAAATGTACTTTTTAATGAATAGAACTGATAACAATGCTTAACAAAAACTTCTAGATACACATCTCTTCGCGAACACGTCGGTGAAGAGCATTCAGTGATCCTTTGGCGTCATAAAGCCCATCGAGAAGCACAAGTGAAGACGAGAAAACGAAAAATTGATGAACCGACACCGAAAAATGAAATGGAATTCGATCCAGAAGAGCCAACGGAAAAACAGAGAAGAATTGTTAGTTTATTATTAAAAAAACAACAAAATTGTTAGCGTTTCACGATTAGCAAGAAAAACTTAAATTTTGGATATAAGCAATTTTAGCGAAGAGCTTTTTGCCGAAAATCGATTCAACCGCAAAAAGTCGATGAATCAGAAGAGGATGAGGAAAATGAAGAGGATCAAAGAGAGAGGAAACTTTTGGATAAAGTAAGTTTAGTTACATGCATTCAAATCAGTGAATGTTTACATGTAAAGTTCAATTGATATCTTCAGTTCTCCTATCGCGAGTCGATGGTTCGCTTGGTTCCACAGAGTATCGATGTTGGTTTGTTGGAGGAATTGGAGAAGGCGAGCACTAGTACAACACTGCCTGTTCACACGTGGAATGTTTCGAGGATGGTGGCAAGAAAGGTGGGGTTTTGGGAGCTGTAGATATATTAAATCTTTATCTAGATGTAAATTTGCATATCTAAATTGATCCTGTCATGAACAAGTAACCAATCTACTATATGAAAGAGTCTCTCTGTACGCGCATTTTCTCGGCCGTGTTTTGATCAAAACATTAGAATATATTGTAGTTGCCATTTAAAATAAATTCAAAGTTAAGTGGCACTAAGGGGGGTCGAAGCTGAATCGTGTGGGCTGTATACACGCGCGCTCCTGACTGCGCCACAGCGACAAATAAGCTAGCCTCAAAAATCCTATGAAAAGGCGCCATTAGGGTTTTTCGGATAGTTTTCCTTTCAGCATCTCGATTTTCAAAAAGACGCCTTCGAAAATGCGATCGGATGGATGATCAAGACACCGAAAATGGTACGTTAAAAGTTTAACTAAGTTAAACTATTTTATTTAAGATTATCTAAATTACATATATTTACAAATTAGTCAAAATGAACCGAAAACCTTTCAGCGAATAACTCGTGGTAATGTGCAACGAGGAAAAGCTATGCCGCCACCCACCGTGAAACCCAGTCCAAATCAATCGCCACCAGCTAAGGTAATATAATGATAATATTTGAACTTATATAAAATATGTGTTCGTTGCAAAATTTTAAACTTTAAACTCTTTAGATTCTTCGCGAGACTCGGTCAATTTCACGGCAATCGGTGAAAGAGGTGAAAGTTGAGCCAAAGGAAGAAATCGAGCAAATCAATACTACCGACCCACGATTTGAGCTTAAATTGAAGATTTCAAGGAAAAACTTTGAGGTAGAAATCTTAGAATATTCAGAGTCTAAGCTAAAGATGTAAAACGATCTAAGCTATTAATAAACCAACGATTAATGAATAAGCAAAAGTTATAGCTAGCATAGCCGGCTTGATTCATAAATAATTGTTCATAGCATAACATAGAAATGTTGTACTTGTAAGTGATTTTTTCAGATTGTTCCTAAAAAGCCTCGTTCACAAGAGAGAGGAAAAGTGAATGGGAAACGTGTGCTCGAAGATGAGGAAATCGTTGCTGATGTGAGAAAGATTTTTTGCTTATTTTACTTATAAACTTTTAGATCGTTGACAATTTGGTGAAACGAGTTGTACGAAAGGAATATAAAGATGTAAGTTTTGACAAATGTTTTGAAAATTTCTTGTTTTAGTCTTATAAAGCCCTCTTCGCCAAGAAGAAATCTACTCCCGAGGATCCGATTGAAACGAATCGACCACAGGTAAGAGAAAAAGATTTGAAAGAAAGCTAGTCTTTTAAATAAAATGTTTGATAATTTGAAAAAGTTGCTAGATTAGAAGATTACAATTTGTTAGAATGTTAAATTAGAATCTAACTATAAGATTAAAGTTCTGTTTACTAGCACTTAGCCATTTCCGAAGTACCCATTTATAGTTAGATTTATCATAAATTAAAGCTTCCTGTTTGTTAGCAGAGATATTTAGAAATAGAAATAGTAAACTTCAAAGTTTACTATTCCTTGGACCTAACTTCAATCGTTCTATTGATTTTAGAGAGTACGCCAAGCGAACACGCGATATGTTGATGGGAAAGATTTTGTTGTTCCGGCCACATTTCGACGAGGAAGAGGATCGGCGAATAACACTTCGAAAATCACACCTGTTAAAGCATCGCCGAGAAAGGTGGAAAATCTAAACTAAACTTTATCAATCAAAGATTTATTAACATATTTTTCACTTAACAAAGTTGTAGTAAGTAAATGACGAGTAAGAGCTTTAGTGGTTCTCTTGGGAAAAAATAGATTAGATAAAAATAACCAAGTTTTGAATTTATTCTATATTTAACTAACGAAATTTAGAAAGCAATTGAAGTGAAAGAAGAAAGCGATGAAAATGAGGAAATGGAAACACCGGAATTGGATGGGCCTTTTCTTGATGAAGGATTGGATGAAGATGAATCATTACAGGTGCTTTACCAATCAATATTTATATCAAAATTAAGTCAAATTTTTAGGAATTCAAAGAAGATCACGAACTCGATGATGAATCGATTGTTAAAGATGTACTGGAGTCGATAGTTGAGAAAGTCGCACGAGAGCAAAGTGTTGAAGAAGAGGAACCAATGGTGGGTTATTGGGAGGACTTTGTGCTCTTGTAAACACATGTTTCCTGGTGCACTGAATTCCTTTTTATCAAGCAACAGGTTGGTACTGTAGCGGGCGAGCCAAAAATGATGTGTTTCATTGAGCATAAAATACAGAGTAAGCTAGTCTTTATTTATTTATCATATTGTAACATAGTAATTACTATACCTTTACTATAAAATATCATATTATAGCTATCTTTCAGAGTACTCAAAGAGCGAAACGATCGCGAAAGTTACCGAATTGGATGGAGGACGAGATGCTTGATATTGGGTAAGGTTTTAAGTGCTATTTTCAAAGCTATTTACTATAAAATTCGGTGATCTAATGGATAGCCTGCTAGACCAGCAAACCTGAAACCTAGTTTTTTAAAAAAGCGAAAAAGTTTGGCGAGAGTGGGACACGAACTTGAGAGCAAAGAATGTAACAGGCTCGGCAGTCTAGCAAACTATCCACTAGACCATCGAAGCATGACGAAATCGAGCCAACTTTAAGCTTTCGAATGACACCAAAATCAAAAAATCTATCATCTCTACTCTGAGAACGAGTTATTTATAGTCGTTTGTAGTTACATGCAACTACATGTAGTTTGTACGTTTGTAGTCTCATCCCATGGGACAAACCTGGAAAAAAAAAACGTTAAATCTCAGCACAGAGAACATGATTTCGCCTGATTTTGGTGTCATTCGAAAGCCTAAAGCTGGCTCGATTTTTTGGTGAAAGAAGTTTTGAAAAATCTCTATTCTATGTGTTTCTACAAGGGTTTGTAGTCTGACCTTGTAGTCTGTAGCGCTCATGTCTCATGTGCATACCCAGGCTAGGTCAGATCAGTGCTCATAGTTCGCGGGTTGGTCCTTGGACTAAATTTCTAAGCCAGAGTTAGGCTAAACCATGCTCATGGCCTTTACCTTGCTTGCCTGCCTAACAATGGTTTATGTTTCTTGGCCTAGATCGTGGATTTATGATCTAAATCTCTGCTTAAACCTTCATCATCTAGAGATTATCTTCAGCTAAATCTATTTTCAGACAAAAATATAAACCGAGAACCGCCAGCTCGTCAGAATCTCAATCGCCAAAGCCGTTGGTTCAAGAAAATAATTTTACATCCGATTATTTTAGAACAAAGCGAGCCCGTAAAACGAAAACCCCGGCCTCAAAAAAGCTGCAAACAAAACGAAAATATCGAAAAACGTGACAAATCCATTTTTTTTACTTTAAATTTCAAACTTTAGACAAGAGAAGCTCGGAGATTCGGTGGTGTTGCCGGTGACGAATGGAGGTGCATTTTCACCAGTTTATTCAATATTTTTTTATTTCTTTTAGATGAAACGTCAAACTCTTTTCAAATCCCGATGACACCCGATTCCCCATTTGACAGTCCTGGTTGGAAAATTTTAGCTAAAAATTCATCAAAACCTTTTTTCTAGGCTCGAGTCGAAGGAAACAAATGCTACAAGGGATAACGGATGATAGTGAGGCAAAGGTCGGGAAATATTTCAATTTATAAATTATTAATGAGCTAAGCATTCAAGAAACTATGGCTGAAGATACTTCTGGCTAGACTTGGCTAACGAAATTTTGGGGTTGCTCCCATTTGGACAGTCATCTCGGCACACTGAAAGTTGCTAGCAATCTGAAACTTTTTTATCAAAAAGCCAATATTATTGGCTTTTTCAGCTTCATTTTGATGCCGAAAATTCTTTAAAATAGTACTCAAAAAATCACATTAAACCTTAAAATTACTACCCTTGATGACTTGCTAAGTATCGATAACCTTTTTAGAGTACTTTTTTTGAAGATTTTTGTTGAATTTTTGGTATCAAAATGAAGCTGATAATCTAGGCTTTCTGATAAAAAAGTTTCGGATTCCTAGCAACTTCCAATGCGTTGATATGACTGGTAAAACTTGAAGCCTCGTTAAGTCTTGTTAACAAGTCTACTTCTGGCTCAGAAGTTCTGGGTAAAAAAAATTCCCAAACATGCCAAATGACAAGTTAATTAGAACTCTAAAACTTAGTCTAGACTGATGTTAACGAGACTAACACATTATTGGAAGTATATGATAGTTTAAGATCCTGAAGAGTTATTGTATCTTCTAGAATAAAGCATTATGAAGTTTTGTTTAGATCCTGCAAGTGAGCCAGAAGAACGCTAGAGGAAAAGTAGTCGAGGATATGTCTTTGGTACCCGTTTATTTAACACCGTATCAACGAGCTCAAATCTTCTCTCACTTGGTCCCAATCGGTATGGAGTCCGATCCCAACGGTCCACATCGATGCAAGGATTGTGGAGCCGAGTTCAAGAATCATAAGGTAAATGAAAAGATTAATCAAAAGAAGTTAAACAGTAGCCTTGCGAAGAATTTTTTAATAAATATATCAAAAGCTCAAATCTCGGGTCTCGGTGTCTATGTTTTTTGTTTGTGTCTAATCTCGGTGTCTTTGTTTTTTGGTTATCGGACTTTCATACGCGTCCCGCCCCTTTTCCCATTGGCAATCTAACTTTGAGCTCGAATTTCTTGGTGTTGGGCTATCCAATTTAAATATTCTTGGTATTATTGGATGGGCCAAGTCTTTCTCTGTCGATTGGTACAAAACTATTGAAATTGAACAGCCCAACACCAAGATATTTCAGCTCAAGGTTGGATTGCCAATGGCAAAACGAGCGGGGCGCATATCAAATGTCCCATAATCATTTTTTTTTACAACTTATCAACTATTTCTTTTTAGGAGGGCCGCCGCCACGTCGTGAGTCATGTGCGAGTGATCCGAATCCGTTGCACTCTATGCAAAGTCGGCTCGTTCTTCATCTCCGATATGAGAAATCACATCATGTTCAAGTAAATGATTCGACGATAAGCAATTTCAGACAAAGATTCGTATTTATGGATCCACTTTAGACACTGCCAACGCCTCGACAAGACCCCAGCCGGAGCGGTGGATCAAAGTGGGCGCCTCCCTTGTATGTCCCAAACTGCCGCCGACTCCTTCATCGAATTCGTGGATCAGGCGAATCATGGACATGTTAGCTACACATCGGGCAAGGTAATGAAAGGCTTACTTGAACAAACAGTTGAACCTTGCTCAAATCAGGATTCAATGTAAAAAGTTTTGAAGCCCAAGGTACTGTCTGGTACCTATCAATTGTAGCTTTGATTAAGCCAATTTTTCTTTTAGATCATCTCGATCATATCCCTGAAACCATACCTACCCAATGCTCGCATTGAGGAGTCAATCTTGGGGCCAACCCGTTTCTCCGAGCATCCACTTGTCATCCCCGATGGAGTTGATCCGGAAATTGCAGCGAATCAAGGTACAGATGAAATTTTTGATATTATAATTAAGTTATCATCACTTCTAGGTGTGTTGATCCCTTGCCCACAAGAACCGGAGAGCTTACCAGCAACGAGGAGCACCGGCTCGCCCGCTCCTCTCCCCTCGCCACTCGCTCGCAGATCGATTTTGGGGAAAAATGGTAAATTTATATTTATGAGACTAATGTAGATATATTACTATACAGCTGACACAAAAGTTCACAGCCACCTTGTTTTTCGGTCGTCAAATTTAGCTTTTAAGATAAAAAAAAACTATCCAAAGCTGGATATTCTTATAAGAGTTTGTAATTATAGCAAGTTTATGTTAAATTTAAGGCTTTGCAAGCAAAAGATCGAGTCTTTTAATTGGCAATATCGCCAGAATCAATCCAAATTTCTGGTCGCTTGAATTTCTCTCAAAAAACATCTAAATTTTCTGAAATTTTTAAGAAAACGTGGTCAGTCAAAAGGAATTCTATCTTTTAAACTCTTTCTAGAAGAAATAGCAAAATTTCAGGTTAAACTGAAACTGAAACGCAAAACTTATAGATCTAAAGAGTTGGCGAGTCGTAATCGAATTTCAAGTTTTAATTGTTTTTTTCAAAAAATAAATCTGTATACTCGATGAGAAGGTTCTGTTTTTTTGGAAAATGTTTTCTTGACCGAAATTTCATCTAGATTTCGAATTTCTAAACAGTTTTTCTAAAAAAATTTTCTCTTGACCCTAAAAACGTGGTGGCTTCGAACGTTTGTCATCCTGTATATGTTCTACGGTTTGCCAGACGTAAGCAAACAACAACTTCAATTCCAGGCTCTCCCTGTCCATCTGTACTCGCCTCGCCACCCACGAGACTTGCCCCAATACTCCTCCCAGCCGCTCCACTCATTGATCCGTCAAGGTAAATTATTAGAAAGTTTTGGAAATATTTATAAAATTGTATTTTTAAAGATTTAATATCTAATGCTATTTTAGACCCTGTTTTAGACCCGAATTCAAGCGTTTCCCTCGGCTGAAAGATGGTGATTATTTGGATGTAGCAGAAACCGTTGAAATTGTCGATGTTAGTGAATAAGATTTAATGATACATTGACTGAATAATATATTCTGTTTAAAAGTTATTCAATCTTACAGCACTTTTTAACTAGAAGCTCAAAGTTGCTCAGTCAAAAAGGCAATTTAATTGTTTTTTTTTTGATTGTTCTGAAATCTTTCCCAAACCCCTTATTGCCCTAAAATGTTCTAATTATCTAATGTTTATTATCTAAATATTCAATTCATTTTGATTTTATATGTAAATTTTAACCAATGAGATTCTTCTGCTATTCCGAACACTCGGTGTGGACACATTTTAGTCATTTTTCTCATTTTCTCATCCTTTCTTTTATTGCTTCTCTCTTTCCATCACACATATCATTAGATTCCCCTTTGAAAAATTATTTTGTTATTTGCTATTTTCTATATTAGTTATTTTGTAAAAGTTTTATTGTCTGTGTTTCTGGTATTGTTGTTTTGTGAATGTACAGATAAAGTTATCATAATAATGAGGTTTTGATTGAAACACACAAGCAGAACTACAGCTAGAGTTTAGAATTGCACAGAAACTGGAAGGAAATCCCAGTTTCTGGATGAGAAAATCAAATAAATCTTGGCTTTTTTTTAAAATTAGGGGAGTGAGACAAATGCGACCTTTTTTTTGCGCACCCGGACATTTGCGCACCTTTTTTTCCGCACTTAGCCCATTAGCGCACCTTTTTTCGCGTTTTAAAAAAGCTCTAAAAGCTAATATTAACCAATTTCTATTCCAAAAGTTGTTTTTCTAGGTAATTTTAGGGCGTAGAATCGAAATTTTGACATATCAGAGCTTGCGGAACCAATTTGAAAGACAAAACAGCTAGGTCAAATTACAGAGAATTGTCGATTTTTCTCGTTGTATGACTCCGTCCGTTTGTTTCTACAAGCTCTGATATGTCAAAATTTCGATTCTACACCCTAAAATTACCTAGAAAAACAACTTTTGGAATAGAAATTGGTTAATATTAGCTTTTTAGAGCTTTTTTAAAACGCGAAAAAAGGTGCGCTAATGGGCTAAGTGCGCAAAAAAAGGTGCGCAAAAAAAAGGTCGCATTTGTCCCACTCCCCAAATTATTTTATTTTACGAGTTAGATATTAGTAAAATAATTGTTTTATTTTATTAGTTTTTCAAGAATCATTTCATTAACGAGTTCATTAACCTTTAAATGAATTGAAAACAGAAAATTGCCAAACCTATTGTCATCTATTGCTTTTTCGTGTCAATCTTGACCTTTTTTTTCTGATATTTGATTTCATTATTGAACTGTGACTTTGAGAATGAGCTTAGAATTAGATAAAGTTTGATTACTAAAAGTTTCGGCTTACTTTGTTAGTATTGATACTAACAAAATAAACCCAAGCTTGAAATGTACGAGTCTTAAAATAAGAATGATAGAATTTTCTCTAATAGTAGTGGATCCAAGCGAGCCGAGTTGATGACTATTTTACGGTTTCCAAGCTTTTGCAGAAGCTCAACACTTAAATCCCCCACAAGATCTCATCGTCAGCTACATTTTCCGACCCCACATCGATAGGTTCTGATAAGCGATTTTCGAGATTTCGAGGAATTTAGGCAATGCTCTGGGTGCACTACTATTAGAGAAAATACGGTAAGCTCTTAAAAACTATACTATCGAATGATTAGCATACCGTATATTCTCTAATAGTAGTGCACCGCACCGAGCCGAGTTGATGACTATTTTACGGCTTCCAAAGTTTTCACAGAAGCTCAACACTCAAATCCCCCACAAGATCTCATCGTTAGCTACATTTTCCGACCCCATATTGATAGGTTCTGATAAGCGGTTCGAGCAATTTAGGTGACGCTCAGGGTGCACTATTAGAGAAAATACGGTATTACTTTCATGTATTCAAGGGTCAAGTCGACTAAAACTATCACAATCAAATGAAAAATTTTCTTTTTTTACTTTTCTTGCAAGAATATCCAATTTTCTTTAAAAAAGATTGACTTTTTTCCAAGAAAAAGAGACAAACAACTCGTCGACGTTATTAATCCTTCAATCAACTGAGGAAAAGGGAAATGGATGGGGGGAAAGGGAAAGGTGGTATGAAATGAACGAAACACGTCTCAACGTCTCAGCCATCCCCTTCACCCACCTCGAAATTTCTTCATTTCACTCCTCAACAGATCGACTCACCGTCCCCCCAATTCTCCTTTCATCTATCCATTTTCGTTATATGGGTAAAACAAGTCGTTTCTAATTAGTTCCATCTGTCGGCACTTCTTTCCCCTTTTCTTTTTCTCCCTTAAACCTTTCAACAAATTTATTGATGAAGTGGTTTTTGTTGAGTTTTCTTTGATTTATTTGATTCATAGATATTTCTTGCTTTGCATAAATCATTTTAAATGAATAATTTCTGTTGAAAATTACCTGCAAAAATAATTTCTATCAAAGAAAACAAAAATATTAAGCAAAAAAAATCATAAAACATTTGATAATAATCATAAAAATTAGCTTGATAAATTGATTTTAAAGATTATCGAGGGTGGGACAAATGCGAGCTTTTTTTTTTGCGCACCTGGACATTTGCGCACCTCTTTTTCGCTGGAAAATCCCTTAGGAAAGGCCGTAGAGCTTCGAAAATATTTCCATGTAAGGGAATCGTATGCGTAGATTCCGAATTTCGACAAATCACACCTCGCTGACACGTCAAATTTGGGCTAAAAGGCAAAAACTACGCAACTTAACGCTTTTCCGCAGTTTTTGCCTTTTAGCCCAAATTTGACGTGTCAGCGAGGTCTGATTTGTCGAAATTCGGAATCTATGCATACGATTCCCTTCTATGAAAACATTTTTGAAGCTCTACGACCTTTCCTAAGGCCTTTTCCAGCAAAAAAAAAGGTGCGCAAATGTCCAGGTGCGCAAAAAAAGGTCGCATTTGTCCCACCCCCAGATTATCAACTTGTCATCTCCAATCTCTAATATTCCAATCGAACTCTAGGATCTGTAAGTCTGGAATGAGAATATAGAAAAGAAGAATCTAGCCGGCTTCAACCCTTGACCTCCTGACTAACAGAGCTCTTAGCCAGTCGGACATTAAAAAGACTTTCTATCTTGCAATCATATCTTCTCTATCTTCTCTTCTCAATCCATCTTTTCGATAACAACTAACTGACATGTACATTTACCTTACACAATTCCATATGTTGTCATCAGCTATATATTTTTCTTTCCAATGATTTTGTCTTGAATGTACCTTAGCATCCATCCAACATCTTCTCTTACCGACTTATTCCTTTTCATCATCTTCATTCTTTGCCCCCTATCATCATTCAACTCAACTGATTGTCTCCCTCAATTCCCTTTTTTTCCTTTCCCCATTTCTGCATCTCGTCAAGTAGCTTTTCCCCTTCAGAGTCCCTTTCCCCATTCTCGATGAGCGGATAATTGCCTTTCTGTGACTCTACCTTTTTTATTCCTTTTTTTCAGAGACAACGAATATTCTTTCGATCAAACGAGTCATTTTTTTCTGCAAAAGAATTCTTTCAATGGGTCTAATTTCCGTTTGAAATCCCTTGTTTTTTCTACTTTCATTCTATTTTTAGGTACTTGATTGAGCTAGGAGTTTTGGGTAAGTAGTTTTTTAGAGATTCTTCTAAACTTTAGAGATTCTTCATCTAACTGATACAGAGGCTTCCTTAACTTTTAAATCTAGAAAGTCTTGTTGTTTCCAGCTTTCCCTCCCACGAAACCACATTTAGCCATCCAAATCGGATATTGCTCTATTATTGCTCTATAAGTAGTTTTTTAGAGATTCTTCATCTAACTGACGTCTTCTTCTAAACTTTAGAGATTCTTCATCTAACTGACTTCTTTACAGAGGCTTCCTTAACTTTTAAATCTAGAAAGTCTTGTTGTTGATTGAAAGTCTTGTTGTTTCCAGCTTTCCCTCCCACGAAACCACATTTAGTCACCCAAATCGGATATTGCTCTATTATTGCTCTATAAGTAGTTTTTTAGAGAGCCTTCATCTAACTGATTCCTTTACAGAGGCTTAGTAGAGGTTTAGAGATTTTAACTATTCGTTCGCTAAGATTTACAAGCTTTTATGATGCTGATTATCATAGCTTGAACTTGCATAATCATACAGCAACAAGATTTTGAATCTATCAAAATAAATCTAATCATCTTGAGTCTTTTCACAGCAAATTTTCAAGTGATTTTCAAATTTCTATAATATTTCCTGTTTCTTTCAAATACTCATCATTATCAAAGCATTTATTTGTGCTATAATCGAAGAGATCAAAGATTCAGCTTTTCTTGGCTTAAACTTAGGCTTAGGTGGATTGAATGAATCAAGGTAAGGGTCATTTCAACCCTCTTCAAACCTTTTTTCTCCAGTTCTTTTCCTTTCTAAAATCAACCTCTTCCCCAATCCATCTTTCCGTTGTTGTCCTATGAAATCAAATTCTCAATTTTGCGTTTTTGAGTGAGAGTCAAGAACACTAAAGTCACGCAGACGACAGACAACAACCCTTTCTCTTCCCTCGTTGAGATATTCATCAAAACATTGGCTATTCATTGACGTTGATTCGTAATGTCTTGAAATACATGATGTCTGTTTCTCAACTCATGAATTTAGATCTAGATCTAGATCTAAATCTATAAATTGTTTTTTAAAGTCTTTAAAGTACTTTCCTTAACTTTTAAATCTCCAATCTCTAATATTCCAATCGAACTCTAGGATCTGTAAGTCTGGAATGAGAATATAGAAAAAGAAGAATCTAGCCGGCTTCAACCCAATAAAGTTAAGGAAAGTAAAGACTTTAAAAAACAATTTATAGATTTAGATCTAGATCTAGATCTAAATCTATTGTTTTTAAAATCTTTAAAGTCTTTACTTTCCTTAACTTTTAAATCTACAAAGTCTTGTTGTTGATTTGTTTTTCGAGATTTCCCTCCCCACGAAACCACATTAAGCCACCCCCAAATCGGATATTGCTCTATTAGAAAATCGAACTTTTTT